AACTGGCTGCCTTTGCTAGATTTTTTCATTCAAATCTCAACAAAAGTTTATTGATTACCTACTCTATGCCATGTCCTCTTCTAGGTATTAGAGGCAGAGCTGTGGGATAGAGATACAAACTTACTGCCCTCTGAAAACTTACTTTAAAAGGGATAATAAAAACAAATAAATGTTAACAATAACTGTAATTAAAAGTAAATATAGGGCTACCAACTGTAGAAAGGCAGATGATGAAAAGAGAGTGACTAGTATATGGGGGGTGGATTATAGGCAGAGAAAAAGATAGAATAGTCAGAAATATTGAGTTTTCAAAGTGTTTCGACAAAATTACAGTTCTATATTTTGAGTATCAGTAATCAACTTTACTCCTTGTCATCAGTTTTACAGTAGGATCAGTTGTCTTTTGAGCCTATTAAAATAGTCTCATTGGCATATAGGAAAGTAAATATTTTTTATTTGTACAACCGAAGGGGGAAAGGGAATGAGAGATAGGGTAGTAGAGGAGGCTTCACACAATTTAGTTCATTTCAAAGCCACCCTCAAAGACTTGAAAGACATAGGTAGGCCGCTTTCTCTATCCTTCCCCGTTAAATTCTCAGACTTGAATGCTACAAATAATTGATGGACTCTAGAAAATGATGTTAAATTCCTATGAGCAGCACAGGTTGTCCTCCCTAGGAGCAGATTCTACGATGGAGATTTACATGCAGCAGGTTCGTTATAAAGTGTTATTGGAATCCAAATTTGTGGAAGAGAAGGAAGGAAACAAGATTGGGAGGAGGGAGAAGTCAAGGCATTGTGCATCTTCAGTGAAAGCCCCAGCAATTTACTGAGTAGAGAATTCGTAGACCAAGTTGGGGAGAGAGTGCTCAGCCTTTCTACTTTCCCCTACCATTCACTTGATGCCCCCTTTTTTCTCCAGAAGGTGGACATATCAGTGGGGGATGTGTCTGTCTTTAGCTGAGGCAAACCCCTAAGGAGGCTGACGACTGAAAGCAGTCTTCTGGCAGCACTCTCAGCAGCTGTGGAATAAACCCTGTTTTTCTGAAGGGGAATCTGAGCAGTGCATCACAATATCCCTCACAATAAACTTAGTCTGGTGATGACTCAAACTGTAGCTGTTTTTCTAGATGTTTCTGTTACTAAATGGAACAATATGGCCCCTGGAATTTTACTTGCAAAAACTGATTTAGCTACCTGCTTTCTGATCTACTGAAATGGACCTCTCAGGATGAAATTCATAAATCTGTATTTTTATAAAGATCCCCAATGATTATAGACCCTCATTCTGGAAGCATTTGTTGTGGTTCCAGACAGTTGTGTCTCTAATTCTGGTCAATGGAATGTTAGTGGAAGTACGTGTGCCACTTCTGAGTTTTGCCCTCAGAGGAGGAGGAACACACACTCACCTCTCCCATTCTACTTTCCTGTTGATTGGAATAAGAATGAGATGGTAGCAGCTAGTGGGAACCATTGTGGGTCAACAAGATGGAAGCTGGACAGTGCATTCTGCAATAAGACTGAAGAGACTAGGCACAGTCATGCCCCTCTGGGTCACCTACCCAGTTTTGTGTATGAGAGAGAAATACCTTTCTATCTTTTTAAAGTCACTGTTATATTGGCTTTTTCTGTAATCAGCTTAAATCTTAGTAATATGAAGATAGTGGGTCCTCATCATTGAAGTGAAGGACATGCTCTCACACTTTGTTCACCTACACTAGGAAATAGACCCTAGTGGATTTTGGAAACATCAAGATTGATGGATTAGTGGATTTTGGATTTTGGATTTTGGAAACATCAAGAAACCTATACGGATATAAATGTCTTTCTTAGGTCTACTCACTGGATGACCTAAGACCTGATAACTCTAGAGGGACTCAGACAAAATATAAGATCAGTTCAGATTATCGAGGTTTTGGTAAAAGCTACCTCAATGTTTAACTCATAATCTGTGTTGATCCAATGGTTCTAGAAGAATCTGTAACAGAAAAGTAAAACCTAGCAGAGGGGCCAGTGACAAGTCGTAAAATGGTCACAGCAATAGCAGCTTCAGAGCTTTGGGAGCAAGACCACGCTACCTCCTGAGGCAGTTTTTCTATTTTCAGCAAATACTAGCTTTCTATCAATACTAAAATAACAGATGACTGTGAACCAAAACCCCTCATCCTGGAGGGGGCATTAGCTTTTCTATGTTGCCATAGATTTGGGCATTCTCAGCAGCAATCCATCATCAATCCAAAGTCATATATACAGAATAGAGTCCATTCAGGTCTCAAAGGCACAAGTCAGAAGGTCAGATCCAAGCAACCATTTCTTAAGGCTCACAATGCACTACTATCTGGCTGCCACATTTCTCTGAATTAATGCCTTTTGCTTAGAGGAGGAATTGCTTATAACCATTTAACACAGGATGAAAAGAATCAAAGCTAGATTGCCTACAGACCCAGTGTCAGTGAAAAGTGAGCCTACCTTAGGAGTGCTGTGAACAACAACTGTAAAGGAAAATTCTCTATAGCCACTGTGCTTGGCAGAAGGTTGGCCTGAAGTCAGGATTCACACTGATTTCTTAGACACAGCAAATAATTTGTATAGATAGCCCAGGACTTGAGGAGAGAAAAAATGGAGAATGTCAAGAAGGGTTGGGGGAATTATATGAATAATTCAGAATATATCCATACCTGAACGTAAGTGGATGCTTAAAGAAGAAGGTAGCAATTGTAGCAGGAATGAGGGTCATACATAGGTTCAGCAGCCTAAATTCCCTCCACTGAAGCCACTTGGGATACCACCATGCCAATAATCACGGTACTGTGATATAAATGGAAGACAGTGATCTTCCATTTTCATACTATCATGTCACTCAGATACTTGGTAAAAAGGAGACAACTATGATCCTTTTCTGGTGGTGGGAAGACAGCATTTATTTTCTCTGAGATACCCAAGTATGGACTGGCATTTCCTTTTTGTGTCTAATATGCCTAGACTAGCACTTCTATCTATAGGCTTATTGAATAGTTTATTCATGCCGTGAAATGCTGTGCAGCACTGCTTCTAACCAAAGGAATTTATTTTCAAGTGAAGAAAAGAAAAGTTCATACAGCATCAAATCAAAGAAAAAAAAGTTGCGTACATACATCAATAAATGTATTATACTTTATTATTCACAGATGGTAAACCTTAAAGATTAGCCTACTGAGCCCTCCACTCTGATACCAGCTGAGGGATACTACCCTGTGAAGTTGGTGTGCTGTTGGCAGGATGTAATATATTAGCTGGACCAGAAATCAACATCCATTTTATCTCCCTTGTTCTGAAACTCCCAGCTAGCCATTTGGGGTCTCTCATAAGTCTAAAGCAGGCTTACTAAGCAGAAAATGCTGTCAGCTTATTACCTGGGATGATCAATTCTATTAGGTGAAAATAGAGCTGCTACCACATGGTAAGGACTGTAATGTGGGTATAATGTTGACTCTGTGCTCTACTATTTCCCGAGGTAAAAGCTATTAAAGAAACTCCTGCAACCGCACCCATTTGGATTTTCAAGGGCTCAAGCTCCTCATAATTTTGTGAGATGATGAACTCTGGTATGCATTGAGAGGAAGGAAAGCCTGCAACCAGTGATAGACATAGAGGAAAGCCAAAGGCCCTGGGACTGGCTGTAGAAGTGAGACCTGTAATGCCCACTCATAAGGAATTGTTATCCACCTTTGGTGGCAATTACCAACATACTAACACGTCTATTTTCTTCTCCACCATTAGACATACAGTGTTTGATGATAGTTAAATTTACCACTAGTCAAAGTGATATAGAAAAGTAAGAACTGGTTCATCAATAGGTTATGATAATTTGGGTTTGCCTTCATGTTAGGAAGGGGGTAAGAGTGTTAATAACTGCACACATTTTACCAATGTAAATCATTTATCCAAGGCACATTTGAATATATATGTTCAGGAAGAAGGATGTGTGTGAGATAGCAAGGCAGTAGAATGTATTAAAGATGACAGCCATAATATTAGTCAACCTCAACCTCTCCATTTTTTATTTTTTTGGATGGAGACTTGCTCTGTCACCAGGCTGGCATTCAGTGGTGCGATCTTGGCTTACTGCAACCTCTCACCTCCTGGTTCAAGTGATTCTCCTGCCTCAGCCTCCTAAGTAGCTAGGACTACAGGCGTGTGCCAACATGCCCAGCTAATTTTTGTATTTTTTAGTAGAGATGGGGTTTTACCATGTTGGCCAGGATGGTCTCGATTTCTTTGACCTCTTGATCTGCCTGCCTCAGTCTAATCTCTCTTTTTAGCTACCTACTTCACTGGTATACAATATACAAGCACAGGACTGAGTTAGATAGAGAAAGATATTTATTTTGGTTTTGGTTTTGATATTTATTTTGCTGAGTTTATGGTACCTATAGAGCATCCAGTGAGAGGTGTTACATTCAAAGTTGTATCAATGTGTCTGAAACTCAGAGGTTGAGGTTGGTGATACAGACTGGAAATCCTAAACGTGTAAATACATCTGCTTAAATTGATGAAATTGGACAGGGACTGAGTAAAATGACAAGCAGAACAGGATGCGACTGGAAAACTAAACTTTAGAGGACTGGCAGAAATAAAGCTGTCCACACAATGTAGGAGCATTAATTTTAAATGATGTCACAGAAAGAAAAAAGAAATGATGTCATAGAAACAAGGAGAAAAATGTCTCAAGAAAGGAAGAATGGAAACGCTGTCAGACCCTGTAGGCAGAATTATAAGAAGGTCACTAGTGTCCTAGCAGGAGGAGTTGTAGTAGGATGGGAGGAGTGATGCAACTGGCATAGGAAGTGAGAAAAGAAAACTAAGTCTACATTTTCAATAAGTGAAGGAAATGAAACAGGAGCAGGGCATAAGAAGCTGAAGGATAAAAGGAAAATATATTGAAGAGTCATGATATGATCCAGTTTCTGCTAGACTTGCAGAATTCGTTTTGCTGTAAAATAAATAACCTTGCTCATGAATTGCTTGTCAGGTTGTGTTTATTTTTCAGATCCAGTCCACGAGAGAGCAAAATTCCTCATAATGAGAACTCGTTGTTTTGAGTGAGATATAAATGTCTAGTTATTCCCACTATTTTAATGATTATTTTTCCTCACTTATAAAATAAATACCAGGCCTGTTAAAACTGGGAAGGTGATGTCAGCATTAACTGTACATGGAAGTCGTATATGGCTGGCATATGTCTAAACAAGAGCAGGTTGTGATATGCCTGTATTGGTAAGGGATCGTACTCCCATCAGGACAGTCAAGTACAATGTCTCTGAGTTCATAGTTTTCTTCTCGGCAGCAAAGGCATGAATGTTCCAAGAGTAAGGTATCATAATTGTACCTGAAAGAAAAATTCAGTAATAAACATTTTTAGAATTTTAAAGATAAACTGACATCATTACTCGAACAGTAATTGTCTAAGTGACTTAGCAAGCCTTGTAACCAATTTATTCTTTTTCTAGACCTTGCATTTCCCCTGTCACTGTAAAGCTCTGATGTTGCTCAGTGATAAGAAATTTGAAAAGAAGTTATAATCTCGTAATTGGAGCATTATGGTGAAAAAGTAAACTAAATAAAATGTTAAATATAACTTAATATGAGATTATTATCTCTATATTAATCTATACATAAAAGTGTACATAAAGGAAAAACATACTATCTAAATTTCAAGTGTAAGTAATTCAAGAAATTCACTTCTTTGCTTAAATATTTTCTGTAGTCACTGTATGAAGATGAGCACATTTGTTACAAAGGTATCATGCTTGGCATATTTAGAAAACTACTTCAGAATGACTCATCACTATTTTAAGTGAATATTTTAGTTCTCAGATCTTAGTATCTTAGATTCTTCTTTCATTTGGTCCTTATAACAAAATAGTATTGCTCTCACATAAAAGTTTTTCCATGTAATATTTTAAAAGGTTCATTTTCTCCACAAGGTTACGAGGTTAACACACGATACACATTCAAAGAACTCACTTGACAGTCTTTTCACATTCCCCTGCGCATTTTGCCATCTGAACTCTTTTCTTGCAACCACTGTAGATAACCGTCACATTCACAAGGGAAGATCTGCAATTATTCTTACCTAAAACGAAAAGGAAAAGAGAGTCAGCAGTGAGGTTTAACATTAACAATTGCTAACCCTCCATTTTCTTAGCCTATAAATAATAGCAACTACTTCACAACATGATTGAGGAGATTAACCATCTCAGCGCCATTACAAGGTAGTTGGTTAATACTCAGATTACTGGTATCTTGTTCCTGTTATCACTATCACACTATCACAGGTGAAGGGGTTGAGGGGAGAAGTAAGAGGAAGGGAGAGGGGAAGAAGTGGGCAGCTGGATTATTTTGACATCCATCCAAAACAGGGGTGGATGAATTATTTTTGACATCCATTTTCTCATCACTGATTATCCTTATGATCTAATACACCATTTACAACACAACTTGCTGATCTTTTCAAAAGAACAAGCTAATCTTTTCCATGAAAATTACATTTGTTCCCTTGTAAACATTGTTTTTTACTGAGAAGAATGTTGCAGTCAACATGAATACATAACCATAATACATTATGTACAAATATCCAATGGAAGTTTACACAGATAGGCTAGGTTACCTGTTGTGTTAAAAATACAAGATACTTTCTCTTAATGATCTGCCATTTTGTTTTAAAGAAATTAAACTTTTGTCAACAGCTTACATTTTTCTCTGTGCAGAACTTAACTTTACTCACATGTATAGCAACATTTTTTTGAATCATAGATTCTGTCTTCCTGTAGGGGTAAGAGAAAAAGAGAAAAACGGGAAACGTTGTTCTAAATTTTTCTGCAAATAATACAACACTTCTTAGTTGGTTAAAATGCATCACATCACAAAGAGGAAATGGAACAGATGGACAAACTTACCCCAGATCTAGTAAGCAAAAGGCAGGAAAGGAGAGACATCAGCTTAGTAATAAAAATATGACTAAAACTTTTCAACAATGGGTAAAGGAAAAATAAGCTTTAAACTAAATTCTTGTTAAAGATAACATTAAATAATATTAGATTATTTCTCACTTACTGAAAAATGCTTTAACAATAATATTACTACTACTACTAGAAACTCACAATTAGAAGCTGCACCTTTGAGAAATTGATAGGTTTAAAATTATAACAAAGTAAAAGCATGATAAATATTGAAATCCGGTATTAGAGCTCGAAAATAAAACATTAAACCATATTATCAATTATATCTTCAGAAAGAAAAATGATAACTTAAATCTCCCTTAATAATTGAAACTTAAGCATTCATTAGTATAAAACTCAGCCATACTTGGGGAGCACAGAAATGGAGAAAACTGTGACACAAAGAAAGATCTAAAGTACCCAGACATGATTATATAGAAAAATTGGTATCCTTATAGATAATTATTTGAGCTATTTTTAAAAGTTAGTGAGTTTTTTAGTTTAGAAATAGCAAAATGCTTTCTATAATAACTGACTCCTTCTAGATGAGCACTAAATTAAGTTTTATAAAGCCTGCAAAACATGAGAGCCTTTCTTGATATGAAAAAAAATATATACTTAACAATAAAAGATGAGCATATCTGGAATCACCTGGGCTCTGGATACAATGCATTTGTTTAAAGAGCTATACAATCTACCAGATATTTATGTCTGCTAGCCAGACACAAATATTTTCTAATGAGATTGATGACAGGTTGATTTTTCTTTTTTTGAGAGGAAGTCTTACTCTTGCTCCCCAGGCTAGAGTGCAGTGCTCGGCTCACTGCAACCTCCGCTTGCTGGGCTCAAGCGATTCTCCTGCCGCAGCCTCCTGAGTAGCTGGGATTACAGGCGCCTGCCACCACGCCTGGCTAATTTTTATATTTTTAGTAGGCACGAGGTTTCACCATGTTGGCCAGGCTCGTCTCGAACTCCTGACCTCAGGTGATCCGCACGCCTCGGCCTCCCAAGTGCTGGGATTACAGGTGTGAGCCACTGCGCCCAGCCAGGGTTTGATATGAGAACTGAACCTCAGTGTTCGTTAGTTAAGATGACTTACTTCTGCACACCAGGTCTGCTTTGGGCAGTCCTGGACTACTGCAGCAAAGCCAGTGTCTTTGCAGGAATAGGAGACACAGGGGTTGCTGGGGTCATCGAATGAAGCACCAATCTGGGAAGAAAAGAGGGGGATGAAAACAAAATAATTATTCACCTTGATTTCTTTTAGAGGTTTGCAAGAATATCAGTTTAAAAATTCATATTCATGTTTAGTGATTTTCCAGAGGCACTTTGTCATTAGGTTAATAGTAAAGAAAAGATGGTTTGAAAGTCTTCCACTTCCATGAATAAACCAAATTTGTTCATTGAGACACAAAATGTGTCAAGATTCTCAATCCTTAAATTAAGATTCACCAACAGATACTCTATTATATGTTCAAGAAATTTTCAAGACAGGTTTTTTTTATAGTGATCAAGCACTTAATTGTTATGTTCTAAGCTTAAGGGGAAACGAGAAATTTAAGTGGGGGAAAAAATGGCACAAAATGGACTTATCATATTAAAACAAATGACAAGTCTCACAAGATGTCTTACTTCTATCTTGGCCTATATTCCTATACTTTTAAAGCTCTCTGCTGTTACTTTATAATTAGCTTATGTTAAATATTCAAACAACAGTTTGAGAAACTGCATTTATTTCATGGCCTCAGACAAGATGAACTTTCTGATAAATTGGAATTTTACTATAAATGATCAGAAGAAAACTTTCCTTTTGTTTCTTAAATATCATCATATTTTTTGTTAAAAAACTACCACAGGTTCAAGTTAGAGCAACTTTGGAAACTAAAAATTTAGGAAGTCCATGTAGAAATGTGAGTGTGATAAATGGGTTATCACAGTAAAACTCTCATAGGATGTTTTATCTATTGCCTAATATACCACACATATTTCATTTTAGATTTTTTAATATTTACTATCACCATTTCAAGTGTGTAAATATCAATTTGAGAATCATCTGATTTTTATGGCTTCGTTATACTTTTTTCTAAAAAGTTAAATTACTGTCCAAAATGTCAAATTAGTTGTCAAAATCCAGCCTTGAATATGTTGTGTTGCTGTAGCTGCATAATAGGGTTCTAGCCCTTTGGGTTTTCTTATTTGATCTCTGACAGCTTGACCATCTGATCTTTCTGGTTATAATTACAGTTTGACTCTGTTCATTGATTTGAATGTTACAAAGTATGTCTTCTCCATCTGGCAAGGCCCATGGGAAATTTTGTTCAGAAGCTCTACTGCTGAGTAGTTAATGATCAAGAATTATGTTTTCCTCCTTTGAAGAGTCCTGGTGAGTGTTACATTTGATATTCCTTTGGAAGTGGGTGTGGGGAAAAAATGAATGGATTCCAATCCGTTGTTACTAGGGTTAAAAATATATATACACATACATATATATTTATTATATAATTTATTTTATATATAATATATATACTTACATATATTATATATATATAATAGGCTGAAAGTCCCTTAATATAGCCGAGTATTAAATTTATTCATATAATTAACAAAAACATTTTAACGAAGAAAAGACCTTACCTCATAGTCAGTATTGTTAAACAAACATGTTCTTGGTTCTGAAAAATAAATATATTGTTTTATTCTAAAATACTATAATTTCTATTTATAAAACAGAAATTGTAGATGAGATCATACATAGCAACCAACTGTAATGTTTCTACCCATAATATCATAGTCTTCCTTTAATTTACTGATTATATTCATAACTTAATTCTGGGTGTCCCCCATTCTGAAGATGGTAAGTTTTAAGAACACAAATATTATTATACTAATTCTGTACTATTTATTACACTTGTCTAGTATTATGTTTGACAAAACTGGTAGCTCAAAAAGTATCTCTTGAATATGTTAATAAACAACCAATGAACATATTCAATTAAAATAATATATTATGAATACACACCACAGTATCCAATTTCACAGCAGGTGTCATTATATTGGAACTTCACAAGCTTTTCACCGGTTTTGCATGTGGGTGGAGAAGGGCACTCCTCAGGTTTACAGTCTATAGTCTTTGCATCAGTACAGGTACATCTGTGGCAATTGGCAGTCCATATGTCTCCAGGCTACATATACAAACCAAGTTTAGACTTCTATTCAAATACAGGAATTAGAGCACATTTGGATTAAAGTAGAGCAAAACTGTGTACTTACAGATTTCTCTTCTCCCAGTGGACCATGACAAACTGTTAACATAAATGATAAATGGTAATTAAATTTGGCAAAATATAGCCATCTGTTATTTATAGATAACCACCAGGTGGCCAGTACTGTAACTGGCATTAGGATTTCAGAGTCACAGAATTATACAAGATTTTATGGTGCCTTAAGGTGAATAAAATCAAGTCCACCTGCTTTAAGCAAACTGTTACCAACAGGCATATCCTATTTTTATAATCCTCAGCAAAGCATAATTCTTAATTTCTCCTGGCAGTGGTCAATCAATCTTATGGCTACTAACTGACTTACTGTTTTGCAGTCTGACTTCTGCTTTTCCAATCCTACAAGTCACCATGGCTTCATAATTACCAGACCCAAGGGCCCTTTCTCAGTTTAAGTTATCTGCCATAGTTGACATTGTTCATTCTTACCTTCTTGAAAAATGTTCTCCTTTCTTCAGATTTAATACTTTGAAATTTTTGTCTTCACTGGTAGTTTGTCTTACTCCCTCTCATTTTGCCTGTAACTCTTTCCCCTATCTCCACAATGTGCACCGTAACATCAAAAGAATGACTCTAAATGTCCAGCTCCAGCCCAGACCTCTCTCATAGCTTTGGAGCCAGTTCTCTCTACCTCTAGACAGAATCCTGGCAGACCTATAGAAACCCAAAACTCGATGTGCACACAACAGATTGTATCATCTTCCCCCCAAAACCAGCTTCTCTTCTAGACTGGCTTCCTTCTCTACAGATAGAACTATATCATTCAAGCTTAAAATCAAGGAGCCATTTGAGTTCTTCCTTCTATCACTGGCATCAAATCTACTGCCAAATCCTATATCCCACATTCATTTCTTCCTTTCCTTATTCTACTTGCTACAATGTCACTCCAAGATCTTACTATGTTTTTGATCTAGCATATTCTACTGGTTTTTTTTAGGGGATTACTCTGACTCATATCTCGTTCTGATCCAATCAGGTAACGTGATTTTTCTAAAGCCCAATTCTCATCTTATTACTACTTTGATGGTCCCTTATAGTTGTGTAAACAAACATTTTATTCTAGCAGTCTAGCTTTCGAGGGCTCTCATATCGTGACTCAAACTGACCTTCTCAACTTTATCTCACTTCTCTCATTTACATGCCCTGGACTGGTCTGTTTGTGTTCTCAAATATCAATATTGTAAAGAAATTCCTGGAGATACCTTAAAATATACAACACAAGTGACAGACAATATGCACTCTATATATAATGCATAGTTTATATTTTTACTTTGAAATTTATTTTCTGCCTGATATGAAATTTGCCTATTTCTCTGAAGACCTTCCTTTTCCCACTATGTACTAAGGTCAGAGAATTATTTTTTAGTAATTTTTTTTGAAGATCTGACTACTTTTTTATTTTATTTATTATTATTTTTTTATACTTTAAGTTCTAGGGTACATGTGCACAACGTGCAGGTTTGTTACATATGTATACATGTGCCATGTTGGTGTGCTGCACCCATTAACTCGTCATTTACATTAGGTATATCTCCTAATGCTATCCCTTCCCCCTCGTGCCACCCCATGACAGGCCCCGGTGTGTGATATTCCCCACCCTGTGTCCAAGCGTTCTCATTGTGCAATTCCCACCTATGAGTGAGAACATGCAGTGTTTTGTTTTTTGTCCTTGCGATAGTTTGCTCAGAATGATGGTTTCCAGCTTCATCCATGTCCCTACAAAGGACATGAACTCATCCTTTTTTTATGGCTGCATATTTTTTAGTAATTTTGTTTACTTGCTACAAAGTTCCTTAAAATTACTTAACTCTGCTAAACGGATTTTTTTCTACTATAGCTCATCCCTCAAGTTGAAATTATCTAGTTTAAAAAGATGCTTACTATCAAGTGACAATATTTTGGTTAAGGTATCATAATTATATGAAACATTTAGTAGGTAAACCTTGTTTTGATCTGAGTAACAAGGTATATTTGTTTGGTTTGGTTTCATTGGTTTGTGAAGGAGGAAATGAACTATTTACTCACTATTAGGGGAATAAAAGCTAAGTTAATCCAATACATGTTTTCCTATTTTATAACATTTGATTGATGAGAGGAGCCATTAATGCAGAGCAATTCTGAAGTCGTGGTACTCTTACCTGGAGCGGGTGGAAGTGAGGCTAGACATTCTGTGTAAAGACAGGAACCTTAAGTTAGTCTCTGAAGTTACTGGAATAGTATTGTGGTAAGTATAGTTATCTAATTCATTATTCTATTGCTGAAAATAATTGTCTACATAGCTAGTCTTACAAATATATATATTCCCATCTATCTCCCCGTCCTGCTCCTCGCTGCATTTGAAATTCCATTGTACAGTGTTTCCTTTGGACCTCATATTTTAATGAGAGAAAAATATAAGTATCAAAAGGAGAAAACATCAAAGTAAACTCTTCAAAATTTTTTGAAGGCAGTTCTAATGAATAGGACAAAAAGATTTAAAAAGGGGAAATGATAATTCTGCTACAGTATAAAATGAATATTAATTACCCAGTTTTAGTCATTTGAAAACCTTTATTCTCCTTGTCTTCTTGAAATACTTCAATTTTGCTCTATCTTCTCCCCCAACAAATGCTTTAAACTGGCAATATGTATCTTTTTTAGCCTTTACACATCATATATTTTGATCAATCCAACAATTCACTCATAAATTTCAAACTCTATTCCGAAACTTCTAAAAACAAAATGAATATTTTATGCAATCTGGCCAGTCGCAGTGGCTCACGCCTGTAATTGCAGCACTTTGTGAGGCCGAGGTGGGCAGATCACTTGAGGCCAGGAGTTTGAGACCAGCCTGGCCAACATGGTGAAACTCCGTCTCTACTAAAAATACAAAAAGTAGATGAGTATGGTGGTGCTTGTCTGTAGTCCCAGCAACCAGGGAGGCTGAGGCAGGATAATCGCTTGAACCCAAGAGACAGAGCTTGCAGTAAGCCGAGATCATGCCATTGCACTCCAGCCTGGGCAACAGAGCAAGATTCCATTTAAATATGTATCTCTCTCTCTCTCTCTCTCTCTCTCTCTCTCTCTCTCTCACACACACACACACACACACACGTTTTTCTTGGTAGGTTGAGATATGTATGTGTGTGCATATATATACACACACACACACATACACACACGTATATGTATACATATGTGTGTGTGTGTGTGTGTGTGTGTGTGTGTGTATATATATCTCAACCTACCAAGAAAAAGGCTGACCTAGGAGCAACAGAATATATGAAGAGAACTTAAAATTTCTACATGTTTAGGTAAAGTGATCCCAACAACTAATAGGCCCAAAATATAGATTACAAAATGAATTAAAGGTATGGAAATTTGGGTAATCAAATATTTCCAACTCTTTACGTAGGGAGGCTAAGCCAGGTGCTAATTATGGATGCTTAGCAAAGTAACAGAAACCAGCACCAGGAGAGAAAAAAGATCAATTAGGCATAAATACAAGAGAAAATATTCCCTGACCAGGATTGCAAGCGTTCGTTGGAGATATTTGTAAGAGGAGCCATAGAGAACAGTCTCCTAATCACCACATTTGTATCAGAGTAATTTCTCAACTATCTGATCATATCAGGCTCTTGATCAAATCCTTAATGGTATCCCATTACTATAAGGATAAAGCCTTGTTGAAGTTTGGTTCTTCATAAAATTTCCTCTACTTACGTTTTTGCTCTCATTTCCTCCCTGAACCTTACGCAGTCATTGCCAATATCTGGTTGATTCCTGAACTCCCCCATGAGGTCTTATATCTTTATCTTTTCCAGGGCTGTTTGGCAGGAATACCGTCTCCATCCATGCCAATTTTAAACTCAATCATGCCATTTCTCATGCCTTTACTCCACACTACCAAGTAATAAGCAGAAATTAACACTACTCTCACTCCACCCCCGGAACCACATATTTTGTGCATATTTTTGGTATCACTAAATATATACTATCTGTGCCCAAAATAATCTCTTCCTCCCACACACACAGAATAAAAAATGGCAAGTGCTGCATCCTGCTGATGTTTTTGCTTTTAATGTCTGCTAGAGAGTTTAGCACATATAAGGTACTAAAGAAATATTAGTTGACATAGTAACAAAGAAATTAGGGCTTTTCCTATACTGACCTGTTTTATTTTCAGTTTCTACTTCTCTGGTTGCCACGACAGTGGTTTCTGAGAGGAAATAAATGGATGGTATTGTGATTTTAAAAATTAGAATAACCTACACATATCAAGTCTGTGTTTATGTACATGCCCAAATGATGGCACAAATTCATACTCAAGGAAAGCTTTGTGTGGAACAGACAATTTATTCCAGTTCATTTGGGTCATCTGATTTTACCTGACTGGGGTACTTGTGGTCTTGTTGGCACTCCAGCTGGAACCAAGGTGGAGCCTCGCAAAAGGAAATATAAGACATTTTAGGACTAGCACCCTTCATAATACCCTGCTCAGAATTCTCAATCTGCATGAAGAAGTCTTTAGGAGGGGAGCCCCAGTGAAAACCTAAACCAAAAACTCCCAGAGGGGGGGGGGGAAAAAAAAAGGTATCCTTAGTGTAATTTCAAAGTTGTGTTCTAAGAGGAAGTTGAATGCCATCATCCTGGCCTCGGTCTTTCACTTCTCTCCTACCTCTCTCCTCCTAACTCAACTTCTTATGTATAATCAAAGCCACACTGAATACTCACTTGTTTGCACTCCAGTTCCAGAAGTTATTTTGACTCCTGTGGAAGCAGTGACTGCTTAAAAAGGAACAAAAGTGGTGAGTACAGGGGACTGGAGAAGCTAGAGCTTAACTTCATTTTTAAAAAATGTTTTATTCTTCATGTTTTAGATGGACAGAAAAAAACTATGTATTTTGTACATGATGTTCTGAAGAACTACATTATGCCACCCTCTTAGCACTTTTCAAGAATATATTATTAACTATAGTCACGATCTTGTGCAATAGATCTCTTGAATTTACTCCTCCTGTCTAAATGAAATCTTGTATCCTTTCACCAACATCTCCCCACCATACCCCTCCCCATATATACAACTACCCCAACCACTGGTAACCATCATTCTACTCTTTACTTCTGTGAGAACTGCAGATAAGCTATCCTGTCTTCTGAGGGGCCACCGAGACAAATGCATTTATTACTATTTGACTTACCTGTGGTAGGAGGTCCAGGAGCAGTGGTTTCGTTAGATGCTTCCTTGGAAGGACCTAAAACGAGCAAGGGAAGAGCAATACACTTTTTCTGATCTCAGAAGAGCATTTACTTAAGACACCTCCACGTGGAACAAGAGTCTCAAAGCAGTTGGAATACACTAACACATCTACTAATGCTAGCTCACGCCCCTGCCGTGGAAACACTAAGAACTTCCTATTGTAGCAATCCCTTGTTCATAGAGGTGAAGTGAAGATTCTTCTTTGACCCTGATACATGTTTCTCTTGTGGGTTTCCTTTCTCTAAGTGATGAGAGCTTTTCTCACACTTTACTCTATACATGTTTCACTTCTGGTGCCCCTTCTCTAAATGACAAGAGTTTTTCTCACGCTTAACTCTTCATGTAACTTGGTTTCTTGGTTCTCCTGTATTAATTTTGGAGGGAGAGAGTGGGAAAAAATGAGAAAATGAGAGACCTAATGTTGCCCTTAGCTTAACTACATTTTAGACAGGTTTGTTCCTAGCTATTGGCTCTTAACCTCCCTTTTCTTATTTACTTTAGAAAACTTGCCTTACTTTTAAATTCTTCCTCTGCCCCTTTGAGATGTAAATCTTCTCCCACTCTCTTGTCAATCTTACAATTCATAAATATCTTTCTCAAGGACCTGACAGCCACTCTTTTGAAATATAATTATCAAGAAAAATAATGTCTCTATCTCCCAATCTCTGTGGGAGGGCAGGGGCCTAACTTTGACCTGATTAAGTGCCAATTACCAAACACAGATGGCCTAATCGTATATGTTAAAGTCTCTCCAAACATTCTTCATTACTTTTCCACTAGCTTAGCCAAGTACTAAACAATTCTCCTGCCTTTTGCTTTATCAGAGCTGAGTTCAGTCTCTCTCCCCTATTGCAATGGTTTTCACACTTATTGTAATAGTCTTGAACAAAGTCTTCTTTGCCTGTTTAACTACATCTGGTGCAATTTTATTTTACAGTTGAAGTGTGACATTCATTCATAGAGATAAATACTGCCTATCTGTATTGACTTTGTAAACAGTATTTACTTTGGTGTTAAAGACACAGAAATGTTGAGCATGTAGTCTTCATTTGAGCCAATAATTTATATTACCTGCGATGGAAGTTTCTGGGATTCCAGTGATTCCACTTGATATTAAAGTGCTGCCTGCAAAGGAAAATGAGGGCAAATTCATATCAGCCACAGGCCTTATTCCTATCCTCAGAGATCAACATGAGGAAGAGAAAGCAACTCAGATGACATTCTGGGCCAGTGCTGCAGCTAGCCCACAGGGCACCTTGTGAATTACAGACACACAAATAACTCCTCTGGACAGATGAGAATTCATGGATTTCAGTGTCTGCTCTCTCCTTTAGTGGTGCCCTGTGTGCCTTCACAGCCTGACCTGCGGACTCTGGCATGAGCCTGAGAACCCCAAAACAAGAAAACAACCGTAGATGGCTAGGAAATGTAAATTCCCTAATGGAACTTCCTGAGTCTTATCTTTACCCCCAATATTTCCCTATGCTGAAGCAATGGATAGGAGTCATTAATGAGAACCCAGTGGAGTTAAACAGATTTAACTACTGACAGACACTCATTTAACCCTAAGAAAGGCAAAGAAGAATGAGGTAGGAATTGATGTGTGGATGCTACAGTCAGTTTCACAGAAGGGATCTTAGTTTTCTAGCCTTAGGTTCTTGTAGCTACCTACTAAATATTTACATACCTGTGTTTGAACTTCCAGAAATAATTATGCTAGAGGCTACCTCAGTGGTGCCTGTAATAAGAGGGAAGGACACAATGCCTTTCCCATCATCAGAAATGTATGGCTTTTCCACATAATCTGGTTTCTCTGAAGCAACAGAAAACAATTTAACAAGTTTTCTTGCACTAAATGCTAAGCCTAGCATGTTTTCCAATTGACTCTTTCATAATTGTATGTTCAAGGGAAATATGGGAGAGGAAAGTCACAATTGCCTCATATATCTCATTTCTCTAGATCTAGAATCATCCAGACTTCAATTACTAAATTTGAGAATGTGTTTCTTATACGCACATGATTTACCTCCAGTAAAAATTTTCTACAGTAAATGTAAGAAAAGGGACAAGTACTCCAGAGAAAGAAAACCAGAAAACAAAGTGTGTGTAAACTTGTGATCAAAGGTTAAATATCTAAATCAAAGCCTTAATCAGCACAATTACCTGCATCTATTGAATAATCTCTTAATCAGCAAAATTACCTGCATCCATTATAGTAATCTCACCTTCTTGGCTGCTGGTGACTCCTGTTGATCCTGGGGTATTGCCTGACAAGACCAAGAGAGTAAAGAAAGGACGTGTCTAGATAATTATTAATACATCTACAATATATCTTGGAAAAATCAGAGAATTGATCTAGGTTGGCCTCACGATCTCTTATTAAAGGGAAAGCAACCACTTTCCAGCCACATTCATTTTCATTCAAAATCTGTATGTAGCAAACTCAAATGGAAAAATCGTGGAGAATCTAAAATGTGAAAAAACTTACCTGATGAAATTTCTGCTTCAGTGGTTCCAACATAACCTTTAAAAGTTGTGGCCTCTGTAAGAGCAACTTAAGAAAAGTGGAAAAGATGGAGAGTTTGTCAACATGAAAATTATATGGCAATAGATGATGTTGTTATGAGATAATTTACTAGTTTTATTAATGTTTTTAATTTTTGTGCATACATAGTAGATGTATATACTTATGGGGTACATAAGATGTTTTGATACAGGCACACAATGTGAAATAAGAACATCATTAAGAATGGGGTATCCATCCATTGAGCTACAAACAATCCAATTACACTGCTAACTGAGAGCCATTTAAAGGAGAATTCCTTTCACTACTTGACTTACCTGTTCTGAAACCTCGAGGTAAGGCTGTTGTCCCAGAGCCTGTTACAGTGTAGCCTTGGATGAGAGGGAGAAGGAAGAGGGGGTAATATGAGCAGTGTCTGATAGGATGGAAATCATGGTTTAGAACAAATCCATGTGTTTCCGTGAGACAATGCATTCCTTCTCCAGGATTCCTTTCCCAAGAGGTAAACTAAACATGGTTTTCCCCATTTTATAGTGTTCATTTTGGTTAGCTTCAGTCCTCTGGGATCTTTCTTTTCCAAGTTAGCATCATGAACGAGGGCCTTTCCCATCCTCACCTTTTTCAATTCCCCATGCTCACCTGTTTTACTTTCAGTAGGTTGGCTTCTCCCTGAAATTATGTTGATGATCCCTAAAGGTTAAAAAATGAAAAAGATTGAGAATCTTAATATTTTAATTCTTTCAAGAGAGTTTCCCCCCTTCTACTTTCTACTTTCAAAGTTTCATAACTATGAGGCTAGGTTCTCTGAAAAAATGAAATATTAAAAAAATATGTCCCCAGCAAATTCTGGCTGATCCTGTTTGAGATTCTGAATCCCAAAATTAGAGGCAATATGGTCTCCTGGTATAACATGGCATATCCCAGTACTTCAGTACACAGTGCTAAGTCAAACACATTGGAAATTGCTAAACCAGAACTCCTTTCCTTTTTAGGCCCTTTGCCTATGTCCACCCTTTATGTCCTGGAGAGCCCAAGGAACTCTCTTTGTCTGTTTTCTCTTCTCCGTGTATGTAAATAACATACAGTGGGTTATTTAGGGCTAATGTAACCCTAAATAACTCATCAGTACCCATAGTTTCAAATATTATTTGTAAGCAAATGACTGACAAATCTCTATCCCAGTACAGGCTTCTCGTCTGGGCCCCAGTCACCTTCATCAACTCTTCTGGACATCACTACCTGGAAACCTCAGAGTAATTTGAATTCAAATGATCAAAATCAGACCTTACTGTATCACTTATCAAATATTTTTATTTCCTCTAGTATATCAACAAACTTGGTAGATGGCGCCATCACCTATCCACCCAAGCACTCAAATCATGAACTAGAAGTCAGCTAAATTTATTCCTCTCCTTTATCTCCTCAGCCACACTTGTTGATTCTAACTGGCTAACATATTGTACACTCTTTCTGCCTCTGTATCCCCTTATGACTAGCTTATTACAGTCCCTAACTATCTGTCATTTCCAGGAGATTTCAAACTATACAACATACCTCCACCCTTACTCTTACTCTCTTTCATATCAATCTTCTACCTGTGAGTAATTAATATTCCCAAAAAATACAACCTGGGCATGATAATTAACCTATTTAAAAATCCCTTCTCATTGCCCATGAATCAACGTTTTAATTTTTGGTGTTATAATTGAGCCCAATATTATAATAGTCTCATAGAATATAGAATTGATGAGTGATTTTTTTCTTCATTTCATGATATTTCTGTCCCAACTTTGTAATCTAGAAGCTCCAAAAACTTCCCAACATTCCCTCTTTCAATGCTCTCTCAACATCTGGGTTGCGTTCCACAAGTATATTGTATTATTATATTATAGTTCCCTGAAAATTCCATACTGTTTTACATCCCCCAGACATCTGAATAGAAAAGAGAAAATATTCTTTTCCATCATCATTTTTTTCAAGTAAACAAAAGATGCCCAAGATGCCTTAAGTTTATTTCAGTCATCTTTTATTTATCCAGCCTGGAAATCTTGGTTAGTGGTGGCTTTATTTGATATGACAATAGTATGAGCAAAGACAAGTGTGGAAATATTTTACCTAAAAAGATTCCTGTCCCCATTTAGGTATCTACTTCTGGGAAGCTATGTCCTAACAATGATGTTCCTAATTAAATATTTAGTCCAGGGTATTCCACAGCATTAATATGACCACCTTCAACGGACTTCAATAAGTCTTCAAATGAAAAGTTTTATCATCTCCTGTCAGGGCCTAAATTTCACTAGTAATTAATGACATCCTCTGTAATTAACTTCTAGTAGTGGTATTATTTAGTAATTAAGTTGTAGTTCCTGGTAGTAGAGGACAAAGTTGAGATGACTTAAGTTTGAAATCTGGAAAATATTTCATGTTATAGTAGAAGACATATTCTCAAAGAAGATGGCCTTTTGCCTGAGGTACTCATAGACAGCTTTCTTTTGTAACTTTAACTAATCCCTGTTGAAATTTCCAGCAAGTGTGATGAAAGAAGATATTCCAGGGGATTTTAAATGAAAATGAAATTGAGGGAAAGATAGTAAAACAGAGAGAGAGAGAAAGAGAGAGAGAGAGAGAGACCATAGTAATGACTTTTTTTTTTTAACCCAGAGAATAGCATAGACTTGGAAAAATACACATTTCTTATAAGCCATCCAAGGGCTTCTCTATGCAAAGAAAAACAAAAACCACATTTTCTCCCAGACTTTCTCATCTCCCAAAACCAACTGTGGCAAAACTGTCATTCTGGAGCCCCTTTGCTGTGGTTAAATACTTTGGAAAGCAGTGCTTTTCCTTTGCTCATCAGTTTTACTTCCTGCGGTGTGGCTCCCTCATGTTTCAATAGGGACTTCTTGGAAGTGTGGGGTGATTTTTTTAAATTAAATTTATTGGAACCTTATTCATGAGGATAAACCCATGAGAATAGGTTTAATATGCAATAGAAGTCCAAGATGGGCAAATTAAACAACTTTGCTAACCAAGATATGGCGTTTTCTAGGCTCCTGAAAACTCCAACTGACCATATGAAGGCAAGATGGATAAAGGATTCAGAATAACACATCATTCTTAGTTTCATAAAAATCACATCTAAAAAGCTGGTGTGGAGTGGCAAGTTGGAATAAAACAAAAACAAACAAACGAAAAACAAGACCCATCCATCTGCTGTCTTCAAGAGCTCCATCTCACATGTAATTATACCCACAGAGTTAAAATAAAGAAACAAGGATCCACGATGCAAAAGGAAAACAAAAAAGATCAGAAGTTGCTATTCTTAGATAAAACAGACTTTAAACCAACAACAGCAAAAAAGGACAAAGAAGGGCATTACATAGTGATAAAGTGTTCGATTCAAGAAGATGAATTAACTATTCTAGACATATATGCACCCAGCATTGGGATATCCAGATTCATAATGCAAGTACTTCTAGACCTGCAAAAAGACAGCTGCACAGTAATAGTGGGGGACTCCAACACCCTACTGACGCATTAGGTAGATCATCAGGGCAGAAAATGAACAAAGAAATTCTTGTGCTCACTTCAGCACGTATACTAAAATTGGAATGATACAGAGAATATTAACATGGCCCTGCTTTAAGGATGACACAAAAATTCATGAGGCATTTCATTATGTTTCAAAGATACAGCATACCAGAATCTCTGGGTCACAGCTAAAGCAGTGTTAAGAGGGAAGTTTATAGCGCCAAATGCCCGCATTAAACTGTTAGAAAGATCTCAAAGTAACAACGTAACATCACACCTACAGGTACTAGAGAAACAAAACCAAAGCAACCTCAAAACTAGCAGAAAACAAGAAACAACAAAAATCACAGCTGAACTGAAAAAAAAATTAAGATGTGAAAAACCATACAAAATATCAATGAATCTAGCAGTTTGTTTCTTGAAAGAATAAATAAAATTGATAGACCACCATCTAGACTAATAAAGAGGATCCAAATAAACGCAATCAGAAATGACAAACGAAATATTACCAGACTCCATAGAATTACCAAAAAAAAAAAAAAAAAAAAAAAACCCTCCCAGAAACTACCACAAACACATCTATGCACACAAACTAGAAAACCTGGAAGAAATGAATTCTTGGAAACATATAACCTCCCAAGATTGAACCAGGAAGAAATTAAATTCCTAGACAGACCAATAAAGGGTTCTCAAATTGAATCAGCAATCAAAAGCCTACCAACCAGAAAAAGCCCAGGACCAGACAGATTCACAGATACATACTACCAGATGAATAAAGAAGAGCTGGTACCATTCCTAATAAAACTATTCCAAAAAATTTAGAAGGAGAAATTCCTCCCTAACTCACTCTATGAAGCCAGCATCATTCTGATACCAAAACCTAATGGAGACACGACAAAAAAAGAAAATTTCAACACAATAATCTTGATGAACATAGATGCAAAAATTCTCATCAAAATACTAGCCAACTAAATCCAGCAGCATATCAAAAAGTTAATGCACCATGATCAAGTAGGCTTTATCCCTGGGATGCAAGTTTGGGTCAACATACACAAATGTATGTACCAATAAATGTGATTTACCATATAAAGCTAAAAACAAAAACCACATGATCATCTCAATAGATGCAGAAAAGGCTTTTGATAATATTGAATATCTCTTTATGTTAAATACTCATGAAACACTAGGTATTGAAGGAATATACCTCCAAATAATAAGAGTCATCTATGACAAATCCGCAGCCAACATCATACTGAATTGGCAAAAGTTGGAAGCATTCCCCTTGAGAACTGGAACAAGACAAGGATGCCAACTTTCCCCACTCATATTCAACACAGTACTAGAAGTCCTAGCCAGAGCAATCAGACCAGAGAAATAAATAAAAGGCATCCGAATAGGAAGGAAATAAGTCAAACTATCTTTGTTTGCAGAAGATATTATTCTATACCTAGAAAACCCCATAGTCTCTGCCCAAAAAACCTAGATCTGATCAACAACTTCAGCAAAGTTTCAAGACACAAAATAAGTGTGCAAAATTTAGTAGCATTTTTATACATCAACAACATCAAGGCTGAGAGCCAAATCAAAAAAGACAATCCTATTCACAATAGCCACAAAAAATAAAATACCTAGGAATACAGCTAACCAGGGAGGCAAAAGAGCCCTACAATAAGAGCTACAAAACACTGCTGAAAGAAATCAGAGATGATACAAATAGAAAAACATTTTATGTTCATGGATAGGAAGAATTAATATTATCAAAATGGCCACACTGCCCAAAGCAATTTACAGATTCAATGCTATTTAAATCTACCAATGACATTCTTCACAAAATTAGAAAAAAAATCTATTGTAAAATTCATATGGAACCAAAAAGGAGCTTGACTAACTAAGGAAATCCCAAGCAAAAACAGCAAAACTAGAGGTATAACATTACTCAACTTCAAACTATATTACAATGCTACAGTAACCAAAACAGCATGGTACTGGTACAAAAACAGACATACAGACCAATGGAACAGAATACAGAGCCCAGATATTATGTTATACACCTACAACCATCTGATCTTTGACAAAGCCAACAAAAACAAGCAATGAGGAAATGGCTCCCTATTCAATAAATGGTGCTGGCATAACTGGCTAGCCATGCAGGAGATTGAAGCTGAACTCCTTTCCTTACATCATATAAAAAAATCAACTCAAGATAGATTAAAGGTTTTAATGCAAAACCTAAAATTATGAAAACCCTGGAATATAATCTAGGAAATGTCATTTTGGATATAGGCCCTGGCAGAGATTTCATAACAAAGATGCCAAATACAATTGCAACAAAAACAAAACTTGACAAATGGAACCTAATTCAACTAAAGAATTTCTGCACAGCAAAAGAAACTATCAACAGGTTAACAGACAATCTACAGAATGGAAGAAAATATTTGCAAACTATGCATCTGACAAAGATCTAATATCCAGAACCTACAAGGAATGTAAACAAATTAACCAGCAAAAAACAACCCTATTAAAAAGTGGCCAAAGGACACAAACAGCTATTTTTCATAAGGCATACACACATATGACAAGCATATGAGAACATTCACATTACTAATCATTAGAGAAGTGCAAATCAAAACCACAATGAAATACCATCTCACACCAGTCAGAATGGCTATTATGAAAAAGTCAAAAACAAAACAAAACAAAACAAACAAACAAAAAAAAAACAGAAGCTGGTAAAGCTGCAGAGGAAAGGGAATTGATCGTTGATGTGGATGTAAATTAATCCAGCCACTATGGAAAGCAGTCTGGAGATTTCTTAAAGAACTTAAAACAGAATCACCAATTGACCCAGCAATCCCATTAGTGGGTATCTATCCAAAAGAAAACAAATTGTTCTACCAAAAAGACACATTCATTTGCACTTTCATCGCAGGGTTATTCACAATAGCAAAGACATGGAATCGACCTAGGTTCCCATCAATGATGGACTGGATTTTAAAAATGTAGTATATACACACCATGGAACATTATACAACCATAAGAAAGAACAAAATTATGTCCTTTGCAGCAACACAGATGGAGCTAGAGATGCAGCTGGAGGCCATTATCCTATGTGAATTAATGCAGGAACAGAAAAACAAATACTGCATGTTCTTACAAGTGGGAGCTAAACACTGGATACTCATGGATATATGGATAGCAACAATAGACACTGGGGACCACTATAAACGGGAGGAAGAAGAGGGCGTTGAAAAATTGACTATTGGGTACTCTGCTCAGTACCTGGATGACGGGATCATTCATACTCCAAACCTAAGCATCATGCAATACACTCAGGACATGTAACAAACCTACACATGTACCCCCCACCGAATCTAAAATAAAAGTTGAAAAAATTTAAAATATTAAAAAAAGACTAGTGTATGGAGAAAATCCATGTGAAGAGTAAGGTCCCAAGCTTGATTTACCTGACATGTCTCTTCAAGTGAAATACAAAATCCTGTTTCAGCTCATCTTCCCATTCATTCATCACTACCACAAACTCAAGCAAAGAATTGTTGAGAACCCAAAACAAACCACTCACCAGTTGCCATTCCAACTCCAGTGGCAACTCCAATGCCTGTAGAAGTCGTAGCCTCTGAGAAGAAACAGGAGAAAGTGGTATAGAACGTAGACATTTGGAAAAACGAGTAACAGTCTTACTTTATGTAATATCCCTGTGGGAGCCATCAGGTCCCCAGAAGTTCACATAGGCAGGTTTCTTCAACTCTTTCATGACTCACTTGTGTTGGAACTCCCAGATACAATGGTTGTGCCAGTAGTTATCCCAGTGGTAACTGCAATCACAAGAGGAGAGAATCAATTTTTGAATTCCTTTTCATCTAAAATTAGGATTTGGTTTAGAAAAAAATAATAGGTTTCTCAAGTGAACTAAAAGGTTTATATCAGGAACTTTTTTGCCTTAAGTGATATATTAGGCATGTTCTCATGATGCCATTGTATTGCAAATAAGCAGCAATTCACAAGGAGTAAACTATTTATATACCAGTAATTTGTACACAATGATTGAGGAAAATGTCCACTCAGTTCATTATAGCCAATTTGATTTAGTTTAAGATGAAAAGAAAAAAATAATTATTTGATTGCTAGTGCCCACCTATTTTACTTCCAGCCTCAGTGGTTCCACCATTGCCCAAAGAAGTTGTGGCTTCTAAGTGAAGGGAGAAAAGAAGTAAATTCAGAAGAATCCTATAACTGAGAAAATCCCGTGGTATTCCCATGGTACGGTAGAGAGTGTGTATGTTTCTGGGGAGGGATTCAGTCATATTCCATGACTAAAACCCCTCATTCCCTATTAGGTTACCTCTGTTGGAACTTCCAGATACAACTGTTGTGCCAGAGACTATACCAGTGGTACCTAAAGCAGGGAGAGGGAAAGAGAGACCCCAAATTGTGATGCATTTACCATCCCAAGAAGAACATGGACGCCAGTGACTGTCTATGACTTGAAAGCAGCAGAAAGCTTGTGCTATCCTGTCATCATGAAGTGTGTTCTCCATTTTTAAACTCAGAGTCACAGTAAACACATTAGTTTGTAGTCCAGCCTTGATTATTTGGCTCCTTAGAGTTTAATGTCAGAGGTTTCGGGGTATTTTTCACGCTTACCTATTTCACTTCCAGGGTTTGACCTCTCAGATGTGCCACTGGTAGCTTCTAGTGACAAGAAATGAAAACAATATTTGTGTAAAGGTATTCAACTGCATTCAATAAACTTATAACATCCAAATTCCAAAATATGACAGATCTAAACCTCTAGAGTAACTTCTATCACCTCTGCTGCCTTAAATAGAACAATACGGATTTATATTTCCTCCGTATGTACTGGGTAATAGCTTAAATGTTAAAAGGGGAATCTTTCTGGACTCTGAGCCTCTTTTTCTATAATTGTAGTATAAGGTTTGGCCCCAGGAGAAATGATATGATTTTTATAAATACAAGCTTTGTTTAACAAATATCTCTATGAAAAGGCAAAAGCCCAATGTAGATTTGTAGAAACTCAAGAGTTGCCAATTCTTTGGCCAGGCGCAGTGGCTCACACTTGTTATCCCAGCACATTGGGAGGCCAAGAAAGGCAGATCACTTGAGGCCAGGAGTTCAAGACCAGCCTGGACAACATGGTGAAACCCCATATCTACTAAAAAAAAAAAAAAAATAGCTTGGTGTGGTGGTGCACACCTGTAATCCCAGCTACTTGAGTGGCTGAGGTAAGAGAATTATTTGAACCCTGGAGGTAGAATTTGCAGTAGGCTGAGGTCACACCACCGCACTCCAGCCTGGGCTGGAGACTATCTCAATAGTGAGACTATCTCAAGAAAAAAATAATATATACATTTGTCATTTTTTCTCATTTCTCATTTTTTCTCATGTATATTAATATATGTGTGTGTATATATATATTTATTTGTGTGTGTGTGTGTATATATATATATTTGCCAATTCCACTTTCATTGATTATGCTTCCTTCCATGGAAGTTATATCTTCTGAGAATAAAAAGGAAGAAAGTAGTGAGGGCTAACAGAAAATCATCAAAAGACATAATGTGCCATTGCTGCAGAGTTAGCACCCAACCAAAAAAAAAAAAAAAAAAAAAAAACCAACAGTATCTGTTTCCTCATTGACTCACCTGTGTTGAAACTGCTAGGTGAGATGGTGTTGCCAGAGACCACTGCAGTAGTACCTAAAAACAAAATGGAAGGGTACCACTATATCAATTGTTTTCTTATAATAAAAGCCCATTCTATAATAGAATGAGGCAACGACAGAATTCTTTATTATGCAAGAAAAAAACATTTTCAGGGACAGCTTGTTCCAAAGTTATTTTGTATTTCGCAAATGTAATGCTCCATTCTCACTATAAACTTGATGGGGGAAGGGTGCAATGTGAGGTGGTGGTGGAGTCTCAATGAGAACGTCTCTTTTTCTGGATTCAATGTCAGGAAAACAAAGGTACTTTACTTACCTAGTGGAATGCTAGTGACTTGGCTACCTGATACCCCTAGAAGAAGGAACAAAGCAGGACTGATTACCTGTTGAATTTTCATTTGGGTAAAATATTGGTATTGTAGAAATTGTAGTAGTCTAAAAGAGTTGAGGTGTGACAAAAGAGTGTAGCGGTATCGTGTAGTGGTGATTTAGTATCATGGTTAAGAGGATGGATTTTGAAGCCAGAGTGCCTGAGTTGAAATCTGTTGTTTGCTCGCTGTGTGATCTTCATTCAGTTAGTGAATATCTTTGAGCCATAGGTTTTTCTCATCTGGAAAGTCTGTGAGAACAATAGTGCTTACCTCACAATTTGGGATGAGGGATAAAAGAAATAATAATGAGAAAAACGTGGAGTACTGCTTGGAACATAGTTCATGCTAGAAAGTGTTAACTACTATGGCTATTATTTTAAGTGAAAAGTGGACAGGTTAGGAAGCTCGTGTACTCACCTGTATTCATTCCACTTCCTGTGGTCTCAGTGTCTCTAAAGGACGTCATAGCTTCTTAGAAAGGAAAGGTAGGAAAATATAAAGTGAGAGGAATTAGCATTGTGAGGAAAGTGAAGGATGCACTGTTTTTGATAATAGTGCCACGGGAGGCACTTTACTAGTAAATCATTCTGTGGAGTCTCACCAGCTGGCTGGCTCACCTGTGTTTGAACTCCCAGGTTTAGATGTGTTGCCAGAAGCTACCCTAGTCTTTCTCTGTCACCCAGGCTGGAGTGCAATGGCACAATCTCTCACTGTAACCTCCGCCTCCCAGGTTCAAGTGATCCTCCTGCCTCAGCCTCCTGAGTAGCTGGGATTACAGGCTCATGCCACCACACCTGGCTAATTTTTGTATTTTTAGTAGAGAAGAGGTTTCACCATGTTGGTCAGGCTGGTCTCAAACTACTGACCTCAGGTGATCCACCCACCTCGGCCTCCCAAAGTGCTGGGACTACAGGTGTGAGCCATCGTGCCTGGCCTGTGTTTTCTCATGCATAGTTTTATTCTCAAATCAAAAAAAGATACAAATTCCTCAACAGAGGACTCCATTTGTCTGGAATTCAATGGCAGTAAGACAAGCGGCCCTCTTTCCTGCCATTTTTACCTATTGTGCTTCCAGTTCCTTGGTTTGCTGACCCTCTAGTGGTAGCTCTTAAAAGGATAAAAATAGAAAAACTTTGGAATATAAATGTAGACTAGAGTTATAGGGATAACTACGGTACATTTCAGTCATTATTGTGCTCAAGGAAAAATATATCGTTTGAGGCAAATCTGTGTGCATTTTGGCCTTCTGTTGACCTGAAATGGAATCCTCTGAGCCAGTAATTCTATGATAACTAAAATGGAAAAAGAAAACTTTTCATACAACTATCACTTTCACTCTCATTTGCAGAGACTTATATATGTGAGGCTTGACCCTGGAAATGGAAGGAAATTTGCCCAAGTTAATTCAAAATTAAGTAACAAAACGCTGATCTTAGATAAGAGTTCCTCAAAAGCTCCTCCTTGAAAAACTATCCTATTAAGAAGCAAAGTATAATTGTAATTTATTATCACTCAAAAGTCATACATGCATGCACAAACACACACCATTAATTCTCACCTGTCTTCCATCCCACTACAGTGGTTCTATGGACTCCTGTGGAAGTTGTGGCTTCTGGAAGAAAAAGAGAAGCAACGAGTAAAGGATGAGGACTTAGAAGGATGGGGAAATATACTGTGATGCTCTTATAGAAGACGAGCAATGTGAAAGACATTTTTGCCATCTTATTTCCAGAAAAGGAGCTTTCTTCTCAGCTTGTTAGTGTACCTGTACTGGAACTTCCAGGTGCAACAGCTGTGCTCAAGGCCACACCAGTAGTGCCTGAAATGAGAAGGTTATGGTGTTATAAAGAATCTTTTGCATGGAGGCAGTCTAGGTATAAACTAAATCTGTATTTCCAAGGCCATATCACTCATATTGTACACTGGCCAGCTCCAGGAGGCACCATTCACACAGCCTGCTTTGTCTATGTGGCAGTCCTTTGAGCATGTTCTTCCACTGGCCTTTTTGTTCCTGGATTGAATTATATATTTTTCCTATATTTTAATTATTTCATTCATTCAATAAATATTTATTGGGCCCTGTTTAGTACTAGGGATCATTGAACAGAGACTTTTTCTCAAGAAGCCTACCTTTTAGTAGGCTTTCCAAGCATATATAATATAAAACCCTCAAATGTGAGACAAAAGAATTTCTTTAACATATTTGCCTGTTTTACTTCCAGTGACTTGATTGTCTGATGCATCAGAGGTTCCTGATGCCTGAAAGTAGGAAAAACGATTCTGAGTATGTTTTGACCTATAATCAATCACTGAGGCAACCGTTCAGCCACTTAATACTTAAATCTCAGGATGGAGAGCACACAATTTCTGAGTTCATTTTAGTCATCTGTTCACCTGAGACAGACCTTCTGGGCCAGTCTTGACTCCTGCCTATTCTGTAGTAATATCTATAATATCCACTGGGTTAATTGTCCAGGGAATTACTGCTCCTGCTACCCTGTCCAGAAATCTATGTCCTAAGGCCAGGCATTGGAAAAGGCTGGTTCAGAAGTCAGCTCAGGGGTGTGGATGGGAGGACCTGCCCTCCCTATACGATAATCTTTCAGATCCAGAGGCAAACTCATGATACTACTTAATGGCCATGCTAACCTTTGAGACCCCTAGTTCTCAGTGATTTCACAACAGTGACTCTGATGACTTCTAAGGAAGCTTTGGCCTCTGCAAGAGGAAATGAAGCAGAAAGGATGTTTGGGGTTACATATTCCTCCTTGAAATTAAACAAGTGATGACTGCCATTGAAAATATTCACTTACCTATAACAGAACTTCCAGGTGCAACAGTTGTGTGAGAGATGATGCCACTGGAACCTGGAATCACTAAGAGAAGGAAACTTACATCATTTCCTTTACATTAACAGAAGGGCTAAGAAGAAAAACATTATATGTTTTTTGTTAACTCAGAGGGCGTATTCCATTATTCCTCATACACCTTTCAACAAGGACACTTCATTCCAAAAAAAAAAAAAAAAAAAAAAGCCAAGGCTAAGGACTCACATTAGAAGTATCCTTATTATCTGAATACTGGTAAATATCAGGAAGATATTTATACTTTCCCATGCTCACCTGTTTGACTGCTGGAGAGTTGGCTCCCCAGTGCAGTGGTCATGGATCCTGTAAAAGAGAAAAGAGAGAGAATATTCTGCTATCTATAAATGTAAAAATTTTGGTAAAACACTAATATTCTGAACTTTGGGGGCTTGGACAAAGATTTCCGTAGGAAATCACTCTGTATTTATTTCAATCAATTTGAATTGTTAGAACTATTTTAGAAACTTCCCATTTTCACCTGAGACTGTTACTGCTTCAGTGATTTTAGAGAAAATTGTAGCCTCTGAGAAAAAGGGAAAAAGAATAGCAGTGAGGTCAAAGATTTGAAGAATCTGAGAACTCATGGTAGGATCACCCAGGCAGAGACACCTCATTGAGGAGCCCTTCCCAAGCAGTGGTTTCTCCCAGCCTGGTGCTTTACCTGAGTTGGAGCTCCCAGGGGAGACTGTTGTCCCAGAGGGCACTCCAGCTGTGCCTAGGAAGGAAAGAAAAAAAAAAAGATCAACAGATTGACACATTTGTAACCCTTAGAAGAATGTGGCCAGCATCATGTCTACCTGGACCTTGGAGCAGCAAAAGATGCTTCCTGGACCTATGACTGACAGGAGCTGGTATTTTCTATGTTTACCGTGTGCCTGTGTAAGGCCAAGGTTAATGCAGTGGCTAATGGGCCTGCTCTGATTACTTTTGCCAAGATTGAAGGTCATATCAAAGATGTTCTCCAAGTTTACCTGTCTTACTTCCTGGTGCTCTGGTGGTGGCTCCTAATGAAAATGAAAAGAGAGAGGAAGAAGGAGGAGGAGGAGGAAGAGGAAGAAAAGGGAGAAAAGAAAGAAGAAAGGAAAGTTTGAATTTTTACCCCTGAACTAAAATATGACATCTTAATGATTTCTCTGCTGAATACAAGTCAGTACTGTAATGATACACACACTGAGTTATTTTCAAAGGAAAAACCCTTTCAGAGCCAGAGCTACTGTAACTCTCCTCTCTAGAGGCCTCGAACCCTGAGGCTAGTCCTAGAGAAGAAAAAACCTTTTGGAAATTTGGGCCCAAGTTGTTCCAAATCTGAAAGGAAATCCTGGTTGCTTTGAAATAGCTTCAAAAGGAAAGGAAAAACTCTATTCCACATTAAAGAGATTATTTGCATAATCTATTCAACCCTTCTATAATTTACAATTATTCCAAAATAAAAAGTTCATTGAAAAAAATGTTTCCTCTAACAAATTTATCAAAATACAACAGTAAATAATGAAACCCCCATAATCTTCACCTGATTTTATTTCTGCTCCAGTGGTGCTACTTCCTCCTAGGAAAATTGTGGTCTCTTAAAGATGGAAAGAAAACTAAAATTAATTGAGTGCTAAGAAAAAGGGATGAGCTAAGCTGATATCATTACATGAGAGAAGCCCAGTTCAAAATGTCTTGCCACCTACTAAGTTAGAAAAGAAAGTTTCCTGACTGTAAAGGTGATGTAAACCTTCAATTCATAAGGGTATTTTTTTAAAATGGGGAATGAAAGAATTTTAACTCATATGGTTCATAGACTTTAGGTAGTTCTTAATTGGAATAAGATATGTAAACCTCTTAATAAAAATGGTTATAGAAAGGAACTCATCAATGATAGATATGCTCACTACTATTATCATCATTTTCATTGACTTAAGTATTAGAATTTCCTTTTTTTAAAATTATACTATAAGTTCTAGGGTACATGTGCACAACGTGCAGGTTTGTTACATATGTATACATGTGCCATGTTGGTGTGCTGCACCCATTAACTCGTCATTTACATCAGATATAACTCCCAGTGCAATCCCTCTCCCCTCCCCCCTCCCCATGATAGGCCCCAGTGTGTGATGTTCCCCTTCCCGAGTCCAAGTGATCTCATTGTTCAGTTCCCACCTATGAGTGAGAACATGCGGTGTTTGGTTTTCCGTTCTTGTGATAGTTTGCTAAGAATGATGGTTTCCAGCTGCATCCATGTCCCTACAAAGGACACAAACTCATCCTTTTGTATGACTGCATAGTATTCCACGGTGTATATGTGCCACATTTTCTTAATCCAGTCTATCATTGATGGACATTGGGGTTGGTTCCAAGTCTTTGCTATTGTGAATAGTGGTGCAATAAACATACATGTGCGTGTGTCTTTACAGCAGCATGATTTATAATCCTTTGGGTATATCCCCAGTAATGGGATGGCTGGGTCAAATCGTATTTCTAGTTCTAGATCCTTGAGGAATTGCCACACTGTCTTCCACAATGGTTGAACTAGTTTACAGTCCCACCAACAGTGTAAAAGTGTTCCTATTTCTCCACAACCTCTCCAGCACCTGTTGTTTCCTGACTTTTTAATGATTGCCATTCTAACTGGTGTGAGATGGTATCTCATTGTGGTTTTGATTTGCATTTCTCTGATGGCGAGTGATGATGAACATTTTTTCATGTGTCTGTTGGGTGTATAAATGTCTTCTTTTGAGAAGTGTCTGTTCATATCCTTTGCCCACCTTGGGATGGGGTTGTTTGATTTTTTGTGTGTAAATTTGTTTGAGTTTCTGTAGATTCTGGATATGAGCCTTTTGTCAGATGAGTAGATTGCAAAAATTTTCTCCCATTCTGTAGGCTGGCTGTTCACTCTGATGGTAGTTTCTTTTGCTGTGCAGAAGCTCTTTAGTTTAATTAGATACCATTTGTCAATTTTGGCTTTAGTTGCCATTGCTTTTGGTGTTTTAGACATGAAGTCCTTGCCCATGCCTATGTCCTGAATGGTATTACCTAGGTTTTCTTCTAGAGTTTTTATGGTTTTAGATCTAACATTTAAGTCTTTACTCCATCTTGAATTATTTTTTGTCTAAGGTATAAGGAAGGGATCCAGTTTCAGCTTTCTATATATGGTTAGCCAGTTTTCTCAGCACCATTTATTAAATAGGGAATTCTTTCCCCATTTCTTGTTTTCTTTTTTTTTTTTTTTAATTTATTTATTATTATTATACTTTAAGTTGTAGGGTACAGGTTTGTTACATATGTATACTTGTGCCATGTTGGTGTGCTGCACCCATCAACTCGTCATTTACATCAGGTATAACTCCCAATGCAATCCCTCCCCCCTCCCCCCTCCCCATGATAGGCCCCGGTGTGTGATGTTCCCCTTCCCGAGTCCAAGTGATCTCATTGTTCAGTTCCCACCTACGAGTGAGAACATGCGGTGTTTGGTTTTCTGTTCTTGTGATAGTTTGCTAAGAATGATGGTTTCCAGCTGCATCCATGTCCCTACAAAGGACACAAACTCATCCTTTTTTATGGCTGCATAGTATTCCATGGTGTATATGTGCCACATTTTCTTAATCCAATCTGTCACTGATGGACATTTGGGTTGATTCCAAGTCTTTGCTATTGTGAATAGTGCTGCAATAAACATACGTGTGCATGTGTCTTTATAGCAGCATAATTTATAATCCTTTGGGTATATACCCAGTAATGGGATGGCTGGGTCATATGGTACATCTAGTTCTAGATCCTTGAGGAATCGCCATACTGTTTTCCATAATGGTTGAACTAGTTTACAATCCCACCAACAGTGTAAAAGTGTTCCTATTTCTCCACATCCTCTCCAGCACCTGTTGTTTCCTGACTTTTGAATGATCGCCATTCTAACTGGTGTGAGATGGTATCTCATTGTGGTTTTGATTTGCATTTCTCTGATGGCCAGTGATGATGAGCATTTTTTCATGTGTCTGTTGGCTGTATGAATGTCTTCTTTTGAGAAATGTCTGTTCATATCCTTTGCCCACTTTTTGATGGGGTTGTTTGTTTTTTTCTTGTAAATTTGTTTGAGTTCTTTGTAGGTTCTGGATATTAGCCCTTTGTCAGATGAGTAGATTGCAAAAATTTTCTCCCATTCTGTAGGTTGCCTGCTCACTCTGATGGTAGTTTCTTTTGCTGTGCAGAAGCTCTTTAGTTTGATGAGATCCCATTTGTCAATTTTGGCTTTTGCTGCCGTTGCTTTTGGTGTTTTAGACATGAAGTCTTTGCCCATGCCTATGTCCTGAATGGTACTACCTAGGTTTTCCTCTAGGATTTTTATGGTATTAGGTCTAACATTTAAGTCTCTAATCCATCTTGAATTAATTTTCATATAAGGAGTAAGGAAAGGATCCAGTTTCAGCTTTCTACTTATGGCTAGTCAATTTTCCCAGCACAATTTATTAAATAGGGAATCCTTTCCCCATTTCTTGTTTCTCTCAGGTTTGTCAAAGATCAGATGGCTGTAGATGTGTGGTATTATTTCTGAGGACTCTGTTCTGTTCCATTGGTCTATATCTCTGTTTTGGTACCAGTACCATGCTGTTTTGGTTACTGTAGCCTTGTAGTATAGTTTGAAGTCAGGTAGCGTGATGCCTCCAGCTTTGTTCTTTTGACTTAGGATTGTCCTGGAGATGTGGGCACTTTTTTGGTTCCATATGAACTTTAAAGCAGTTTTTTCCAATTCTGTGAAGCAGCTCATTGGTAGCTTGATGGGGATGGCATTGAATCTGTAAATTACCTTGGGTAGTATGGCCATTTTCACGATATTGATTCTTCCTATCCATGAGCATGGTATGTTCTTCCATTTGTTTGTGTCCTCTTTTATTTCACTGAGCAGTGGTTTGTAGTTCTCCTTGAAGAGGTCCTTTACATCCCTTGTAAGTTGGATTCCTAGGTATTTTATTCTCTTTGAAGCAATTGTGAATGGAAGTTCATTCCTGATTTGGCTCTCTGTTTGACTGTCACTGGTGTATAAGAATGCTTGTGATTTTTGCACATTAATTTTGTATCCTGAGACTTTGCTGAAGTTGCTTATCAGCTTAAGGAGATTTTGGGCTGAGACAATGGGGTTTTCTAAATATACAATCATGTCATCTGCAAACAGGGACAATTTGACTTCTTCTTTTCCCAACTGAATACCCTTGATTTCTTTCTCTTGCCTGATTGCCCTAGCCAGAACTTCCAACACTATGTTGAATAGGAGTGGTGAGAGAGGGCATCCCTGTCTTGTGCCAGATTTCAAAGGGAATTTTTCCAGTTTTTGCCCATTCAGTATGATATTGGCTGTGGGTTTGTCATAAATAGCTCTTATTATTTTGAGGTACGTTCCATCAATACCGAATTTATTGAGCGTTTTTAGCATGAAGGGCTGTTGAATTTTGTCAAAAGCCTTTTCTGCATCTATTGAGATAATGATGTGGTTCTTGTCTTTGGTTCTGTTTATATGCTGGATTATGTTTATTGATTTGCGAATGTTGAACCAGCCTTGCATCCCAGGGATGAAGCCCACTTGATCATGGTGGATAAGCTTTTTGATGTGTTGCTGAATCCGGTTTGCCAGTATTTTATTGAGGATTTTTGCATCGATGTTCATCAGGGATATTGGTCTAAAATTCTCTTTTTTTGTTGTGTCTCTGCCAGGCTTTGGTATCAGGATGATGTTGGCCTCATAAAATGAGTTAGGGAGGATTCCCTCTTTTTCTATTGATTGGAATAGTTTCAGAAGGAATGGTACCAACTCCTCCTTGTACCTCTGGTAGAATTCAGCTGTGAATCCATCTGGTCCTGGACTTTTTTTGGTTGGTAGGCTATTAATTATTGCCTCAATTTCAGAGCCTACTATTGGTCTATTCAGGGATTCAACTTCTTCCTGGTTTAGTCTTGGAAGAGTGTAAGTGTCCAGGAAATTATCCATTTCTTCTAGATTTTCCAGTTTATTTGTGTAGAGGTGTTTATAGTATTCTCTGATGGTAGTTTGTATTTCTGTGGGGTCGGTGGTGATATCCCCTTTATCATTTTTAATTGCGTCGATTTGATTCTTCTCTCTTTTCTTCTTTATTAGTCTTGCTAGTGGTCTGTCAATTTTGTTGATCTTTTCAAAAAACCAACTCCTGGATTCATTGATTTTTTGGAGGGTTTTTTGTGTCTCTATCTCCTTCAGTTCTGCTCTGATCTTAGTTATTTCTTGCCTTCTGCTAGCTTTCGAATGTGTTTGCTCTTGCTTCTCTAGTTCTTTTAATTGCGATGTTAGAGTGTCAATTTTAGATCTTTCCTGCTTTCTCTTGTGGGCATTTAGTGCTATAAATTTCCCTCTACACACTGCTTTAAATGTGTCCCAGAGATTCTGGTATGTTGTATCTTTGTTCTCATTGGTTTCAAAGAACATCTTTATTTCTGCCTTCATTTCGTTATGTACCCAGCAGTCATTCAGGAGCAGGTTGTTCAGTTTCCATGTAGTTGAGCGGTTTTGATTGAGTTTCTTAGTCCTGAGTTCTAGTTTGATTGCACTGTGGTCTGAGAGACAGTTTGTTATAATTTCTGTTCTTGTACATTTGCTGAGGAGTGCTTTACTTCCAATTACGTGGTCAATTTTGGAGTAAGTACGATGTGGTGCTGAGAAGAATGTATATTCTGTTGATTTGGGGTGGAGAGTTCTATAGATGTCTATTAGGTCTGCTTGCTGCAGAGATGAGTTCAATTCCTGGATATCCTTGTTAACTTTCTGTCTCGTTGATCTGTCTAATGTTGACAGTGGAGTGTTGAAGTCTCCCATTATTATTGTATGGGAGTCTAAGTCTCTTTGTAAGTCTCTAAGGACTTGCTTTATGAATCTGGGTGCTCCTGTATTGGGTGCATATATATTTAGGATAGTTAGCTCTTCCTGTTGAATTGATCCCTTTACCATTATGTAATGGCCTTCTTTGTCTCTTTTGATCTTTGATGGTTTAAAGTCTGTTTTATCAGAGACTAGTATTGCAACCCCCGCTTTTTTTTGTTCTCCATTTGCTTGGTAAATCTTCCTCCATCCCTTTATTTTGAGCCTATGTATGTCTCTGCGTGTGAGATGGGTCTCCTGAATACAGCAGACTGATGGATCTTGACTCTTTATCCAGTTTGCCAGTCTGTGTCTTTTAATTGGAGCATTTAGTCCATTTACATTTAAGGTTAAGATTGTTATGTGTGAACTTGATCCTGCCATTATGATATTAACTGGTTATTTTGCTCGTTAGTTGACGCAGTTTCTTCCTAGCCTTGATGGTCTTTACATTTTGGCATGTTTTTGCAATGGCTGGTACCGGTTGTTCCTTTCCATGTTTAGTGCTTCCTTCAGGGTCTCTTGTAAGGCAGGCCTAGTGGTGACAAAATCTCTAAGCATTTGCTTATCTGTAAAGGATTTTATTTCTCCTTCACTTATGAAACTTAGTTTGGCTGGATATAAAATTCTGGGTTTAAAATTCTTTTCTTTAAGAATGTTGAATATTGGCCCCCACTCTCTTCTGGCTTGAAGAGTTTCTGCTGAGAGATCTGCTGTTAGTCTGATGGGCTTCCCTTTGTGGGTAACCCGACCTTTCTCTCTGGCTGGCCTTAAGATTTTTTCCTTCATTTCAACTTTGGTGAATCTGGCAATTATGTGTCTTGGAGTTGCTCTTCTCAAGGAGTATCTTTGTGGCGTTCTCTGTATTTCCTGGATCTGAATGTTGGCCTGCCCTACTAGGTTGGGGAAGTTCTCCTGGATGATATCCTGAAGAGTGTTTTCCAACTTGGTTCCATTTTCCCCCTCACTTTCAGGCACCTCAATCAGACGTAGATTTGGTCTTTTTACATAATCCCATACTTCTTGCAGGCTTTGTTCATTTCTTTTTCTTCTTTTTTCTTTTGGTTTCTCTTCTCGCTTCATTTCATTCATTTGATCCTCAATCGCTGACATTCTTTCTTCCAGTTGATCGAGTCAGTTACTGAAGCTTGTGCATTTGTCACGTATTTCTCGTGTCATGGTTTTCGTCTCTTTCATTTCGTTTATGAGCTTCTCTGCATTAATTACTCTAGCCATCAATTCTTCCACTTTTTTTTCAAGATTTTTAGTTTCTTTGCGCTGGGTACGTAATTCTTCCTTTAGCTCTGAGAAATTTGATGGACTGAAGCCTTCTTCTCTCATTTCGTCGAAGTCATTCTCCGTCCAGCTTTGATCCGTTGCTGGCGATGAGCTGCGCTCCTTTGCCGGGGGAGATGAGCTCTTATTTTTTGAATTTCCAGCTTTTCTGCCCTGCTTTTTCCCCATCTTTGTGGTTTTATCTGCCTCTGGTCTTTGATGATGGTGATGTACTGATGGGGTTTTGGTGTAGGTGTCCTTCCTGTTTGATAGTTTTCCTTCTAACAGTCAGGACCCTCAGCTGTAGGTCTGTTGGAGATTGCTTGAGGTCCACTCCAGACCCTGTTTGCCTGGGTATCAGCAGCAGAGGCTGCAGAAGATAGAATATTTCTGAACAGTGCGTGTACCTGTCTGATTCTTGCTTTGGAAGCTTCCTCTCAGGGGTGTACTCCACCCTGTGAGGTGTGGGGTGTCAGACTGCCCCTAGTGGGGGATGTCTCCCAGTTAGGCTACTCAGGGGTCAGGGACCCACTTGAGCAGGGAGTCTGTCCCTTCTCAGATCTCAACCTCCGTGTTGGGAGATCCACTGCTCTCTTCAAAGCTGTCAGACAGAGTCGTTTGCGTCTGCAGAGCTTTCTGTTGTTATTGTTTACTGTGCCCTGTCCCCAGAGGTGGAGTCTACAGAGACAGGCAGGTTTCCTTGAGCTGCTGTGAGCTCCATCCAGTTCGAGCTTCCCAGCAGCTTTGTTTAGGTACTTAAGCCTCAGTAATGGCGGGCGCCCCTCCCCCAGCCTGGCTGCTGCCTTGCCGGTAGATCACAGACTGCTGTGCTAGCAATGAGGGAGGCTCCGTGGGTGTGGGACCCTCCCGGCCAGGTGTGGGATATGATCTCCTGGTGTGCCTGTTTGCTTAAAGCGCAGTATTGGGTTGGGAGTTACCCGATTTTCCAGGTGTTCTGTGTCTCAGTTCCCCTGGCTAGGAAAAGGGATTCCCTTCCCCCTTGTGCTTTCCAGGTGAGGCAATGCCTTGCCCTGCTTCAGCTCTCGCTGGTCGGGCTGCAGCAGCTGACCAGCACCGATCGTCTGGCACTCCCCAGTGAGATGAACCCAGTACCTCAGTTGAAAATGCAGAAATCACCGGTCTTCTGTGTCGCTCGAGCTGGGAGTTGGAGACTGGAGCTGTTCCTATTCGGCCATCTTGCTCCGCACCCCCCCCCGCCCATTTCTTGTTTTCATCAGGTCTGTCAAAGATCAGATGTTTGTTGATGTGTGATATTATTTCTGAGGGCTCTGTTCTGTTCCATTGGTCTATATCTCTGTTTTGGTACCAGTACCATGTGCAAGAAATTTGCCAGAGGGAGTGGGGACAGTCTCAGGGCTGGCCACAAATTGCCTTTGCTTGGATGTCCTCTCTTCAAAAAAAAAATAAAATTGCCAGCACCTACCACATTGGAACTTGGAATTAGAAAGTGACAGGATTCATTATCTTTATTCTTTGCCCAAAATAAGAAAGAAAATGGCTGAGGATGAAGGTGAGGAAACTGTGTTTTCTCAATGTGCCAACAAGCTCTTTTTTAGATGTTTCTAGACCCAGGAGTTGCATCTGTATATGTCTTCCATGCACCATTTCTATCTCAGAAAACTTAATGACAAAAATTTCATTATCTCAATTACTTCCTTCCTTTAGATATCAATGAGAGAAAGAAGACATTTCTCTCCAATCACCCAACTGATTCTCTGTGCCTCAGCTCCATGGTGAAGTCTCCCTGAAGCAGAGGAAAGGACGATGAAGGAGGCTGAGTGTCACATTTGATAATTAGGTAAAATCCTGCCAATATGATAATGCTTGTTCTGAAAATACTCTTCACAGGAAGTACAAACATTAGATGTGATTCAGGCAACGTTGTCTACTGAGAAGCAGGTCGTGCTTCATCAGGGCTCACCTGCAGTGGGTCCAGTGCCAGTCACCCCGCTTGCTCCAGGAGAAGTTGTAGCTGCTGAGAGAGTGAAAAAAGTATGGAAAACATTCTGGGATTTAGAAAGGGAATGGTCTGCTTTTGCACAGAGGCAGCAAAAGGAAAGACACATTATTGTAGAAAGCATCCAAGAAATGGCTCTGTGCCAAATTGTGTACTTACCTGTGCTGAAACTTCCAGGAGCAACTGTTGTGCCAGGTGCTACCCCAGAGGTGCCTGAAACACAGAGGGATTGAGGTGACCATGATGAGTGAGTAAGTCAAATGAACACCTGAATCTAAAAGGTATATACTATATTTATTATCTATACGAGAAGTCGTTTTCCCTGAGGATATGGCAATTAGTGAACTAGATGCATTTGCTGGTTGTCAGTGCTTCACAACTAGAGCACATAGACAGTGTCCTCACCTTCAGGCACTTTTGGAGTTTGATAAAAGGGAAACTAGATGGATTTCCCCAATGCTTACCTGCTTGCTTTCCTGGTGCTACAGTGATGCCTGCTGTGAGATAGAAAGGAGGGGGGAAATGTTTTAAATGTGCTGAAACCATCAGATGTAGGAGAAGATAAAAAGCAAGAAAATGTGTACGCATGCACACACATATAAACGCCTGTGTCCTGGGTCCATGAGACTCTTTTGTATTTCACACACTTTCATGGAAAACTTTCTGAATTCCACCTCAAGTGCTAGTGACAGTTGTAACATGAATGGAGAAATTCCATTCCATCCTTAGACATAAAGCTGTCAGTCTCCATTCTAGAAATATTATAATTCAAAAAAAATTGTATCTCCACCAGCAAAACTATCTTGAATCACTTCCAGCATCCCTAAATAAAACACAGACTCTCTCATGCAAAGCTTAAGAGACCTAACACTTATGATGCCAAATCAGGGGCTTTCTTCTCACCGGTTTTGAATCCAGTTCCAGAAGTACCAGTCTCTTCAATGGAAGTTGTGGCCTCTGAGGGAAGAAAGAGAGTGGTAAAGTCTATGAATGTGGAATACTGGGAGAGGATACTCGGGTGAGATTTTATCATAGCAGACCTAAAATACATAGAATGACATTTGACATTAAGTACAACACATTAGGACTTCCCGATATAATGGTCATTCGAGAAGATTCTCCCGTGATACTTGAAATGGAAAAAGAAAATGGAAATGGAATAATAGAGCATTGTCTCCCAAATTAAGCTTAGAAGGATCAACATGGCAACCCTAAAGCACTGAAGCCCTTTCCTGAGAACATTCTATTTCTATAATGAATGGAAAATGAACAACTTCCTAGCACTTCATTTTCCAGGCCAACCAGAGATGAATGTGTTGCTATTGGGTTTCTCTTTCACTATGTCACAAGGGTAGAATAGAGTTTAAATCACCCTAATCTGTTTGCCTTCTAGGAGCATATCCTCCTTGTACGGCAGAGGTGCCTACAGAGGAAACAAAGCATAATTTTATCTTTATAAGTAGAACTCTTGGATACAACTTGCGGTGTTTTATAATCAGTTGTCTTCATGAAGCTTTCTGGTGAGGGGAGAGAGGAAACAAACATCTTGTAAAAGTAAATGAGAAAAATGATAGAAAGTGTCAAGCTGTGGGTGGAAAAGTACACTGGGAAAACAAGGACTGGAAGTTCTGGAAGGTTGGAATACATGCAATAGACTCTCAAGCCTCCTATCAGAAAAAAATGTCTCCATAAGCCAGGATACTGGAGATAGCCTGGCTGAGCCCTTTGGGGTCATGGAATCACAAGCAGAATCACGGGCCAGGTAGATATGACATAATATGGCCCCAGAGAAAATCCCCCTCCCTCAAAAACCTTCATGTTATTGTTCACTGCAGCCACCCAAATAGGGAGATGAGAGCAGGCCTCAGCCTGACAAGCTCACCTGGTGGGCCTGCTCGGGTGGTCCGGTTGTCTCCTGAGAAAGTTGTGACCTCTGAGAGAGAAAGGAATTGGAGGTATAATGACTACACATGACATTCTGTGGCTCTCAGAGACTAGACTGCTCAACGGGTCGTGATTAGAATTCCTGACCTGTTTGGGCACTTCCAGTTTCCAGAGTTTTGCCAGAGATGCCCTCAGTAGTACCTGAAATAAGAAAAGATTATGTAGTCAGTTTGTCAATTTGTCCTCCTTAATGATATGAGAATAAGCTATTAAAGGAAAAAGAAAATACTTATTTGCATCAATATACTAAAAATTTATTTTTCTGGATTTTGTATTTTAGGAGTTAATCCATTTACTGCCCATGGAACATACAGTTTCCTCGGCAAGTTTACAAACATCACAACTGAGGCCCTTTTTTAAGGTTTAGACACAGGAAGATAGATTTGGGCTCAAGTCACCTCTATAACTATCAGGGAATGGGTCCCATGATGCCCTGATCAAGTGCCTTTAGGCCCAAGGCAGATATAAGGAGGGAAAGTTGAAATTTATGAACCATATTTAATGATGTTAAATATTGAACACCTGCTGAATTTGTGTCTAATATGCCAGATCCGGGAAATTCAATGAGTTCTGCTATATTTCTAGCAACACATGGGAAACTTACAAATTACACTTAGTTCCTTAGGAGAGCTCACCTGTGACTATTTCAGCACTTGTTATACCACTTTCTCCTACAGAGGTTGTGGTCTCTGAAAAAGATGGAAAAAGAATAGCAGTGAGGGCAAAGATTAGAAGAATCTGAGAAAAGTATGGTAGAATTGCCCAGGCAGACACCCCACTGAGGAGCCCTTTCCAAGCAGTGGTTCCTCCCAGCCTGGTGCTTTACCTGAGTTGGAGCTCCCAGGGGCAACTGTTGTAGCAGAGGGCACTCCAGCTGTGCCTAGGTAGGAAAAAAGAGAAAGATGGGCACTCTTTTGTAATGCTTAGAAGAATGTGGCAGGCAACATGCCTGTCTTTGACTTTGGAGCAGGAAAAGATACTTCCTGGACCTATAACTGACAGGAGGACAGACATGTTTTGTGTTTTCTGTGTGCCTTTGCAAGGCCAAGGATAAGAAGACTGCCCTGATGACTTATTTTTGCCAATGTTGAAGGTCATATAAAAGGCATTTGTGAAATCTACCTGTCATACTTCCTGGTGCTCCAGTGGTGGCTCCTAATAAAAAGAAAAAAAAGAAGAAGAAGGATGAGAAGGAAAGAAAGACAAAGGAGAAAAAAAGAAAATTTTGGATTTTTATCTCTGAAGTGAAGTATGACAACCTAATGGTTTCTATGCTGAATACAAGTCAACACTATGATGATAAACAGACTATGCTCTTCTCAAAGGGAAATAATTGCAGAGCTGAAGCTACTGCAACTCTCCTCTCCAGAGGCCTAGAACCCTGAAGTTAGTCTCTAAGAAGGGAAAGCCTTCAGGAAATTTGGGCCCACATGTTTACAAATCCAGATCTAAGAAGAAATTCTGTTTCCCCTGAAATATTACAGCCTTAAAAGAAATTTAGAACTGCACTCCACATTAAAGTTATTCTTTGCATCATCAATGCAAATTTTCTGTAACTTAAAAACTCATTGTTAAAAAATGTTTCCTCTAAGAAATTTATCAAAATACAACAATAAATAATGAATACTACAACATATTTACCTGATTTTATTTCAGTTCTAGTGGTGCCAATTCCACCTGGGGAAGTTGTAGTCTCTTAAAGATGGAAAGAAAACCAAAATTAATTGGGTATTAAGGAAGAGGGATGAGCTAAGTGGATGTCAAGACATGCAATAAGCCTAAATCAAAATATCTTGTCACCTACTATTAAGTCACAAGAGAAATCTTTCTGACTGTAAACGTGATGGAAACCTTCAATATCCAAGTATAATTGTTAAATGGTGAGGTAAAACATTTTCAAATCATATTGTTCTAAATTGAAATGTAAGTGTTTCTTAATTGGAATAAGTTATTTAAACTTAATTTCAAAAGGTATACGGTCAGAACTCATAAATGATTGATATGCTTATTACTATTATCATCATTATTTATTGCTTTAAATATTAGATTTTTCACGTGCAAGAAGTTTGCCAGTGGCTGCCACATTGAAAGTTGGAATTAGAAAGTGATAGGAATCAAAATCTGAATTCTTTACCCGTAATAAGAATGAACATGTCATATCATGAAGGTGTGGGAACTATGTGTTTTCTCAAAGTGCCAAGAAGCTCTTTTCAGGGGTTTCTAGAACCAAGATTTAACCTACATATGTTTTCCATGCACCATTTCTGTCTCACAGAAAATTTAATGACAAAACTTTCCATAACTCAATTATTTCCTCTAGATATCAATGAGAGAAATAAAAACATGTCTCTCCAATCACACACAACTGATTCTCAGTGCCTTAGCTTCATGGTGAAGTCTCCGTGGAACAGAAGAAAGAAAAACAAAAGAATTTGAGTGTCGGGCCTTTAGTCATTTAGGTAATATCCCGCCTATCTGGTAATCCATGTTCAGAAAAGACTCTTCTACTGAGAAGGAGGTAGTGGATTGTCTGTGCTTACTCGAAGTGGTTCTAACCCCAGTCATTCCATTTGCTCCAGGAGAAGTTGTGGCTGCTGGCAGAGGAAGGACATGAATAGAAAAGATTCAGGGGGCATGGAATGGAATGGTGATGCTTCTGCATTGAAACACTCAAAGACATTATGGCAAGCACCCATGAAGGGATTCCCCACCACACAGTGGACTCACCTGTGCTGAAACTTCCAGGGGCAACTGTTGTGCCAGGCGCCATCACAGAGGTGCCTGAAACACAAAGGGATTGAGGGGACCATAGTGATTCAATAAGTTCTAGGAAGGCCCAAATCTTAAAGGGATATGCTGTATTTATGTATTTATTTATTTCCTACAACATACATCTCTCTCTGAGCATGAGACTGATGGTGAACTATATATATTTGCCTGCTTTCAAAAATTCATAACAAAGCACATAGAAAATGTTTCCAACTTCAAGCACAACTACAAAGTTGATAAAAGGGAAACCAGATGCATTTTCTCGATGCTCACCTGCTTGCCTCCCTGGGACTGAAGTGATGCCTACTGTGAGGTACGTAAGAAGAAAGAAAAAAGATTTAAATATGTTGAAACTTCAGATGTTGGAGAAAATTTTGGGAAAGCCAATTGTAAGATACATACACACAGATGCATGCATGAACCCTGGTTCCATGGGGCTCTTTCCTACCTCACACACATTCACACATGTACACACAGAAAACTGTGGCTTCCAGCTCAAATGCTGGTGGTAATAGTAACACAACGGGAAAACCCTCCCCATCCTCAGCCTCAATAGAGGGAGACTCAATTTTACAATAAGTAGCCTTTCAAAAAAGATTTCTCCCTAGTAACAAACCTATATTGAATCACTTGCAGTGCCTATAAAAACCACAAACACCCTCAAGGAAAGTTAAAAGACCTAATCTAGACAACCCCAAATTATGGGCTTTTTAGTCTCACCAGTTTTGAATACAGTTCTGGAAGGACCAGTCTCTTCAATGAAAGTTGTGGGCTCTGAGGAAAGAAATAGAGTAGGGAAGTCTGTGAATTTGGAATACTGAGAGGAGATACTGGGGCGTTATTTTATCACAGCAACCCTAAAAGTGATATCATTACATCTGACATTAAATATGAGGCACTTTATTCTTGTTAAGCTATGTGTGTTAGAACTTCCAGATATAATGGTTGTTCCAGAAGATTCTCCTAAAAAGAAAAAGGGGTAAATGCAGCAATAGAGTATTTTCTCCCCATTTATGCTTGGAAGCATCAATGTGGCCCTAAAGCACTGGAAGCCCTTTCCTGAGGATACTCTGTCTCTATAGTGAATGGAAAATGAACAACTTCTAGCACTTCATTTTCCTTGGCCAAACTGAGATGGATGTGTTGCTGCTGGGTTTCCCTTTTGCTATAAGGCAAAGGTAGACTAGGGTTTAAATCACCCTGACCTGTTTCCCTTCCAGGGACATATCCTTCTGATGTGCCAGAAGTGCTTACAGGAGAAATACAACATGGTTTTAACCTTAAGCAGGACTCTTTGATACAGCTAGGGGCATTTAAATAATCAGTTGACTTCACAGTTTTCTCATGAGGGGAGAGAGAAAATCAACATCATGTATAGCTAAATGAGAAAAATGATGGAAAGTGTCCAGCTGTGGGTGGAAAGGTAAATTGGGTAAAGGACAGCTGGACATTCTGGAAGGATGGGATAAGTGTAATAGACTCCCGAGCCTCATATCAGAAAAAAATGTTTCCGTAAGTCAAGATACTGAAGACAGCCTGGCTGAGCCATCTGAGATCATAGAATCACAAGCAGAATAACTGACCACATATAGGACACAATATGGCCCCAGAGAAAATCCCCCTCCCTCAAAAGCCTTCACATTATTTGTTCCCTGTATCCAACCAGAGAGAGAGATGATGAGAGCCTCAGGCCTCAGCCTAACAAGCTCACCTCCTGATGGTCCTGCTTGGGTGGTCCCGCTACCTCCTGAGAAAGTTGTGGCCTCTGAGAAAGAAAGGAATTGGATGTATGAAGAATGCACAGGACATTCTGGGGCCCTATAAGCTGTATTGCCCAGGGTGCCATGTTCAGAATTCCTGACCTGTGTGGGTACTTCCAGCTGCCAGAGTTTTGCCCTCAGTAGTACCTGAAATAAGAGAGGATTGTGATTAGTTGGTCAATCTGTTGTCATTAATGAAATGGCTATAGACTCCTATAGAAAAAAACCATTTTTTGTTAAACACACCAGAAAATTTATTTCTCTAGAGTTTTTGTTTTGTTTTGTTTTGTTTTTAAGAGTTAATCCATATACTGCCCATGGAACATATAGTTCCTTTGGCAAGTTTATAGAGAAAGTCCTCTACCATGGAGTTCCTTATTTAGGGTATTGTTACAGATAGAGAGATTTGGGCCCACATCACCTCTATAACTGTCAGGGAATGGGCTCCATGATGCCCTGATGAAGGGTCCTTAGACCCACAGCACAAGACGTAAGGAGGAAATGTTGATGTGCCTGAACTATATTTATTGATGTTAAATATTGATCATCTACTAAATGTTTTTCTAATATACCAAATATGGGAAATTCAGATTTTGCCATATTCTAGCAAGACATGGAAAATCATAGCAATGTATACTTAGTTCCTTAACTGAACTCACCTGTGGTTATTTCAGCTCTTGTTTTTCCACTTTCTCTTAAAGCAGTCACGGCCTCTGCAAAAGAGGGAAAAAGAATAGCAGTGAGGGCAAAGATTTGAAGAATCTGAGAAAAGCATGGTAGGATCACCCAGGCAGACACCTCATTAGGGAGCCCTTTCCAAGTACTTGTTCCTCCCAGTCTGGTGCTTTACCTGAGTTAGAGCTTCCAGGGGCAACTGTTGTCACAGAGGGCACTCCAGTTGTGCCTAGATAGGAAAGAAAAGAGAAAGATCAACATAGAGACCCTTTTATGACCCTTGAAAGAATGCGGCTGACAGCACGTCCATCTGTGACTTCAGAGCAGGAAAAGACGCTTCCTGGTCCTATAACTGACAGGAGAGGCATTTTTCATGTGTATTGTGTTCCTTGGCAAGGCCAAGGTTAACGCAATGGCTAATATGCTTGTCCTTTTTTTTTTTTTTTTTTTTTTTGCCAATGTTGAAGGTCATTTGAAAGGCTTTCCCAAGTTTACCTGTCTTACTTCCTGGTGTTCCAGAGGTGGCTCCTAATGAAAAGAAAAAGAGAAGAAGAAGGAGGAGGAAAGAAAGAGAAATAAGGAAGAAAAAATATTTTTGAATTTTTATCTCCAAACTAAAATATGGGCATCTTAATGATTTCTACACTGATTTGAAGCTAGTACACTAATGTTATATAGACTATGCTCTTTTCAAAGGGAAAACCATTTCAGAGCCAGAGCTGTTATTGTAACCCTCCTCTGCAGAGTCCTAGACCCCTGAGGTTAGTATCTGAAAAAGAAAAAGCCTTTAGGAAATTTGGGCCCACATATTTACAAATCCAAATCCAAGAAGAATCTCTGTTCCCCTTAAAATATTACAGCTTTAAAGGAAATTTAAAACCACTTCCACATTAAGGTGATTTTTGCATTATCAATGCAAATTTTCTGTAACTTAAAATTATTTCAAAATTAAAAGATCATTAAAAATATTTTTCTCTACAAAATCTATCAAAATACAATAATAAATGTAAATACCCTAAAGTCTACCTGATTTTATTTCTGCTCCAGTGGTGCCACCTCCTCCTAGGGAAGTTGTGGTTTCTTAAAGATGAAAAGAAAACTAAAATTAATTCAGTATTAAGGAAGAGGGATGAGCAAGCAGATGTCACTACATGAGATAAGCCCAATTCAAAATGTCTTGTCACCTACTATTAAGTCAGAAAAGAAGACCTACTGACTGTAAAAGTGATGGAAACCTTTAATACACACATTTAATTGATAAAATGGGGAGATAAAACATTTTAACTCACATGGTTCTTAGTTGGACCTTAGTTATTTCTTAATTGGAATAAGATATGTAAAATTCTTAACAAAAAAGCGTATATAGTAAGGAATGCATAAATGATAGATATGCTCACTATTATCATCATCATTATTTATTGCTTTAAATATTATACTTTTCATGTGTAAGAATTTTGCCAGTGGCTACCAAAAATGAACTTGGTATTAGAGAACAATGGGAATCAATATCTCAATCTTTACCCATAATGAGAAAAAGATGGCCTACGATGGGGTAAGGGAGCTATGTTTTCTCAGCATGTCAACAAGCTCTTTTCAGAGGTTCTAGAATCAAGAGTTAATTTATATATGTTCTTCACACCTTTTATATCTCATGGAATATTTAATGACAACCATTCCAAAAACTCAATTACTTCCTTTAGATATCAATGAGAGAAAGATATTTCTTTCTAATCACCCAACTGATTCTCAGTGCCTTAGCCCCATGCTGAAGTCTCTTTGAGGCAGAGGAAAGGAAGATAAAAGAGTCTGAGGATCTGACATTTGGTTATTACGTAAAATCCTGCCTATCCAGTAATCTGTGTTCAGAAAATGCTCTTCACAGGAGGTACAAACAGTAGATGTCATTCAGATAACCTTGTCTACTGGGAAGCAGTTAGTAGTTCATCAGTGGTTACCTTCAGCGGGTCCAGCCCCAGTGGTTCTACTTGCTCCAGGAGAAATTGTGGCTACTGAGAGAGGAGGGACATAAATGAAAAAGATTCAGGGGCCTAGGGATGGAATGGTGGTGCTTCTGCATATAAGCACCAAAGGAAAGACATTATTGTAGTAAGCACTCAAGAAACGATTCCTGTGGAATCAGTAAAGAAACTGTGGACTCACCTGTGCTGAAAATTCCAGGGGCAACTGTTGTGCCAGGTGCCACCCCAGAGGTACCTGAAACACATTATATCTCTTTTAGAGTCAGGTCTTCACTTGACTTACTGACCATTGTGGCTCAGTAAGTCAAGTGAAGACCTGACTCTGAAAGGGATATAATGTATTTATTTGCCATAACCGAAAACTCTTTTTTTGAGGTTATGGCAGACGGTGAACTAAGTGTATTTGCTTGCATTCGACAATTCATAACCAAAGCAAATAGAGAAATACTGTTTGCAACTTCAGGTGCTTCTCCTGGAAATTTAATAAAAGGGAAACTAGATGCATTTCCCTAAGGCTGACAAACTTGCTCCCCTGGCACTGCAGTGATGCCTGCTATGAGATAGAAAGTAGGGGAAATAAGGTTTAAATGTGCTGCAAACTAGATGTAGGACAAAATATTGGCAAAGCAAAGTTTTGTCCATATACAGATACACACATATGCATGCATGCATCCTGGTTCCATGGGCTTTTTTTCTGTTTCTCACACACACACACGGAAAACATTCTGAATTCCAGCTCCAATTCTGGTGATAGGGGTAATACCGCTGGAGACATCTCAGCCCATTCTCAGACCTGAAGCAGTGAGGCTCAATTCTAGAATTAGTAGATTTACAAAAAAAATGTATCTCTATAGCAAATTCATTTTTAATTACTTGCAATGTACCTAAATAAAATATAAACACTCTTAGGAGAAGCTTGATTCCTAATCTTGATGACCCTAAATCATGGACTGTTGATTCTTACCAGTTTTGAAGCCAGTTCCAGAAGTACCAGTCCCTTTTGTGGAAGTTGTGGCCTCTGAGGGGCAAAAAAAAGTAGGAGAATAGTGACATCTGGGAATTTGGAATACCACAGAGGATATTGGGGTATTCTTTTATAATAGCAGCCCTAAAAGAGATATCATGACATCTGACATGAAATAAGAGGCATTCCCTTCTTGTTAAGCTACCTGTGTTAGAACTTCCAGATATAATGGTCATTCCAGACAATTCTCCAGTGGTACCTAAAATGCCAAAAAAGGGAAATGGAGTAATAGATCATTATCTCCCCAGGTTAGCTTGGAAGCATTCGTGTGTAGCCCTAAAGTACTGGAAGCCCTTTCCTGAGGGCACTATATCCCTATAGAGAATGGAAAATGAGCAATCTCCAAGAACTTGATTTTCCAGGCCAACCTGGGCTGTGTGTGTTGCTACTGGGTTTCCCTTTCTCTATGAGGCAAGGGAAGAATAGGGCTTAAATCACCCTGACCTGTTTCCCTTCCAGGAACATATCCCCCTGGCGTAACAGAGGTGCCTACAGGAGAAACAAAGCACAATTCTATACTTATAAGCAGGACTCTCTGATACAACTTGGAGCATTTTAATAATCAGTTGTTTTCATGAAGTTTTATAGGAGAGGAGAGAGGAAACAAATACCATATGTAAGTAAAGTAGAAAAACGATAGAAAGTGTCTCAAACCATGGGTGGAAAGGAAAACTGGGTAAGGAGAGTTGAAAGTCCTGGAAAGTTGGAATATATGCAATATACTCTCAAACAATCAGAAAAAATTGTTTCCATAAGCCAGGACATCGAAGACAGCCTGACTGAGACACCTGAGGTCATGAATTCACAAGCAGAATAACTGACCAGGTTGATATGAAACTGACCAGGTTGGATATGAGCCAGGACATCGAAGACAGCCTGACTGAGACACCTGAGGTCATGAATTCACAAGCAGAATAACTGACCAGGTTGATATGACAAGTTATGGCCACAGAGAAAATGCAGGACCCTCCCTCAAAAGACTTTCACTGCATTACTGTTCATTACTGTTCACTGCAGCCACCCAGATCGAGAGCTGATGAGAGCCCCAGGCCTCAGCCTGACAAGCTCACCTCCTGGTGGTCCTGCTCGGGTGGTCCCGCTGCCTCCTGGGAAAGTTGTGGCCTCTGAGAGAGAAAGGAATTGGAAGTATAAAGATTGGACAGGACATTCTGGGTTTCCCAAAGCTGATATTGCCTAAAGGGCCATATTCAGAATTCCTGACCTGTGTGAGCACTTCCAGGTTCCAGAACTTTGCCAGAGGTGCCCTCAGTAGTACCTGAAATAAGAAAGGTGGTCAGTTGATCAACCTGTTGCTTCTCATGAAATGGGCATGGGCTCTTAAAGGAAAGATAATAACTTTGTTTCTTCAATATACCAGTACATTTATTTCTCTGGGCTTTCTAGTTTTAAGAGTTTATCCATATATTGCTCGTGGAACATATAATTCCCTCAACGAGTTTACACTGAAAGTCCTCCACCACTGAGATCCCTTTTTAGGATTTAGTTACAGGGAGATAGATTCAGGCCAAGTCACCTCTATAACTGCAAGGGAATGGGCCCCATGCTAGCCTGATGAAGAGGCCTTTGACACAGGGAACAAGACACAAGGAGGGAACATTGAAGTGTTGGAACCCTATCTATGGATGTTAAATATTGAACATCTGCTAAACATTTGTAATATGCCAAATGTTGAAAAGCCAAAGAATTTTGCTGTATTTCAAGTGAGACATGGGAAGTTATTACAAAGTACACTTAGTTCCTTAACGGAGCTCACCTGTGATTATTTCCCCATTTGTTTTTCCATTTTCTCCTACAGAAGTTGTAGCTTCTGCAAATGAGAGAAGAGGAATAACAATGAGGACAAAGATTTGAAGAATCTGAGAAGAGTATGGTAGGATCACCCAGGCAGACAACTCACTGAGGAGCCCTTCCAAAGCAGTGGTTCCTCCTAGCCTGGTGCTTTACCTGAGTTGGAGCTCCCAGGGGCAACTGTTGTACCAGAGGGAACTGCAACTGTGCCTAGGTGGGAAAAAAGAAAAAGATCAACATGGGAACAATTTTGTGATCCCTGGAAGAATGTCGGTAACAAGTCTATCTGTGACTTTGAAACAGCAAAAGATACTTTCTGAACCTATAACTGACAGAAATATAGACGTGTTGCATGTCTACCATTTGCCTTTGTGAAGCCAAGTTTAACACCATGGCCAATATACCTGCCAATCTTTGCCAAGATTAAAGGTCATATCAAAGCTTTTTCCATATTTACCTGTTTTACTTCCTGGTGCTCCAGTAGTGACGCCTAATGAAAAAGAAGGGAGAAGAGAAGGAGGAGGAGGAAGATAAGAGGAGTAGGAAGAGGAGACGGAAGAGAAAGAAGAAAAGGATGAGGCAGAAGAGGAAAAAAAGAAGCCGGGGGAGAAGAAGCAAGAGGAGGAAACAGAGGAGAGGAGGAGAAAGACGAGAAGGAAGAGGAGAAAAAGGATGAAGAAGAGAGAGAAAAAGAAGAAGAAAGAGGATTAGGTAGAGAAGGAGGAGAAGAAAGGAACAGGAGAAAAGGAAGACAGAGGAACAGGAAGACAAGAAAAAGGAGGAGGAGGCAGAGAAGGAAGAAGAAGAAAGATTTAGAATTTTTTCTTTGAACTAAAATGTGACATCTGAATGATTTCTCTGCTGAATAGAAATCAGTACTGTAATGTAACACAGACTAAGCTCTTTTCACAGGAAGAACCATTTCAGAGCCAGAGCTATTATATCTGCTTTCTCAAGAGGCCTAGAACCCAAGGGTTAGTCCCTGAGAAGGGAAAGCCATTAGGAACTTTGGGGCCAAGTGGTTTCAAATCCGAATCCAAAAAGTATTGCTGGTTTCCCCGAAATACTATAGTCCCCAAAGGATATAAAAACTGCATTCCACATGAAAGGGATTTTTGCTTTATCTTTGCACATTTTACATAATGTAATATTTCAAAATAAAAGGCTTGTTTTCCCTAAGAAATCCATGAACTTGGAATCAAACTATAACAATAAATAATGAAAATACCCAAATCTTCACCTGATTTTATTCCTGCTCCGGTGGTACCACTTCCTCCTAGGGAAGCTGTGGTCTCTTAAAGATGGAGAGAAAACCAAAATTAATTGAGTATGAAGGAAGATGGGTGAGTTAAGCTGATGAGACTACGTGAGACAAATACAATTCAAAATGTCTTATCATCTACCACTAAGTCAGAAAAGAAGCCCTTTTCCATGTAAAAGTGTTTATCTTCAAGACACAAGTTTAATTGTCCATTTTTAACTCATGGATCTTCTTTGGACCTTAGGTAGTTGCAATGGTAATAAGGTATATAAAGGCCATATACGATATGTATATAGCAAGGAAATCATAAATGATCAATACGCTCATTACTATTAACATCATTATTTATTGCTTTAAGAATTAGACTTTTCATGAGAAAAAATTCTGCCACTGACTACCAGTGTGTAATAATTCCAGTGTGGGATTAGAAATAGGAATCAGTATCGCAATTCTTTACCCATAATGAGAAAGAAAATGGCCTAGGATGGGATAAGAAAACTATGCGTTTCCTCAATGTGTCAACAAGCTCTGTTCAGAGGTTTCTAGAAGCAGGAGTTAATCTGTGTATGTTTTCTACATATCATTTATATCTCATGGAATATTTAATGAATAAAATGTCAATAACTCAATCACTTAATTTAAATATCAATGAGAGGAAGAAAAACATTTCTCTTCAATCTCCTAACTGAATCTCAGTGCCTTGGCTCCATGGTGAAGTCTCCTTGAAGCAGAAGAAAAGAAGGTTAAAAAGTTGAATGTCTGGCCTTTAGTTATTAGGTAAAATCCTGCCTATGTGATAATCTTTCTTCAGAATATGCTCTTCACAGAGAGTACAAACAGTAGATGCAATTCAGGCAACGTGGTCCATGGGAGGCAGGTAGTGGTTCATCAGTGCTTACCTGAGGTGGGGCCAGCCCCTGTTATTCCACTTGCTCCAGAAGAAGTTGTGGCCACTGAGAGAGGAAGAACATAAATAGAAAAGATTTAGGGGACTTAAAATGGAAAGGTAGTTATTCTGCATAAAAGCACCAAAAGGAAAGGCATATTATCATAGCAAGTACCCATGAAAGGATTCCCCACCACACTGTGGACTCACCTGTGCTGAAACTTCCAGGGGCAACTGTTGTGGCAAGAGATACCCCAGAGGTGCCTGAAACACAAAGAGACTAAGGTGATCATGGTGCATGAGTAAGTCAAATGAAGAACCGAATCTAAAAGGAATATGCTCTATGTATGTATATATTTATTTATTTATATGCCACCACAGAAATCTCTCTCTGAGCACGAGGCAAATGGTGAACTACATGTATTTGCCTGCTTTCAACAATTCAAACCAAAGCACATAGAAAATGTTCCCAACTTCAGGCACACCTGGAAATTTGATAAAACAAAACTAGATGCATTTCCCCAATGCTCACCTGCTTGTTTCCCTGAGGCGGAAGTGATGCCTGCTGTGAGGGAGAAAGAGGAGGGAAAAAATGGCTTAAATGTATTAAAACTTGAGACATAAGAAAAAACATACTGAGTCAGCATTTTTATTCACATATACACTTGTAAATGCATGCGTCCTGGGTCCATGGGACTCTTTACTGTTTCGCATACACACACGGAAAACTTTCTGAATTCCTCCTAAACTGCTAGCAATAGTTGTAACACAAATGGAGAAATTCCATCCCATCCTCAGAAATGGAACAGTAATGCTCCATTTTAAAATTAGTAGATTTTTAAAAAATGTATCTCCACCAGCAAATCTATTTTGAATCACTTGCAATGTCCTAAATAAAATAAACACAAACTCTCTCAAGAAAAGCTTGAGACACCTCATAATTATGATGCCATAATTATAATTATGATGCCAGATCATGGGTTGCTTCTTCTCACCAGTTTTGAATCCAGTTCCAGAAGTACCTGTCCCTTCTGTGGAAGTGGTGGCCTCTGACGGAAGAAAGAGGAGAATGAAAAAGGCTGGGAATTTAGAATACTGAAAGAAGATATCAGGATATTACTGTATCATAGAAGTCATAAAAGAAATATGACATCTGACATTAAATAAGAATTTACTTCTTGTTAAGCTACCTGTGTTAAAACTTCCAGATATAATTGTCATTCCAGACAATTCTCCAGTGGTACCTAAAAAGTCAAAAAAAAAAAAAAAAAAGGGGGTGCGGGGGGAAGGAAATAAAGGAATAGAGCATTTTGTCTCCAGTTAAGCTTGAACCATCAACGTAGCCCTAAAGCACTGGAAGCCCTCTCCTGTAGACAGCATTTCTATAGAGAATGGAAAATGATCACCTTCCTAGCACTTGATTTTCCAGGCCCACACGATGGATAGGTTGCTGCTGGGATACACTTTTACTAAGGCAAGGGGGGGATAGGGCTTTAAATCACCCTGACCTGTTTTCTTTCCAGGAACATATCCCTCTGGTGTGACAGAGGTACCTACAGGAGATATAATTCATTGTTTATATTTATAAGTAGGACTGTGTGATACAACTTGGGGCATTTTAATAATCAGTTGTCTTCCTGAAGCTTTCTAGTGAGGGGAGAGAGGAAATCAACATCATGTGTAAGTATATGAGAAAAATGATAAAAAGTATCAAGCTGTGAGTGGAAAGGCTGGGTAAGGGGAATAGGAAGTCCTGGAAGGTTGGAATATATGAAATATTTTCTAATATGTTTAATTAGAAAAAAATAATGTCTCCATCAACTAGAATAGTGCAGACAGCTTGGCTGACAATTCAAGTCATGAAATTTACAAGTCCAATAACTAACCAAGGTTGATATGACACAATATGGCTGAGGAGAAAATGCAAGCCCTTCCTTCAAATGCCCTCATATTATTTGTTCCCTGTACCCACCCCGACAGAGAGATGATGAGAGCCCCAGTTCTGGGCCTGCCGGGCTCACCTCTGGCTAATCCTGCTCGGGTGACCCCGCTACCTCCTGAGAAAGTTGTGGCCTCTGAGAGAGAAAGGAATTGGAGGTATGAAGACTGCACAGGACATTCTGGGGTCTCATAAGCTGTACTGGCCAAGGGGCCATGTTCTGAAGCTGCCTGACCTGTGTGGACACTTCCATCTTTCAGAGTTCTGCCAGAAATGCCCTCAGTAGTAGCCCAGAAAGGAAAGGATCATGGGCAGATGGTCAATTTGTTGCGCCTTATGATATAAGCTTAGGCTCTTAAAGAAAAAAAAAACTTTTTTCTTCAACACAACAGAAAATATATTTCTCTGCTGTTTCTGTTTTAAGGGTCAATCCATATATTATTCATATAAACTATAATTCCCTCAGCAAGTTTACAGAGAAAGTCCTCTACCACCAAGTTCCATTTTTTAGGGTTTAGATCGAGAAAGATAGATTTGAGCCCAAGTCACACATATAGCTGTCAGGGAATGGGCCCTATGATATCCTGATAAAGGGACTTTAGAGCCAAGGCACAAGAAACAAGGAGAAAATGTTGAAGTGTCTGACCTATATTTATTAATGTTAAATTTTGAACATCTAAATTTTTGCCTAATATGCCAAATATGGAAAATTCAAAAAATTTTGTCATATTTCAAGCAAGACATGGGAAATTATAACAAAGTACACTTCGTTCCTTAACAGAACTCACCTGTGATTATTTCAGCCCTTGTTATTCCACTTTCTCCCACAAAAGTTGTGGCCTCTGCAAAACAGGGAAAAAGAACAGCAGTGAGGGCAAAGACTAGAAGAATCTGAGAACAGTATGGTAGGATCACCCAGGCAGACACCTCATTGAGGAGCCCTTTCCAAGCAGTGGTTCCTCCCAGCCTGGTGCTTTACCTGAGTTGGAGCTCCCAGGGGTGACTGTTATACCAGAGGACACTCCAGCTGTGCCTAGGTAGGAAAAAAAAAGAGAAAGATGAACATGGGAACTCTTTCATGACACTTGGAAAAATGTGGCCAACAGTATGTCTACTTGTGACTTTGAAGCAAGAAAGCACACTTCCTGAAATTATAACTGACATGAGGACTAACAGGTTTCAGGTTTATTGTGCGCCTTTGAAAAGCCAAGGGTGATGCAGTGGCTAATATTCCTGCCCTGATTATTATTACCAAGATTTGGTCAAAGTTGAAGGTCATATAAAACACTTTCCCCAAGTTTACCTCGCCTACGTTCTGGTGCTGTAGTGGTGGTTCTTAATAAAAAGCATAAGAGAGAAGGAGAAAAAAGAGGAGGAGAAAACAAGAAAGAACAAGAAGGAAGAAAGATAATTTTGACTTTTTATCTCTAAACTAAAATATGACATCTTAGTGATTTCTATACTGTAGAAATCAGTATACTAATGTTGTAGAGACTATACCCTTTTCAAAGGGAAAACCTTTTCAAAACCAGAGCTATTATTGCAAGTCTCCTCTCCGGCGACCTAGAACCCTGATGTTAGTCTCTCAGAAGGGAAAGACTTTAGAAATTTTAGTCTCAAGAGTTTACAAATCCAAATCAAAGAGCAAACTCTGCTCTCTTGAAATATTACAGCCTCAAAGGAAATTTAAACCCACACTCCACATTAAAAAGATTCTCTGCATTATCTGTAATTTAAATTTATTTTCAAATTAAAAGCTCATTTAAAAAGTTTTCTCTAAGAAATCTATCAAAGTACAACAATAAATATAAATACCCCAGAGTCTTTACCTGATTTTATTTCTGCTCCAGTGGTGCTACTTCCTCCTAGGGAAGTTGTGGTCTCTAGAAGATGAAAAGAAACCAAAATTAATTGAGTATTAAGAAAGAGGGATGAGCTAAGCTGGCGTCATTACATGAGATAACCTCAATTCAAAATGTCTTGACACTTTCTATTAAGTCAGAAAAGAAGGCCTTCCGAATTTAGAAGTAATGAAAACTATAAATATACAAGTTTAATTGAGAAAATGTGAAAATACATCATTTATAAATTTATTTGACTAATTGAACCTTGGATATTTTTTCATTGGAATAAGATATGTAAACCCGTAATTAAAAAAACAGATACAGTGTGGAACTCATAAATGATTGACATGCTTATTACTATTATCATCATTATTTATTGCTTTAAGTATTAGATTTTCATGTGTAAGAATTTTTCCAGTGGTTACCACATTGGAACCTGGAATTATAGAGGTATAGGAATCATTATTTTTACTCTTTGCACATAACGAAAAGAAAATGGCCTTTGATGGAGTGAGGTGAATCTGTATTGTCTTAATGTGTCAAAAAGCATTTTTTCAGAGGTTTCTAGAACCCGAAGTTAATCTATATTTTTTCATGTACTATTCCTATAGATTATTTAGTGAGAAAAATTTTAATAACTACTATTTTCTTTACATATCACTGAGGGAAAGAAAGACCTTTCTCTCCAATCACACAACTGATGCTCAGTGCCTTAGCTCCATGGTGAAGTCTCCTTGAAGCAGAGGAAAGGAAGACAAAGGCATTTGAGTGTCCAACTTTTACATATTAGGTAAAATCTTGCCTATTTGTAAATTTTTTTTTAAATGCGCTACACGGGAAGTACAAACGGTAGATGTGATCAAGGCAAAGTGACCTACTGGGAAGGAGGTAGTGGATTGTCAGTTCTTACTTGTAGCTGTAACCCCAGTCATTCCACTTGCTCCAGGAGAAGTTGTGGCTGCTGGGAGAAGGAGGACACAAATGGAAAAGATTCAGGGGGCATGGAATGCAATGGTGGAGCTCCTGCATAGAAGCACCAAAAGGAAAGACATGTTACTGTAGCAAGCACCCCTGAAAGGATTCCCCACCACACAGTGGACTCACCTGTGCTGAAACTTCCACGGGCAACTGTTGTGGCAGGGGCTACCGCTGAGATACCTGAAACACAAAGAGACTGAGGTGGTCACAGTGAATGAGTAAGTCAAATGAGGACCTGAATCTAAAAGGGATAAGCTGTATTTCTGTATTTAATTGCCATAACAGAATCCTCTTTCTCTGAGCAGGAGGCAGGTGGAAAACTTGGTGTATCTGCCTGCTTTCAGCAATTCATAACAAAAGAAGATACAATGTTTCCAAGAACAAGCACAACTGAAAAGGTGATAAAAGTGAAACTAGGTGCATTTTCCCAATGCTCAGCTGACTGCTTCCCTGTTGCTGCAGTGATGCCTGCTGTGAGATAGAAAGAGGAGGAAAAATAGTTTAAATGTATTGAAGCTACACAGGTAGGAGAAAATACTGAGTCAGCATTTTTGTTCAAATATACATGTTAAATGTATGTGTCCTGGTTCCATAGAGGTCTTTTCTGTTTCACACACATGCACTGAAAACTTTCTGAATTCCACCTAAACTGCTAGCAGGAGTCGTAACATAAATGGAGAAATGCATCATATCCTCAGAAATGAAACAGTAATGATCCATTTTAGAATTAGTGGATTTTCAAAAAAAAATACCTCCACCAGCAAATCTATTTTGAATCACCTGCAGTGTCCCTAAATAATACAAACACAAACTCTCTCAAGAAAAGAGACCTAATATTTGGGAGACCTAATATTTATGACGTCAAATCTTGGGATGTTTTTTCTCACCAGTTTTGAATCCAGTTCCAGAAGTACCAGTCTCTTCTGTGGAAGTGGTGGCCTCTGATGGAAGAAAGAGGAGAATGAAAAAGACTGGGAATTTAGAATACTGGAAGAAGATATTGGGATATTACTTTATCAGGGAAGGCTTTAAAAAATCATGACATCTGACATTAAAATAAGAGGCATTTCTTGTTAAGTTACCTGTGTTAGGACTTCCAGATATAAAGGTCATTCCAGACAATTCTCCAGTGGTAACTAAAATGGAAAAAAAAAAAAAAAAAGGAAAGGAAATAAAGGAATAGAGCAGTTTGTCTCCAATTAAGCTTGGAAGCATCAGTGTAGCACTAAAACCCTCTCCTGTGAACACTCGATTTCTATAGAGAAAGGAAAACGAACAACTTCCTAGCACTTCATTTTCCAGGCCAACATGGGATGGATGTGTTGCTGCTGGGATTCCCCTTCACTATGAGGCAAGAGAAAAATAGGGCTTAAATCAACCTGACCTGTTTCCCTTCTAGGAATATATCCCCCTGGTGTGACAGAGGTGCATACAGGATGAAAAAAATCATTGTTTTATATTTATAAGCAGGACTGTGTGATACAACTTGAGGAATTTTAATAATCAGTTGTCTTCATGGAGCTTTTTAGTGTGAGGAGAGAGAGGAAATCAACATCATGTGTAAGTATATGAGAAAAATGATTTAAAAAGTATCAAGATGTGAGTGGAAAGGCAACCTGGGTAAGGGAATAGGAAGTCCTGAAAGGCTAAACTATATGAAATGTTTTTAAATATCTTTTATGAGAAAAAATAATGTCTCCATAAGCTAGAATAGTGCACACAGCCTGGCTGACTATCCAAGGTCATGAAATTCAAAAGCAGAATAACTGACCAGGTTGACAGGACACCATATGACCCAGAATAAAATGCAGGCCCCTACTTCAAATGCCTTCACTATTTGTTCTCTGTAGCTACCAGCTAGAGACATGATGAGACCCTCAGGCCTAAGCCTGACAAGCTCCCCTCCTGTTGGTCCTGCTCGGGTGGTTCCACTTCCTCCTGGGAAAGTTGTGGCCTCTGAGAGAGAAAGGAATTAGAGGTATGAAGACTGCACTGGACATTCTAGGGCCCCATAACCTGTATTTCCCAAAGGCCCACGTTCAGAATTCCTGACCTGTGGGGGCACTTTTAGCCTCCAGAGTTCTGCCAGAGATGCCCTCAGTAGTACCTGAAAAAAGAAAGGATTGAGGTCAGTTGGTCAGTTTATTGCTCCTCATGATATGGGCAGAGGCTCTTAATGAAAAAAAAATTCTTTTCTTTAATAAAACAGGAAATGTATTACTCTGGAGTTTCTATTTTTAAGAGTTGATCCATGCATTGTCCATAGAACATATAATTCCCTCAGCAAGTTTACAGAGAAAGTCCTCTGCCACTGAGTTTTTATTTTTAGAATTTCGGTCCAGAAAGATAGATTTGGGCCAAAGTCACCTATATAACCATCAGGGAATAGGCCCCATGATGCCCGGATGAAGGGTTCTGAGACCCAAGGCAAAAGATATAAGGGGAAAATGGTGAAGTATCTGAACTATATTTATTGATATTAAATATTGAATATCTGCTAAATTTTTGCCTAATATGCCAACTATAGAGAATTTAAAAACTTTTGCCATATTTCTATTGAGACATGGGAAATTATAACAAAGTAAACTTAGTTCCTTAGCAGAGCTCACCTGTGATGATTTCAGCTCCTGTTTTTCCACTTTCTCCTACAGAAGTTGTGGCCTCTGCAAAACAGGGACAAAGAACAGCAGTGAGGGCAAAGATTAGAAGCATCTGAAAAAACATGGTAGGATCACCCAGGCAGACACCTCATTGAGGAGCCCTTTCCAAGCAGTGGTTCCTCCCAGTCTGGTGCTTTACCTGAGTTGGAGCTCCCAGGGGAGACTGTTGTAGCAGAGAGCACTCCAGCTGTGCCTAGGTAGGAAAGAAAAGAGAAAGATCTACATGGGAACTCTTTTGTGACCCTTAGAAACATGTGGCCAACAGTAGGTCTATTTGTGACTTTGAAGCAAGAAAAAACACTTCCTGGACTTATAACTGACATAAGGACAACCATGTTTCAGATTTAGTGTGTTTCTTTATAAGGCCAAGGTTAATGCAGTAAGCAATATCCCTGCCTTCATCATAATGATTATTATGATGCCAGTGTTGGAGGTCTTATGAAAGGCTTTCCCCAAGTTTACCTGTCCTACTTCCTGGTGCTCCAGTGGTGGCTCCACATGAAAAGAGATTAGGAGAAGAAGAGGAGAAGGAAAGAAGAGGAAAGAAGAAAGAAAATCTTAAATTTTCATCTATGAACAGGACATTAATGTTTTACAGACTATGCTCTTTTCAAAGGGAAAACCACTTCAAAGCCAGAGCTATTATTGCATCCCTCCTCTCCAGCAACCTAGAACTCTGAGGTTAGTCTCCTGAAGGGAAAGACTTTAGGAACTTTGGGCTCAAGAGTTTACAAATTCAAATCCAAGAAGAAACTCTGTTTCCTTGGAATATTATAGCCTCAAAGGAAATTTAAAACCACACTCCATACTAAAGGGATTCTCCACATTATCTGTGATAGTTTTCTGCAATTTCAATTTATTTCCAAATTAAAAACTCATTAAAAAATTTCCTCTATGAAATTTATCAAAATACAACAATAAAAATAAATACCTCAAAGTCTTTACCTGATTTTATTTCTGCTCCAGGGGTGTCACTTCCTCCTAGGGAAGTTGTGGTCTCTTGAAGAAAACCAAAATTAATTGAGTATTAAGAAAGAGGGATGAGCTAAGCTGATGTCATTATATGAGATAACCTCAATTCAAAATGTCTGGACACTTTCTATTAAGTCAGAAAAGAAGGCCTTCTGACTTTAAAAGTAATGAAAAACATAAATATATAAGTTTAATTGTTAAAACCAAGAGATACATCACTTGTAAATTTATCTTCTTAATTGGACCTTAGGTATTTCTTAATTGGAATAAGATATGTAAACCTCTAATTAAAAAAGTAGATATAGTAAGGAACTCATAAATGATCAATGTGCTTATTACTATAATCATCATTATTTATTGCTTTAAGTACTAGACTTTTCATGTGTAAAAGTTTTGCCAGTGGCTACCACATTGGAACTCAGAGTGATAGGACTCAATATTTTTATTCTTTACACATAATGAAAAGAAAACGACCTCTGATGGGCTCAGGGAACTCTGTTTTGTTAATGTGTCAGCAAGCTCTTTCAGAGGTTTCTAGACCAGGAGTTAATCTTTATGTTTTGCACGCACAATTTCTGTAGAATATTTAATGAGAAAAATGTTAGTGGCTATTATTTCCTTTATATATCACCGAGGGAAAGAAAGACCTTTCTCTCCAATCACACAACCGACGCTCAGTGCCTTAGCTCCATGGTGAAGTCTCCTTGAAGCAGAGGAAAGGAAGACAAAGGCATTTGAGTGTCTGACATTTACGTATTGGTAAAATCTTGCCTATTTGGAATTGTGTTTTTTTCCCAACAAAAATGCTCTTCACAGGAAGTACAAATGGTAGATGTGATTGAGGCAATGTGACCTACTGGGAAGGAGGTAGTGGATTGTCAGTTCTTACTTGCAGTTGTAACGCCAGTCACTCCTGTTGCTTCAGGAGAAGGTATCACTGCTTGGAGAAGAAAGACACAAATGGAAAAGATTCAGGGGGCATGGAATGCAATGGTGGAGCTCCTGCATAGAAGCACCAAAAGGAAAGACATGTTACTGTAGCAAAGCACCCATGAAAGGATTCCCCACCACACGGTAGACTCACCTGTGCTGAAACTTCCAGGGGCAACTGTTGTGGCAGGGGCTACCGCTGAGATGCCTGAAACACAAAGAAACTGAGGTGATCACAGTGAATGAGTAAGTCAAATGAGGACCCAAATCTAAAAGGGATATGCTGTGTTTCTGTATGCATTTGCCATAACAGAAATCTCTTTCTCTGAGCACAAGGAAGGTGGAAAAATTGATGTATTTACTGCTTTCAACAGTTCATAATAAAGGAGATAGAGAGACAGTGTTTCAAGTACAAACACAACTGAAAATTTGACAGATGAGAAACTAGATGCATTTTCCCAATGCTCACCTGCTTGCTTCCCTGTTGCTGCAGTGATGCCTGCTGTGAGATAGAAAGAGGAGGGAAGAAAGGTTTAAATGTGTTGAAACTTCAGATATAGGAGAAAATGTTGGACAAGCCAATTGTTAGCTACACAATTATGGATGCATGCTCCCTGTTTCCATGAGGCTCTTTTCTACTTCATGCACATTCACACAGAAAACTTTCTGGTTTCCAGCTCAAATGCTGGTGAGAGTAGAAGCTAACTCTATCTCACAGCTTCTGTTCAAAGCTGTTCAGAGCAGAGGAAATAAGAACAAAATCTGAGAATCTGAAACCTCAGTCAATGAATAATGGTAAGATTATCTTTAATAATCCTCAGTATTGGAGAAATGATTAGCATGGATACATTTCAGTCTGTAATCCTTTGGGGGTATTAATGGCAGGTGAATGCAATGCTCACCTGTGGCTAATCCACTTCTTGTGGCCCCACTTCCTCTAATGTATGTTGTGGTCTCTGAGAGAGAGAAAAACAGAGAGGACATATTTGGAAAATATTGAAAGGCCATGAAACAGATATATTAGTCATGGATAGAATTGCACCAAATGAGGCGTCTAACTATGTAAAGATCCTTGAAGAGTTTCCTGACAACCCGTAGACTCACTTATATTGGAACTGCCAGGGGCAAGAATTGTGTCAGAAGTTATCCCAGTGGTGGATGAAACATCAAGAGGACTGTGGTCATTATGGTGAAAGAATCTAAGCATATCATCATTATATCCAAAAACCTCTCTTTCTGGTTCTTCCCTGATGACAGGCCAGATGTATTTTCTCATTAACAAATTTATTATCAAACTAGTAAGAGTGATCAATTTCTCAACATGTGGCAATAGTCTTGGAATTCCATGAGAGGAAGACAGGTGGTTTCCTCCCATATTCATTGGCTTTACTTTAAAAAAATTAAGCTTAACGAGAATTTTAGACATTCATAAAATAATTATTATTTGTATTGCTTTGGGTCATAGAAACCTTTACCAGGCATGATTTCAAGGTTCGTTTACCTTGTCTCTACTTCCCAAGAACAAAACTGTTTTAAGCTCATACTAAAACCCTGGAAATGTTTATAACCTTATAGGGAGAAATTTCTCAAAACAAATTCAAGAGGCATCACATTCAAAAGACACTATTGGTAATTTGTGTGTATTTAAAAATAATAATAATAATAAAAATAAATGTAAAAAAAGTTCTTCGGGCTTAGATTCATTTTCCCTAAAAAAAAAAAATGCACAATGTTCTGCAGGAAAGTTCACTTCTACACAAGTCATAATAATAAAAGTCATAATTCAAATAACTCCCAAATCATGGCCTGCTCCTCACCTGCTATGGATTCAGTTCCAGTACTGCCCCTGCTTCCTGTCACAGCTGTGGTCTCTGCAGGAAAAAGAGAATCAAGAGGTGTAAGGAATTGAAGATACAAGGAAAAAGTTATTTTATGATTGCAGCTCTAAAAAGTTATCATACATTCAACATTAAGAATTTCCTTCTTGTTGAACTACCTGTGTGGGGATCTCCAGATGTAATGGTTGCTCCTGGGAATTCACCAGAAGTACCTAAAATGAGAAGAGTAAAGTGCTAATAGAGCAAAGAATAGTAAAAGAAGTTATATGATCCTGAACCACTAGAGGCCTTTCCTAAGAACATGTGTTTTGGAAGGAAATGAACCGTGAATGACTACCCCTTTATGTCTTTGCCCCTCAACTGAACATTGTTGCTTCTGGGGTTCCCTTTCCATCGATCCCAGAGAATGTGAAAGGAGACTTTATCTCCCCCTCACCTGTTGAACTTCCAGAAGCTGGGCTCCCTGATGTGACAATGATGTGTTAAGAAGAAAAAAGCAGACTACCTTCTATCTTTATAAATATTTCTCATCAATTACTTGAGGTATTTTGATACTCACATGTTTAAAAAAGAACTCTCTAACTCTAATATTGCCATGTGATGACTTTATTCAATCTATTCTACCTGGCTTGGAATTCTGACTTCTGGTGAAACTATAGTTGTACCGATTAAATAGAATGAACTACTTCAAAATAATTTATTTCATCATTCCACTAATATTTATTAAGCATCTCTTCTGTGCAATATTGTTTGGGACCTTGGGATGTATCAGTCAGCAAAATGTTCAAAGATCTTTCTCCTAATGCACCTTACATTCTAGTAGCTGGAGGCCAGCAATGAACAAGAAATATAATAAATAAGTCAGTGTGAAAGATGTTAGTAAACACTTTGGGAAAAAGGCAAACTGTATAAAAGGCAAATTGTATGCCCTGATTGGTGGGGGCTATCCAGCAGCTTGCCTTATCCCTGCTACATAATAACTAGCTTTGCAAGCCTGGGCTGCTAGAAATCCAGAGGGATAAGCCAGATGAGTCCAGGGAATTCCTAGGCACAACCAGCTTTTGACTCTGGCATGCTGTGTTCCCAGAGGAAATGTGGGCCCCTTTCCTCAGCCCACCTTCACATCAATGTCTTCACTGCAGAGAACAGGGATTTGATAAAAGCACCAAGGCCTCAGAGTGAAAAACTCACCTCCTGGACGTTCTACTTGGCTGGTGTCACCCCCTCCCATGGAAGTTGTGGCCCCTGAGAGAGAGAGAAAAGAAAGGAAGGAGTGAAGACTAGTTTTTGAGAGAGTACACACGGCGCTGTGGGCAGACTATGTCAACCAAGGTGCCCATGTCCAGATTTTGCGTGTATTTTCAGACGTGCCTGTCTTGTAACTTCCAGGTTTCAGTGTTTTTCCAGAGACTACAACAGTAATACCTACAACAAGAAAGAGATAGTGTCACTAGCTGAACTCTATTTCCACTTGGTTTCTATAGGAATCTCAAATCCCCACTTAGAAGAAAACTATTACTCTGAATTCACAGTGCTAGAAGAAATTCATATTTGTCCCACGCAACATTTCTTTCCACAGCAATTTTACTGAGGCAGTTATCAACTATCATGTCCTTCTCTTTGGGGGAAAGATAAGAATTTTCTCCCCATATTATTTATTTATCTGTCATTGGTTTGACGTCATGATGGTTTAGTGAGGGACTTTGTAAGCTCAGGAAATAAGGAGACTGTCTAGTCTTCTTTATGAATTTTCTCAATATAGCATATACAAATCATATAGATATTTTCAGAAGACTATTGAAGGTGTCATTAGGAATTACAGGTCTTAGTCTAGCAGCACTCACCCGTGGCTCTTCCAATGCTTGTTGTTCCACTTACTCCTACGAAAGTGGTGGCCTCTAAGGGAGACAAAGGGATAAGAGTTACCTGGAGTATATTTAAGGATTGTGGAGAAGATATGGTGCTACTCCTGTAAAAAATAATACAAAGGAGATGTCTAATTATGGGAGGGCACGTGGAAGATTCCATGTCAACCTGTTGACTTACCTGTCTTGGAACTGCCAGGGGCAACAGTTGTGGCAGGAACTACCCCAGTGGTGGCTGAAACACAAGGGGAAGTGGCATCACCACAGTGACTCCTGTTTGTCTCCTGAAGACCTGCCTCTAGAAGGAATCTGTTTACATCTTTAAGATGTCAAAGGTCACTTTCTCTGGCTGCCACTCTGATGTGTTTTCCCATTCATTAATAAACTACCAATGCAGTCAAAGGGGCAAAATTTGGAGATTACACCTGACATTCCATGACAGCAAAACAGGTGGTTTTCTCTCATACTTACCCATTACACTGCCAGAGCTAGAAAACAAAAAATTCTTTATTTCATGATAATTTAATCTATTTTTACTTTTCTTTCTAATTTTTATATAAGTATACATATTTCTGGGGGTTGTATGGGAGGTTTTGATATATGTATATATTATGTAATAATCAAGTCATGATATTTAGCTTATCCATCATCTCACTTATCATTGCTTTGTGGGCAGAACATTCAGAACCTTCTTGTCAAGGATATTTGAATGTACACCATAATATTGTTGACCATAGGCACCTCACTGCTACAAAACACCAGAACTAATTACTCCTAATTGCTCCCCATTGACCTAATACTATAATTATGTCTCTTGCTTTGGAGGCAAGGAAACATCTATACAGGCATGTTTTTAAAGTTCATTTGTGTTATCTCTACTTCCTGGAATCAAAACTGTTTTCTAACCTCTACTATTACACTGGAAATATTTATATATTATATTATGTGGAAATTTCTCAAAACAATTACATCCCATTTACACCTCATCTAGAAGAGTCAACCCATTCAAAAAGAGGATTTTAGGATATTTATAGGAAAATATTAAATTAAAAAATATATTTGGCCTCAGTTACATTGTCTGTAAATCCATATTTCATATTCTGTAGGAAAGCCTACTTCTAAGCAAGTCATCTTCATGAGAGTCATGATTCATGGTAACTCCCAAATTGTGGGCTGCTCTTCCTCACCTGTTCTGAATTCACTTTCAGTGTTGCCCCTGCTACCTGCAAGAGTTGTGGCCTCTGAGGAAAGAAAGAGGAAAATCATGAGGTCTGGGGAATTTGAGATATGAGTGAAAAACATTGAGGCGCTATTTTATGACTGCAGCTCTACAAAGTTATCATGCACGCAAAATGAAGATTTCCTTCTCATTGAAAACTACCTGTGTGGGAACCTCCAGATGAAATGGTTGTCCCAGAGAATTTACCAGAGGTACCTAAAATGAGAATATAAAGAGCTAACAGAGCAAGCAGTATTGGAATCAGCACTGTGGTCTTGAACCATTGGAAAATTTTCTTGACAACTTCTATTTTAGAAAAAATATACACCATAATTTTTTGTGAACTTATTGTTTAATGTTCTCGCACTGACTATTCCTTCCACTGTACCCTAGCAAAAAAAAAAAAAAAGAAGGAAGCTTAATTTCACTTTACTGATTCCACTTCCAGTGATGTGGCTCCCTGCCATTCCAGTGGGAAAAAGAAGGAAACATTTTGATATTTCCAATGTTCTTATTTGTATAACTGGTGATAGTGTGATAATCAGGTATTTAAGAATACACTTATGTCGGTATTTTTACACTTCCATGGTGTTTTAAGTAGCCTCCTTGACTTCCTTCAGACCCAATAAACTGCTGCTGACACCAAGTGAAACTGTGAAGTAAACAGTGACTCTCTACATGAGAATATGCCTGTCACTCATCTCATATTTTGTAAGCATTTCCTCTGTGCCTGACATCATCCTCTCAGTAAAGAGAACAGACAAAGTATCTGCCTTGTGAGATTTGTGTCTGTGAGAGAGGAAATAGAAAATATGCAAGAAGTGTAATAAACATGTTAGAGAGATGGCAACAGGTGATAGTGCTTTGTGGAATCATGATGGCCTGAGTGGGGAGAATCAGGGTTCTGTGGAGGCTGCTGCAGGTCAGTGGGTCTCAGCTAGGTGTCCAGAGAACTAACATTGTCACACAGGCCATGGAGCAATGCCTAACTTAGATGACCAAGTGGCAGGAATTCCTTAGCAGGACTACTCAGGATAGTCAGAATACATGTTGTGCTTCTAGACAGGAAGTAACCCCCTTTCCTTAGCCCCCATTCTCATTTATGTGTTCACCTCAGCACAACAGGGCAATGAGGAGAACCCTGAGGTTTGGGAATGGCGAACCTTACCTCCTGGAGCTTCTGTTCCAGTGGCTCTGACCCCTCCTGTCGAACTTGTGGCCTCTGAGAGAAAAGAAAGCAAGAATGAAGTCTGCAGTATGGGGAATACAGGGTTACATTACCCTAGTACCCTAGGAGGTTATATTACACCTGTGCAGCCATGGTGTAGCATTCCTTGTGTGCTTTTTGACTTGCCTGTGTTACCATTCCCAGGTTTCAGAGTCTTTCCAGAGAATGCCCCATTGGTAGCTATTAAGAAAGGGATGGGGCAATGGGGGGTCATTACCTCATTACTATGACGTGAGAAAAGAGTATTAAGCAAATAAATGGACACAGGCTGTATACTTATTCATTATTTCAATAAACTGGCCTTTAAATGCCAAAAATAATCTCTACACTTCTCAGATAATATTCTTCCCATGGTCTATTTACCCAATTTTTTTTTAACTTATTAGGCTTCCTTTTCTCAAGATTTCATGAATAGGGAGATAGAAGCTAACTCTAGATTTTCTATGTAACTGTCAGTCAAATGGCTGCATGATTACCTTGGGGAGCAATAGAAGAGTCTGTTCAAGCACAAGAAATAAGAATGAAATTTGAGATTCTGTATTTAGTCAGTGAAAAATGGTAGGAACTTTCCTAACAATGTTAATATGGGAGAAATGAGAGTATGGATACTTTTCAAGCCACAGGCTTTATTGGATCTTATTAGCAAGTGAGTGCAATGAACCAGTAATGCTCACCTGTCGCTATTCCACCTCTTGTCTTTGCACTTTCTTGTAGGGAAGTTGTGGACTCTGAGAGACAGAAAAACAGAAAAGATATATTTGGAAAATATTCAAAGGTCATGAAACAGACAGGGAATTACTCTCACAAACAATAACACCAGAAGAGATATCTAATTATGAGAGGAGCTCTGAAGAGTTCCCTGTCAACCTGCAGAACCATTAAATTCTCAATGCAATCAGGGGGGCCAGTTCTTCAGCTTGAAGCAATATACATTCCATGAGAGGGAGAGACACAATTTTCCATACTCACCAATTTACTGCCAGGAATGAAACACAAAAAATTAAGTTTGCTGGCAATTTGAGATGTCAAGAAAGCACTAATAATTATATTGTTTTTAGGGCACGGAAACCTCTATTTACAAGTATTTCTAGGATTCATTTACATTATCTCTCCTTCCCTGGATCACGAATGTTTTTTGCTCCTACTAATATCCTGGCCATACTTATATATAACATTACAGGAGAAATTTCTCAGAACATTTACAAGAGCCATTTCACTTCTAATAGGATATTGGTAAATTTTCGGGAAAATATTTAATTTAAAGGCAGAACTATTTGTGCTAAGATGCATTGTCCAGAAATAAATGCAAAATATTCTGTAGGAAAGCCCACTTCCAAACAAGTCATGCTTATGAGAGTCATAATTCACGGTAAATCCCAAATCATGAGCTGCTCCGCCTCACCTGCTCTGGATTCAGTTCCAGTACTGCCCCTACCTCCTGTGAGAGTTGTGGCTTCCAAGGAAAGAAGAAAATAAAGAGGTCTGGGGAATCTGAGATACTGTGGAAAACTATCACAGTGCTAGTTTTTTATTGCAGCTCTGCAAAGTTATCATGCATTCCAGATGAGGAACTCATTCCCATTCAACTACCTGTGTGGAAGCCTCCAGATGAAATGGTTGTCCCAGAGAATTCTCCAGAAGTACCTAAAAAGAGAAAAATAAAGGAGCTAATAGGACAAATAATACTGGAATCATCAGTGGGTTCCTGAACCACTAGAAGACCTTTCCTAAGAGCTCTGGTTTCCGAAGGAAATTAACAATGAATAATTTTTCCCCAACTATTGACAGATGATTTGCTACGGATTATCCTTTCCCCTGCAGCTTATTCAAAAACAGTAATAGCTTAAATTCAATTTAAAAAAGAAGGATACTTAAATTCACTTTACTAATTTCACTTTCAGTGATGTAGTTTCCTGGTGTTCCTGGAGGAGGAAAAATGTCTTGAACATTCTAAATGTTCTTGTTTGTGTAATTGACAATATTGTGATAATCGGATGTATAATAATATACTTCTATGAGATATTTATACCTCCCGCTGGTGATTTTAAGTAGTTCATCCTACCTGGCTTGGGACCCTGTGAACTGCTGCTGGCAACAGGTGAAACCGTGGTCGTAGCGGTTGAAGTAAACAGAGTGACACTCAAAATAAGCATATACTTGTCACTCATCTTATATGCTGTAAGCAATCCTTTGTACCTGACATTCTCTTCTCAGTGAAAAGAACAGACAATGGTCTCTGCCTTGTGAGATTTCCATTTGTGGGAGAGGGAACACAGAAAATAAACAAGTATAATAAATATATTCAATAGATGTCAGCAGGTGATAGTACTTTGGAATCATGAGGGGCAGAATGAAAGAATTGGGGGTTCTGAGGAGGCTGCTGCAGGTCAGTGGGCCTCAGCCAGGTGTCCAGAGTACTAAAATTGTCACACAGGAAATGGAGCAATGCCTGACTTAGATAATTCAGTGATAAGGTTTGACTCTCAGTCCCCACTCAAATCTCAGGTTGAATTATAATCCCCAGTGTTGGGGGAAGGAAGCTGGTTGGAGCTGATTGGATCATAGAGGCTGGATTTCCCCCTTGCTGTTCTTGTGATAGTGAGTTCTCATGAGAACTGCTTCTTTAAAAGTGTGTAGCACTTTCTCTTTCTCTCTCTCTCCTGTCAGCAAGTGAAGATGTACTTGCTACCCCTTCGCCTTCCACCATGATTGTAAGTTTCCTGATGCCTCCCCAACCACGCCTCCATACAGCCTGCAGAACTGTCCATCATTAAACCTGTTTTCTTTATAAACTACCCAGTCTCAGGTAGTTCCTTAAAGCAGTGTGAGAATAAACTAATACAACCAGTTTCTGAAATTCTTTAGCAGAACAACTCAGAAGATCAGAATACATGTTGTGCTTCCAGTTAAGAAGTAATTGTCTTTCCTTGGCCCTCATTCTCGTTTATGTGTTCACCTCAGCACCCCACAACAGGGCAAGGATGAGAATACTGAAGCCTGGGACTGATGAAGCTTACCTCCTGGAGCTTCTGATCCAGTGGTCCTGACCCCTCTTGAGGAACCTGTGGCTTCTGAGAGAAAATAAAGCAACAATAAAGACTGCAGTATGAAGACATACAGGGTTATGTAGCCCTAGGAGCCTGTCGTCTGAGCAGCCAAGGTGTAGCAGCCCAGTATGCTTTTGGACTATCCTGTGTTGTCATTCCCAAGTTCCAGAGTCTTTCTAGAGAAGCTACCATGGTATTAAGAAAGTGGGTAATGGGCAACAAGCAAATAGATTGATAAAATCTATATTCTTATTCAATATGTCAGTAAACTGGGTTTTGCATGCTAAAAGGACATCTGTGTATTTCTCATATAATATCCTTCCCACAGTATATCTACCAAAGACATTTTTACTTATTGAGTCTCTTTTTTTTTCTAGAGTTCTGAAACAGGGAGATGGGGGCTATCTCTAGATCATCTATGTAACTATCAATCAAATGACTGATGACTGCCTTGGGTGTGGAAGGAGAATCTGCTTACAGCACAGGAAATAAGAATGAAATTTGAGTTTCCGATCTTTCATCAATGAACAATGGTAATTTCTTGATCAGTACTCAATATGGGAGAATCCAGTCACATGGATTCATTTCGCACCACAGTCTTTATTGAATATTACTGGCAAATGAATGCAATGACCCAGCAATGCTCACCTGTGGCTATTCCACCTCTTGTTGATGTACTTCCTCCTATGGAAGTTGTGGCTTCTGAGAGACAGAAAAACAGAAAAGACATATTTGAAAAATATTCAATCACTATGAAATGAATAAGATATTACTCTTAAAAAGACAAGCACCAGAGAAGATATCAGATTATGGGAGGAGCTCTGAAGAGTTCCCTGCCAACCTGCAGACTCACCTGTCCTGGAACTGCCAGGGGCAAGGGTTGTGCCAGGAGCCACCCCAGTCGTAGATGAAACACCAAGAGGACTGGGATCACCATGGTGATTAATCTTTCTTTCCTACAGACCTGCCTCTAGAAAGAATCTAAACCTAACTTATATCTAACTAGCACTTTCCCTAACTCTTCCCTGGTGATGAGCCCTGTGAATTTTCTTACTAACCATTTTATTACCAAAGCAACCAAAGTGACAATGTTCTCAACCTGTGATAATCTTCCTAGTATTCTCGGTCAGGAGGACAATGTGGGTTTCTCCCATGCTCCCCTGTTCTCCTCCCTGTGTCTTGGCTGTCAGATGCAAGAGTGGTGCCTGCTGTGGGGTGGTTGCTGAGAATGCCATGAGAACTCCAGACGTTGTGAAAATATTTAGCTCTTCATTTGTGAAAAGGAAGCACTAACACAGGGCAGGTGTGTTTCCTGGGTTCTTGTAGCTCCTCTGTGTTTCTCAGCAAGTTTTATCACCCCCTCCTCTTCTAAAAGCTTCTAATGTTTGTAATCTCACAGCAGAAGTTACTCAGAACAATCAGTATAATTGTCCTATCTTCCAGGATTAGAAGTATGATTCTGCACTCTGTAATTAGTAGCTTTTCTGGAAAAATGTCTAAACTTATAAAGAATTTGTTGGCCCAAAATGTAGTATATTAGTAAAGTAAATACAAACTGCTCTCCAGAATCCTCCTCTCTCTAGTCTCGCTATAAGTGTCAAAATCAGTGATAACAAGAAAGACATGAGTTGCCCCTTCTCACCTATTGTGAATGAAGCTTCAGTGGTGCCAACGTGTTCTGTGGAAATTGTGGCCTCTGAGACATGATTTGGAATTGTAAATTCTGGGGAGTTGCGATAGTGGGAAGAGAGATTTTGTGTGTGTTCATCAGAACAACCTACAAAAAACATCATTTCATCTGCGCATCCATAGAGATGGTTTTCTTTCAGCTTTACCTGTGTTGGAAATTCCTGTTTCAACAGATGTCTCAGAACCTACTCCAGTGATACCTAAAACAAGAAAAGTAAATTTAGCAAATTCATCATGGAAGCAACTTAAAAGGGCATTTCTCAGGACTTAAAGTTATAAATGGTGCAAATGCTAAATTAAGAGTGTCCTTCTCTCATTTCATCTCCTTGGCCCATTTATTTGCAGGCGACTTGCCAGTGAACACCCCTACATTCTAGTCTGCTGACAGAGGGATGGGGGCTCATTTCATGCCTGCCTGTTTCACTTCCTGTTATGTCTTCCTGGTGTACCAGGGATGACTACAGAGGGAGGAAAATGAAAGATAATGTTCTTTATAAATATCTCTGTGATACTTTTGTGGCTGATTTCATGTCATCCCTAAAGCATACCCATGCATACACATACACATGCACAAAACTCATAAACGAGTAAGAGCCAGCCTACATTTTCTTTATGGAATTTTACCTGTGTTGGAAACTTCTGAACTGGTACTGACTTCAGAAGAAATGATAGTGGTGCCTGTGGAAAAAAAAAAATTGTGTGAACTTTAAAGCAATGGCGGTCTCATTCCTGACTTCAGATAACTAGTTCTGAAAGCCAGGACTCAGGCACACTTGCCGGAGGGTCATGAAAATGTCAGTTCCAGAGGGATTCACAATTTGACTTAGCCTTGCGTAAAATGTGTCCTCAACCTTCGTATTCTTCTGTTTTAAGCTGCAATCCCAAACAACGAATCAACAGAACCCAAAGTCTTGGAATGAGAACACTCACCTCCCGACTGTCCTGCTCCAGGAGTCCCTGTAGCAGTTGTAGCCTCTGAGAAAGAAAATAAAGGAATGAAGTAAGAACATGCTGGACGGTTGGGTCTCGTGGATCACATCTCTAATTCCACACTTTGGGAGGCCGAGGCTGGCAGATCACTTGAGTCCAGGAGTTCGAGACCAGACTGGGCAACATAGTGAAACCCTGTCTCTACAAAAAAGAGCCTGTAGTCCCAGCTACCTGGGAGGCTGAGGTGGCAGGATCACCAGAGCCTAAGAGGTCAAGGCTGAAGTGAGCCAAGATTATGCCCCTGTACTCCAGCCTAGGGAGCAGAGTGAGACCCTATCTCAAAGAAAGAAAAAGAAAGAAAGAAAGAAAGAAAGAAAGAAAGAAAGAAAGAAAGAAAGAAAGAGAGAGAGAGAGAGAGAGGAAGAAAGAAAGAAGAGAGAGGGAGGGAGGGAGGGAGGGAGGGAGGGAGGGAGGAAGGAAGGAAGGAAGGAAGGAGAAAGAAAAGAAAGAAAGAGGAAAGAAAGAAAGAGAAAGAAAAAGAGAAAGAAAGAAAGAAAGAAAGAAAGAAAGAAAGAAAGAAAGAAAGGAAGGAAGGAAGGAAGGAAGGAAGGAAGGAAGGAAGGAAGGAAGGAAGGAAGGAAGGAAGGAAAAGGAAAGGAAAGGAAAAGAGAGAGAGAGAGGAAGGAAGGAAGGAAGGAAGGAAGGAAGGAAGGAAGGAAGGAAGAAAGAAAGAAAGAAAGAAAGGAAGGAAGGAAGGAAGGAAGGAAGGAAGGAAGGAAGGAGGAAGGAAGGAAGGAAGGAAGGAAGGAAGGAAAGAAGGAAAAGAGAGAGAGAGGAAGGAAGGAAGGAAAGGAAGGAAGGAAGGAAGAAAGAAGAAAGAAAGAAAGAAAGAAAGAAAGAAAGAAAGAAAGAAAGAAAGAAAAGAAGGAAGGAAGGAAGGAAGGAAGGAAGGAAGGAAAGGAAGAAGAGGAAAGGAAAGAAGGAAAGGAAAGGAAAGGAAAGGAAAGGAAAGGAAAGGAAAGAGAGAGAGAAGAAGGAAGGAAGAAGGAAGGAAGGAAGGAAGGAAGGAAGAAAGAAAAGAAGAAAGAAAGAAAGAAAGAAAGAAAGAAAGAAAGAAAGAAAGAAAGAAAGAAAGAAAGAAAGAAAGAGAAAGAGAAAGAAAGAAAGAGAAAGAAAGAAAAGAGAGGGAGTGAGGGAGGAAAGAAGGAAGGAAGGAAGGAAGGAAGGACGGAGAAAGAAAAGAAAGAAAGAAGAAAGAAAAGAAAGAAAGAAAGAAAGAAAGAAAGAAAGAAAGAAAGAAAGAAAGAAAGAAAGAAAGAAAGAAAGAAAGGAAGGAAGGAAGGAAGGAAGGAAGGAAGGAAGGAAGGAAGGAAGGAAGGAAGGAAAGAAAAAAGAAAAGGAAAGGAAAGGAAAAGAAAAGCATGCTGGGTCAACTGTATTACTTAAATGGCTCCCTCCAGGATGTCCTGGTATGTGGTGACTTACCTGAGACATAAGTTCCAGGTTTGAGGGTTTTCCCAGAAATACTACCAAAAGTTCCTGAAATAAAGAAATGGTGGTCCACATGCCATGACTAGGGCATTGCTTTTTCAAAAATGAGTATTTCTTACAATATATTAGGATGCGCTTTCTTTGAGCTTTCCAATGGCAAAAATTTATCTGTGTTTCCAATGTAGCATCTCTTTCTTATAGCAAATTTTCTGACAACATTCTAGATGCGTTAGTGTCTTTGAGATTCAGTGCTTGGAAATGGAAGTTTTCTCAGTACATGTATATCCAGTGGCCAGGGACTTGACTTCTTAGGGCATGGAATGAGCTCCTTGAGGTAGAAGGAAGTCAGGCTCCTCAAGCTTGACATTTATTACCTAGTAACTGTTTTGCATTTTTTAAAGGTTTAGTTTATGGAATTAAGTAGTGTGGCTACATTTTAGGCAACACTGCTTAATGAAAGATGATCAAAAATGCAGTAATGGCTTAGCAGGCTGAGCTGGAGCTATTCTACCTGCAGAGATTCTACTTCCTCCTAGGAACTTGTGGCCTCTGAGGATGAAGAAAAGAACAAAGACACAATTGGGAGGACATTAAGGATTTGGGATTATTATAGTGATAATTTTGCCTAGAAATAAAACCTGAGGAGATAGCTCCTTGAAAGAAGTTCCAATGGGAAAATTCCACTCAGCTTGTTCTCACCTGTGTTAGAACTTCTAGGGGCAAGAGTTGTGCCAGTGGTTACCCCAGTGGTACCTGAAACACAAAAAGTCCAGAGGTCACTGACTCATTCTGCCATGAGAACATCTGAATCTAGATGCCATCTGTGTGTTCTTTGCTATAACAAGTAGCCTTTCCTGGGTACTTAAAAAATCTATAATTCTACGAGTTTTTCTGCTTGAACTATTCCATTTGTAAATCACAGGGAGTGGCAACGTTCTTTACTTGAGACGTCCTTTCCTGGCCTTCCCTGACAAAGATGAAAGATGATCTTCTCTTGTGTTCACCTAGTTTGATCTCAGTATGCCTTAGCTCTCTGCTACAAAAGACAGTTTATACTGAGTACCTGAGACAACAAGAAACTGCTGAGCATTACTCCTTAATGGGGTCAAAGAAGGCTTTCTGGAAAAGACAGCATCTAGATCTTTACTATTGCTTAGGATTTGTCTATGTGAAGTCCAGGAAGGGAACATCAGGCAGAAGTCATAGTGAGAGCCAAGGTTTAGGGAAACATAGCAATATGTGTTGTATAAACATAGAATGAGTGAAAAATAACTGGAAATTTAGCTCAAATTCAGTGAGAAAACAACTTCCTAGTGATCAGTTTGTAACATTTTATAAAGGAACTTCTAACAGTGCCACCAACTAATTCAAGTGACGCTAAAAGTTGTTATGTAAAGGGGGCTAATGAGAACTTTGGAAAGTAGATGGGGTCTCCAAAAGCTCTAATATTACACTAAAGCACTTAGAATTTACTTGAAGGGAAATGGGTAGCTGCTACCATGGATTGATGACAGAAATGATATGAACAGAGATAACAGTCAATAGAGGACCACTGACTGCTGTTTCAGATAGAACACATCTGAGAATAGAGAAAACTAGAAGAGAGGAAAGTTGCCTACAATAGTCTAGACTAAAAGAAATGTAGAGGAGTAGAAAGAGCTCAGGTGTTGGAATCAAAAGAGTTGTGTGGTTTTAAACAGGTTAAAAATCTCTGAACCTCAGTTTCCTTACCAGCAAATTAGGGAAAATAATGCCTACATTATCCAAATGAGATAGTGAATGAAAGCTAAACATATTTCAGCTGTATCGAGTGTTTGTTATATGCAAAGCTCCCCAGGTAAGACATTAATGATACATAACACTTGGTCCCCTTTCAACAAAGGTAGAATCTAGTGGATCAGGGAGACAAGTATTGAAATCAATCACCTCATCAGATAAGGGCCATAAAGAGGTTTTAAATCAGTGAAAAATAAGACAAAAATGCCTGTTTTCATGGAACTTATATTCCAATGTAAGTGTTAAAAGGATCAGAAGGAGAAATCATTTTTTTTTTCAAAGTGAGATATTCTAAAGAATCAGCTTCTAGGCCATCTGTGGTGGCTTATGCCTGTCATCCCTGCACTCTGGCAGGCCAAGTTGGGCAGATCACCTGAGGTCAGGAGTTTGAGGCCAGCCTGGCCAACACAGTGAAACCTCATCTCTACAAAAAAAATGCAAAATATTAGCCGGGCGTGGTAGCGCACACCTGTAATCCCAGCTACTCAGGATGCTGAGGCAAGAGAATCGCTTGAACCCAGGAGTTGGAGGTTGCAGTGAGCCAAGATCGTGCCACTGCACTCCAACCTGGGCGACAGAGCAAGTCCCTGTCTCCAAAAACGAAACAACAACAACAAAAAACCCAAAACAACAACAAAAACTCGGCTACTTTTGCTTATCTTTTAAAACTGTTTTTAAGTTTAAAAAAGAGATACCAGGATACATTAAAAGCTAAATAGTTTTCTTGTAAATAGTAGGTGACTAGTAATATGCTGAGAAATATGATGCTACCTCTTTTTAATAGGGGAGATGTTTTGGGAGTTATTTTGGTTTGTCTGAGTTTGTATACTTGTATACAATCAGTGTAGAATTTAAGTGTTATATAAAGGATTCAATACACCTTTATTATGATTTAAGAAGACATGAGAATAGAAAAATCAAAAGCCCTATGCTACAAAAATCAAATTTGAAGTTCATGTTTTATTAATCAGATAATAAAGACTTCTGGTACCATGTGTTCTATTCCATTAACGTAACATTATTTTTTCAAATGCACATTTATAAACTCTTATTTTCTCACCTGCTACTTCAGGCTGTTTTGATGGCACTGAAATTTAAAAACAAATATATTTATAAATGTATATATTTGATTAATTTCCATTTACAAAGATTAATTTGTATGTTAGGTTATAATTTAAGAAGCATGTCACACACAATCCTTTAAATGTTTTTCAGTGCTCAAATGGAAAAAATAGAAATTATAGTTCGAGCACATTGTACAGAAATAAATTTTCATGTCATTGAATTTCAGCTTACCTACAATGAGTTGTGGTGGAATTCTAACTCAGCTTACTAAAGGATAAATTAAATCCATATTTAAATTAAAGAATTTATTTGAATTTCATTTAAAAAATTTGCTTCCGTGGGTCAAATGCCTTGATAATTAAATTTTGTTTAAAAAACAGATGTTATTTCCCACAGAGGCTTATCTTAGAAATTTAAGTCAGATTAAGTGTTCTCTTGTGAGACATATTGTAAAGTGCTCTTTTAAAGAATCATGTATGATTTCTATGATTACAGATTATCAAACTGAAAAAAAAAACTGCCTTTTTTCCAAGTAAAATATTTATACACAGCTAATTGTTATTTGGTTACATTTAATTAAAGCTGTCTTGAAATTATAAAATGCCAAAAATGATAAAATACATACTGTGCCTCCATAGTTACACACCGTGTCCCAATGGCTACCTGTTTGTGGCCATGTGTTAACTTATAATTATGTTGCTCAATATATAATATGAATCATGCCAATTTGTTTACATTTGCATAACCATAGATTGAATAAAGAATTAATACAAATTTAGTTTGAATTAAATTATTGAATTATTTTCTAGCGATCAGTTGGTAAAATTAATTTACACAGGAGACTTTATAACAGTAGTTACAATAATGTGGCATAAATCTTCATCAGAAAAAAAAAAAAAAGGTAAGCATTCTATTCCTTAAACTATTAATGAGCAATGTAGTCATTAGAGTATGGGTTCTGTTAGGGACCTGCACATTGAGAAATGACGTATTTCTCAAGTACTGTCATACTAAGTATATTACTAGTTGAGAACCTTAAACAATAATATACTGTAGCCTTGAAATAATAATTCTGTTAATTTACTCAGTGTTAGGAATAAGAAATTGCCCTGTAAGTATTTGTGAATCATTTTAAAAAAGGAAAGTTATAAAATTTGGACTTATAAAACAATAATGTTATAGTTTTGTCAAATAAAATTCTCCGAATCTTATTTCAGAATAGGAAGTGCCATAGTTTATTACATTAAAAAACTTATTTTTCTTACCTGCCGCTCCAATTCTTTTAGTTACAAATGGGAAACATTTAAGCTTTGTGATTTTAAAAGCGAGCTTTATTGATGATTTTGTTTGTTTGTTTGTTTTGAGATGGGGTCTCGCTCTGTTGCCCAGGCTGGAGTGCAGTGACCTGATCTCAGGTCACTGCAACCTCTGCCTTCCGGGTTCAAGCGATTCTCCTGCCTTAGCCTCCTGAGTAGCTGGGACTACAGGCATGCGCCACCATACCCTGCTAATTTTTATATTTTTAGTAGAGATGGTGTTTCACCATGTTGACCAGGATGGTCTCCATCTCTTGACCTCGTGATCCACCCGTCTCGGCCTCCCAAGGTGCTGGGATTACAGGCATGAGCCACCGCACCCAGCCTATTGATGGGTTATTAAATATCACTGTATATTTTGCTTTAGCAAAGGAAGGCATCACATTGAAGTGCACAGTTTTGGAATAAATAAACAATCAAGAAAAAATATTGATTTCACCATTTGGTGTACTGTAGAAACCTATCAACTTAGGTAATATCTTTGCCTAAGTTCCTCATGAGCAAAATGAGATAATCATGTTCATTCAAGTAATTTGTGAGATAATATATTTAAATACATTATAATTAACTGGCATTATTATTATTAATGATATTGCTGTTTTAAAATAAGCAATGAGCATGAAAAAAAAATCAAAAACACATCTGACATCCCCCTGCTTACTTACCAGTAGTGATACTTCCTGGTGCAATTGTTGACCCAGGGATGGCTCCCGTGGCAACTGAGATTAAAAAGCTTAAAGTCAGGAGTAGTGTTCTTATTTTATTGGAGCACTATCCAGATATTTATCAACATAACTACTTTGAGCCCAGTTGTGGTTCCAGTACCTGATGTGGAAGCTATGCTTTCACCTTCAGCTCCTAGGGAAGTTGCAGAAGGCACTCCAGTTGTAGCTGAATTTAAAACAAATGAAAAAGAATCTTAGTAGAATAATTCGAAATTTTCATATGGACTTCTCCCTAACATCTCAAATTCAACTTTCAAACATGAACCTATGATCTTCCCACCACAAACTGCTGCTCCTTCACATTCCCTATTTTAATAATTGATAGAAACACCATCCCAGCAACTAAATATTAACCTGAAAAATACCCTTAACAAAATCCCCATCAAACCACTGCCATATCCCCTTGATGGTTCTCCAAAAATAGGTTTTGAACTTTTCCCTTTTTTTCTCATCCACCACCATAATTTATTTTAAACCATTGCCTCTTACCTTGATTGAGCAATAACTTCCTAACAAATTTCTCTGCTTCCGTTCTCGCCTTACACAATTCTTCACATTTGCAGTCTTACTGATCTTTTAAAAATGGGAATCCTGATCATGTCACTCTTCTGTCTCACACCTTCGGTTAACTTCCCTCAGCTCTTAGCAACAAGTCTACAATCCTTAACGTGTGTGGCAAGGCTCTGTTCTATGTGATCAGGGTCCTTCTGACTTCTCTGGGCTTATTTTGTACACCCTTTGGCTTCCTAACAGGGCACTGGGAACCCTGGCCTCTTTCCACCTTAAACTTTCTAAGAGCCTGTGATTTCCCCCACGGAGCTCTTCTTAGCATTTCCCTCCCTGTCTTATCCTCTTTGACTACTGCCTCTTCATTCTTTGGGACACCAGGTGGAAAGTCACTTTCCTGGCACCCTCACCTTATTCTTAGCACTTAATATTAATTTTAATACTATTGAGAAACTTTTCTCTTACTGGCTAAATCCCCCACTAGACAGGATGTCCTGAGAGCAGTGACCCTGTCAGACTCATTCACTTCTGTGCCCACACACTTATCACAGTGCCTGACACACAGATGACAATAAAAATAATTAAACAACATTTAATTAAACAGTAAATGTGAGACACTGCTGTTACAATAGAAAATGTCCAAATACTTCTGGTATAGCAGACTTTTCATTAATCTGATTTTCTTTGGGAGGCTGGCATTTGGCATATCTGAGACTCCATCGAGATATCCCCTCCAGGGAATATATTTCCTTTCTGCTCTAGTTTATACCCACTGCCACACGAGGGAGGATGATGTAGAAGGTAAGGAATAGGCTCTGAGGACAGACCTTCCTGGTGTACATTATCACTTACAGCAGCTAACTAAACTTCTCCTTGACTTCCTCATTTGAAAATGTGAAAATTTAGCACTTTTTAGCTAAATGTGAAAAAATAGCACTTATCTCAGTAGTTGCTGTGAAAATTAGTGACATGTTTACACATCTCATAACAGTTCCTGGTTGCCCAAAAAGTGCTCAAATATTTTCTTGCTTTAAGTTTCTTCATGTAAGGTTTGTTTCCTGATAGAATCAGCACTGTAAAGACAGATAATTTGTTTTCCTTCCATCCTACTCCTAAAACACCTAACAAAATTTAAGGTCCTAAATACTATTAGGTTGGCGCAAAAGTAACTATGGTTTTTGCCATTACTTTTGCACAAACCTAATAGATGATTTGGATCTGACTTTCTAATTTCCTTATTTACAATATACTCATTACCATAATTACATTGACCAGAAAACCTTATGTTCGGTTTGGGAGGCCAAGGCGGGCAGATCATTTGAGGTCAGGAGTTCGAGACCAGTTTGGCCAACACAGTGAAACTCTGTCTCTACTAAAACTAAAATAAAATAAAAATAAAAAATAGCCGGGCACAGTGGTGCGTGCCTGTAATCCCAGCTACTTGGGAGACTGACGCATGAGAATTGCTTGAACCTGGGAGGTGGAGATTGCAGTGAGCTGAGATCTTGTCACTGCACTCCAGCCTGGGTGAGAGTGAGACTCTGTCTTAAGAAAAAAAGAAAAAGAGAAAAAAGAAAAGAAAACCTTACGTTGAGCCACAGTTGGGACCAAATTCTTCCAACCCCACTTGCCTGATTTTCCAGGTGTGGTTAATCTGGTCCTGCTTTCATCTGCTCCAGGGCTGGTTACATACGGTTCTTCAGTTTTGCCTGGTTAAAGCACTACTTGATTATCAGCTTTACATGGTTCATCTTAGTAAATATAATGAACTTACTGCCCCTTATGTAAAATTCGAATTTAGACATTGATAAATCTAGGTCATCTCTTAATCATTTCTCCCCAATTTAGGTCATTGGTTAAATCATAATTGATTCATCTTACAATCATAATTGGAGGTCTTAGCCAGGTTTATGTTGAACCACACCAGAGTACCCAGGTGAGCCATGCCTGCTGGGTTCCCAACTGTAGTGGCCCCAGAGTCTGGTGCTCCAGCTGTGCATCCCTTGCCAACACCTACAGTAGCCCCCATGAAAACATAAACTCAAAAAGTCTAATATTCTGGAAAGCCCCCTCATTGTTCACCAATTTGAGTTCTTAATAACAATTAAATAAATTGTGATAAATTTACACAGATTCAAGTCTGGAAGACCAAAAATTACGTTGTTCATATTAAATGACCTATCTTTAGCTAACTAGACTTGCCTTCAGGGACTGTAACCTCACTTCCTGGCTCTCCTGTTCTTCCTGTTACAGTGGTTGTGCCAACTGATGGTCCAGTTGTCCCTGTCACTTGACCTGATAGTCCATTTGTACCTGTTATTCCAGTGGATGGTCTAGTTGTACTTGATTCTTCAACTGATGTTCTGGTTGTTCCTGTTTTTCCAGCTGATGGTATACTTGTCTCAGATTTTGCAGATGAACCAGTTGTCCCTGTCACCCCAGCTAATGATCTGGTAGTCCCCGTCACCCCAACTGATAGTCCAGTTGTCCCCGTCACTCCAACAGATTGTCCAGTTGTCCCTGTCATCCCAGCTGATAGTCCAGCTGACCCCGTTACACCAGCTGATGGTCCAGTTGTCCCTGTCACTCCAGCTGATAGTCTTGTTGTCCCTGCTACTACAGCTGATGATCCAATTGTCCTTGTCACCCCAGATGATAGTCCAATTGTCTCTGTCACCCCAGCAGATAGTCCAGTTGTCCCTGTCATCCCAGCTGATAGTCCAGTTATCCCTGTCACTTCATCTGATAGTCCAGTTGTCCCTGTTACTCCAGCTGATACTGTAGTTGTCCCTGTCACTCCAGCTGATGGTCCAGTTATCTCTGTCACCCCAGCTGATAGTCCAGTTATCCCTGTCACCACAGCTGATAGTCCGCTTGTCCCTGTCAGTCCAGCTGATAATCCAGTTATCCCTGTCACTCCAGCTGATGATCTAGCTGTCCCTGTCACTTCAACAGATTGTCCAGTTGTCCCTGTCACTTCAGCTGACAGTCCAGTTGCCCCTGTCCCTCCAGTTGATAGTCTTGTTGTCCCTGCCACTCCAGTTGATGATCCAATTGTCCCTGTCACCCCAGTTGATAGACCAATCATCTCTCTCACCCCAGCAGATAGTCCAGTTGTCCCTGTTACTCCGGCTGATAATGTAGTTGTCCCTGTCACTCCAGCTGATGGTCCAGTTATCCCTGTCACCCCAGTTGATAGTCCAGTTATCTCTGTTACATCAGCTGATAGTCCAGTTATCCCTGTCACCACAGCTGATAGCCGAGTTGTCCCTGTCACTCCAGCTGGTGATCCAATTGTCCCTGTCACTCCAGCTGATGATCCAATTGTCCCTGTCACTCCAGCTGATGATCTAGTTGCCCCTGTCACTCCAACAGATTGTCCAGTTGTCCCTGTCACTTCAACTGACTGTCCAGTTGTTCCTGTCACCCCAGCTGGTATTTCATTTGTCCCTGTCGCTTCAGCTGATAGTCCATTTGTACCTGTTATTCCAGCTGATGGTCCAGTTGTTGTTGATTCTTCAATTGATGTTCTAGTTGTTACTGTTTTTCCAGTTAATGGTATACTTGTCCCTAATCTTGCAGATGAAATAGTTGCCCCTCTCACTCCAGCTGGTGATCCAATTGTCCCTGTCACTCCAACTGATGATCTAGTTGCCCCTGTCACTCCAACAGATTGTCCAGTTGTCCCTGTCACTTCAGCTGACTGCCCAGTTGTTCCTGTAACCCCAGCTGGTAGTCCAGTTATCCCTGTCACCCCAGCTGATAGTCCACTTGTCCCTGTCACTCCAGTTGATGATCTAGTTGTCCCTGTCACTCCAACAGATTGTCCAGTTGTCCCTGTCACTTCAGCTGACTGTTCAGTTGTCCCTGTCACCCCAGCTGATAGTCCAGTTATCCCTGTCACCCCAGCAGATAGTCCAGTTGTCCCTGTCACCCCAGCTGATGGTCCAGTTATCCCTGTCACTTCAGCTGATAGTTCAGTTGTCCCTGTTACTCCAGCTGATAATATAGTTATCCCTGTCACTCCAGCTGATGGTCCAGTTATCCCTGTCACTTCAGCTGATAGTTCAGTTGTCCCTGTTACTCCAGCTGATAATATAGTTATCCCTGTCACTCCAGCTGATGGTCCAGTTATCCCTGTCACCCCAGCTGAGAGTCCAGCTATCCCTGTCACCCCAGCTGATAGTCCAGTTGTCCCTGTCACCTCAGTTGATAGTCCAGTTATCCCTGTCACCACAGCTGATAGCTGAGTTGTCCCTGTCACTCCAGCTGGTGATCCAATTGTCCCTGTCACCCCAGCTGATACTACAGGTAGCCCTGTTGCTTCAGCTGATGGGCCAGTTGTTCCTGCCACTGCAGCTGATAGTCCACTTGTCCCTGTCACTCCAGCTGATGGCCCAGTTGTCCCTGTCACTCCAGCTGATGATCCAGTTGTCCCTGTCACTTCAACTGATGGTCCAGTTGTCCCCATCACTCCAGCTGATAGCCCAGTTTTCCCTGTCACTTCTGCTGATGGCCTAGTTATTCCTGTCACTCCTGCTGATGATCCAGTTTTCCCTGCCACCTCAGCTGACAGTCCAGTTGTCCGTGTCACTTCTGCTGATAATTCAGTTATCTCTGTCACTCCAGCCAATGGTCCAGTTGTCCCTGTCACTTCTGCTGATGGACCAGTTGCCCCTGTCTCTTCAGCTGATGGTCCAGTTGTCCCTCTCACTCCAGCTGATAGTCCAATTATCCTTGTCACCCCAGCTGATAGTTCAGTTGTCCCTGTCACCTCAGCTGATGGTCTGGTTGTCCCTGTTGCTTCAGCTGATAGTCCAGTTGTCCCTGTCACTCCAACTGGTGATTCAATTGTCCCTGTCACTGCAGCTGATTGTTCAGTTGTCTTTGTCACTTCAGCTGACTGTCCGGTTGTCCCCGCCACCCCAGCTGATGGTCCAGTTTTCCCTGTCACCCCAGCTGATAGTCCAGTTATCCCTGTCACTCCAACAGATTGTCCAGTTGTCCCTGTCACTTCAGCTGACTGTCCAGTTGTCCCTGTCACCTCAGCTGATAGTCCAGTTGACCTTGTCACACCAACTGACTGTCTAGTTGTCCCTGTCACCCTAGCTGATAATCCAGTTGTCCCTGTCACCTCAGCTGATAGTCCAGTTTTCCCTGTCACCACAGCTGATAGTCCACTTGTCCCTGTCAGTCCAGCTGATAGTCCAGTTTTCCTTGTCACTCCAGCTGATGATCTAACTGTCCCTGTCACCCCAACAGATTGTCCAGTTGTCCCTGTCACTTCAACTGAGTGTCCAGTTGTCCCTGTCACCCCAGCTGATAGTCCAGTTGACCCTGTCACACCAGCTGACTGTCCAGTTGTCCCTGTCATTCCAGCTGACAGTCTTGTTGTCCCTGTCACTCCAGCTGATGATACAATTGTGCCTGTCACCCCAGTTGATAGTCCAGTTTTCTCTGTCACCCCAGAAGATAGTCCAGTTGTCCCTGTCAGCCCAGCTGATAGTCCAGTTGTCCCTGTCACCTCAGTTGATAGTCCAGTTATCCCTGTCACCAGAGCTGATAGCCGAGTTGTCCCTGTCACTCCAGCTGGTGATCCAATTATCCCTGTCACCCCAGCTGATACTACAGGTAGCCCTGTCGCTTCAGCTGATGGGCCAGTTGTTCCCGTCACTCCAACTGATAGTCCAGTTTCTCCTGTCACTTCTGCTGATGGTCCAGTTGTTCCTGTCACTCCGGCTGATGATCCAGTTTTCCCTGTCTCTTCAGATGATAGTCCAGTTGTCCCTGTCCCTTCTGCTGATAATTCAGTTATCCCTGTCACCCCCACTGATAGTCCACTTGTCCCTGTCACTCCAGCTGATAGTCCAGTTATCCCTGTCACTCCAGCTGATGATCTAGCTGTCCCTGTTACTCCAACAGATTGTCCTAATGTCCCTGTCACTTCAGCTGACTGTCCAGTTTTCCCTGTCACCCCAGTTGACAGCCCAGTTGTCCCTGTCACTTCAGCTGATAGTCCAGTTATCCCTGTCACCACAGCTGATAGTCCACTTGTCCCTGTCAGTCCAGCTGATAGTCCAGTTATCCCTGTCACTCCAGTTGATGATCTAGCTGTCCCTGTGACTCCAATAGATTGTCCAGTTGTCCCTGTCACTTCAGCTGCCTGTCCAGTTGATCCTGTCACACCAGCTGACTGTCCAGTTATCCTTGTCACTCCAGTTGATGATACAATTGTCTCTGTCACCCCAGTTGATAGTCCAATTGTCTCTGTCACTCCAGCAGATAGTCCAGTTGTCCCTGTCACCCCAGCTGCTGGTCCAGTTATCCCTGTCGCTTCAGCTGATAGTCTAGTTGTCCCTGTTACTCCAGCTGATACTGTAGTTGTTCCTGTCACTGCAACTGATAATCCAGTTTTCCCTGTCACCCCAGTTGATGATCCAGTTATCTCTGTCACCCCAGCTAATGATCCAGTTGTCCCTGTCACCCCAGCTGATAGTCCAGTTATCCCTGTCACCCCAGCTGATAGTCTGGTTGTCCCTGTCACCTCAGCTGATGGTCTGGTTGTCCCTGTTGCTTCAGCTGATAGTCCAGTTGTCCAGCTGATAGTCCAGTTATCCTCGTCACCCCAGCTGATAGTCTGAAGTTGTCCCCAAGCCACCCTAGCTGATGGCCCGGCTGTCCCTGTTGCTTCAGCTGATAGTCTGTTGTCCCTGTCACCTAACTGGGGGATTCAAATTGTCTCGTTACCGTAGTTAAGTCTCCTGTTACCTCAGTTGATAGTCCAGTTATCTCCTAAGCCACCCCAGCGTCTACTTTTGTCTCCTTGTCACTTCGCGATAGTCCAGTTGGTCCTTGGTTACCCAATTGATGATATAGTTGTGTCCCTAATACCCAACAGATTGTCCAGTTGTCCTTGGGGTCACTCTAGCTGGGATAGTTCGTTGTCACCTCAGCTGATGGTCCAGATGTTCCTGTCCCTTCAGCTGATAGTCCAGTTGTCCCTGTCACTCCAGTTGATAGCTCCGGTTGTCCCTGCTACCTCGTGCTGATGGTCTGGTTGTCCCTGTTGCTTCAGCTGATAGTCCAGTTGTCCCTGTCACTCCAGTTGATGATCTAGTTGTCCCTGTCACTCCAACAGATTGTTCAGTTGTCTCTGTCGCTTCAGCTGATAGTTCAGTTGTCCCTGTCACTCCAGCCGGTGATCCAATTGTCCCTGTCACTCCAGCTGATGATCTGGCTGTCCCTGTCACTCCAACAGATTGTCCAGTTGTCCCTGTCACTTCATCTGACTGTCCAGTTGTCCCCATCACCCCAGCTGATAGCCCAGTTATCCCTGTCACCCCAGCTGATAGTCCACTTGTCCCTGTCACTCCAGCTGATAGTCCAGTTTTCCCTGTCACTCCAGTTGATGATCTAGCTGTCCCTGTCACTCCAACAGATTGTTCAGTTGTCCCTGTCACTTCAGCTGACTGTCCAGTTGTCCCTGTCACCCCAGCTGATAGTCCAGTTGACCCTGTCACACCAGCTGACTGTCTAGTTGTCCCTGTGACCCCAGCTGATAGTCCACTTGTCCCTGTCAGTCCAGCTGATAGTCCAATTATCCCTGTCACTCCAGCTGATGATCTAGCTGTCCCTGTCACCCCAACAGATTGTCCAGTTGTCCCTGTCACTTCAACTGACTGTGCAGTTGTCCCTGTCACCTCAGGTGACAGTCCAGTTGACCCTGTCACACCAGTTGACTGTCCAGTTGTCCCTGTCACTTCAGCTGATAGTCTTCTTGTCCCTGCCACTCCAGCTGATGATCCAATTGTCCCTATCATCCCAGTTGATAGTCCAATTGCCTCTGTCACACCAGCAGATAGTCCAGTTGTCCCTGTCACCCCAGCTGATAGTCCAGTTATCCCTGTCGCTTCAGCTGATAGTCTAGTTGTCCCTGTTACTCCAGCTGATACTGCAGTTGTCCTTGTCACTCCAGCTGGTGATCCAATTGTCCCTGTCACCCCAGTTGATACTATAGGTAGCCCTGTCACTTCAGCTGATGGACCAGTTGTCCCCATCACTCCAGCTGATAGTCCAGTTTTTCCTGTCACTTCTGCTGATGGTCCAGTTGTCCCTGTGATGCCAGCTGATGGTCCAGTTTTCCCTGTCACTCCAGCTGATGATCCAGTTGTCCCTGTCACTCCAGCTGATAGTCCATTTGTACCTGTTATTCCAGCTGATGGTCCAGTTGTCCTTGATTCTTCAACTGATGTTCTAGTTGTTCCTGTTTTTCCAGCAGATGGGATACTTGTCCCTGATCTTGCAGATGATCCAGTTATCCCTGTCCTCAGGTGATGATCTAAGTTTATCCCTGTCACTCCAGCTGATAGTCCATTTTGTACCTGTTATTCAGCTGATGGTCAGTTGTTCATGATTCTTCAACTGATGTTCTAGTTGTTCCTGTTTTCAGCAGATGGGGATACTTTTCCCTGATCTTGCAGATGATCCAGTTATCCCTGTCACTCCAGGTGATGACCCAGTTATCCCCTGTCACTCCACTGATGATGGCCCATTTGTATGTTTCACTCCCAGCTGTTGGTCCAGTAGTCCTGACCTTATAGCTGATGGTTCAGATCCTGATTCTTCAACTGATGATCCGGTTTTTTCTGTTTGTCCAGATGATGGTCTATTTAATGCAATAGTGTAAGAGATTGTACAGTGGTTCCTGATATTGCAGCTGATGACAGTTGTCACGATCCTGCGGTGATTGTCTGAGTGTCACTGTCACTCAGCTGATGGACAGTTATCCCTGTCACTCCAGGTGATGACCCAGTTATCCCTGTCACTCCACCTGATGATGGCCCATTTGTATGTTTCACTCCAGCTGTTGGTCCAGTAGTCCCTGACCTTATAGCTGATGGTTCAGTTGTCCCTGATTCTTCAACTGATGATCCGGTTTTTTCTGTTTGTCCAGATGATGGTCTAACTGTCCCTGATACTGTAAGAGATTGTACAGTGGTTCCTGATATTGCAGCTGATGACCCAGTTGTCTGAGTCACTGTAGGTGATTGTCTAGGTGTCACTGTCACTCCAGCTGATGGACCAGAGTTTTCCGTTAATCCCGTAACTGGCCCTGTTGTCACTGATCCTGAAACTGATTGTCCAGTTGTCTCTGTTCCTCTAACTAATAGACTCGTTGTACCCTGTCCTCCAGATGAAGTTCCAGTTGTCCATGATTCTGTAACTAATGGTATGGTTGTTCCTGATCCAGTAATAGATGGTCCAGTTTTCTCTAATCCTTCAGTTGATGGTCCAGTTGTCCCTATAGCTTCAGCTGATAATCCAGTTGTTCCTGATCCTACAAGAGATTTTCCAGTTGTCCCTGAGCCATCAACATTTAGTTCTGTTGTTACTACCACTCCAGCTGATTGGACAGATGTCATTGTCACCCCAGCTGATTGTGCAGATGTCCCTGTCAATCCAATAAATGGTCCTGTTGCCCCTGATCTTTCAGGTGATTGTCCAGTGGTCCTTGTTCCTCCAACTGATGATGTGGTTGTACTTAATCCTCCAGATGAAGTTTTTACAGTTGTCTCTACTCCTGTAACTGATGGTCCAGTTGTCACTGATCCTACAACAGACTGTTTAGTGGTTCCTGTTACTCCAGCCAATGGTTCAGTTGCCCCAGTCACTCTATCTGAATATCCAGATGTAACTCTCACTCTAGCTGATGGTACAGTTGTCTCTCCTACAATAGGTGGTCCAGTTGTCCCTGATCCTTCAGCTAATGGTTCAGTAGTGTCTAATCCTACAACAGATGGTCTAATTGTCACTAATCCTTTACTTGCTGGTCCAGTTGTTCCTGTCACTCCTACTGATGGTCGAGTTGCCCCAGTCATTCTAGCTGATTGTCCAGATGTCACTGTTACTCCGGCTGATGGTCCAATTGTCTGTGCTTTTACAACAGGAGGTCCAGTTGTTCCTGATCCTACAGCTGAAGGTCTAGTTGTCTCTAATCCTACAGTAGATGAACCAGTTGTCACTAATCCTTCAACAAAATGACCTGTTAGTGCCACTCCAGCTGATTGTGCAGATGTCCCAGTCATTCCAGCTGATTTCCCAGATGTTCTTGTCAACCCAGTAAATGATTCTGCTGTCCCTGATTTTACAACTGATTGGCCAGTTGTCTCTGTTTCTCCACCTGATGATCTTGTTGTACCTGATTCTCCAGATGAAGTTACAGTTGTCCTTGTTCCTGTAACAGATGGTCCAGTTGTCCCTGATTTGACAACAGATGGTCTCGTTGTTTCTGTAACTCCAGCTGGTGCTCCAGTTGTCCCAGTCTTTCCAGCTGATTGTCCAGATGTCACTGTCACTCCAGGTGATAGTCCAGTTGTTCCTGATCCTTCATCTGATGGTCCAGTTGTTCCTGATCCTTCATCTGATGGTCCAGTTGTTGCTGATTCTCTTGATGATGATTCAGTTGTCCCTGATCCTCCTGATGATGGCCTTGTCCCTGTCACTCCAACTGATGATTCAGTTGTACCTGATTCACCAGCTAATGGTCTAGTTGTTCCTGATCCCACAACGGATGGTCCAGTTGCCCCTGATCCTTCAGTTGATGGTCCAGTTGTTCCTATCACTCCAGCTGATGTTCCAACTGTTTCAGTCACTCTGGCTGATTGTCCAGATGTCACTGTCACTCCACCTGATGATCTAGTTGTCTCTGATTCTAAAAGAAGTGGTCCAGTTGTGACTGATCCTTCAGCAAATGATCCTGTTGTCACTGCAACTCCAGCTGATTTTTCAGATGTCACTGTTACTCCAGCTGATTTTGAAGATGTCCCAGTCACTCCAGCCAATTGCCCAGATGTTCCTGTCAATCCAGAAAGGGGTCCAGTTGTTTCTGATCTTGCAGTTGATTTTCTGGTTGTCCCTGTTGTTCCATCTGATGTTCTTGTTGTACTTGAACCTCCAGATAAAGTTCCAGTTGTCCCTGATCCTATATATAATGGTCTAGTTGTTTCTGATCCAATAATAAATGGTACAGTTGCAATTGATCCTTCCGTTGATGGTCCAGTTGTTCCCGTCTCTCCAGCTGATGGTCCAGTTGCCCCAGTCACTCTGGCTGATTGTCCAGATGTCATTGTCACTCCAGCTGATGATTCAGTGGTCTCTGATTCTAAAAGAGGTGGTCGAGTTGTAGCTGACCCTTCAACCAATAGTCCTGTTGTCATTGCCACTCCAGGTGATTTTTCAGATGTTGTTACTCCAGCTGAATTTGAAGCTGTCCTAGTCACTGTAGAGGATTGTCTAAATGTTCCTGTCAATCCAAAAAGTGGTCCAATTGTTTCTGATCTTGCAGTTGATTGTCCAGTTGTCCCCATTCCTCCACCCGATGATCTTGTTGCACCTGAACCTCCAGATGAAGTTCCAGTTGTCCCTGATCCTATAACTGATAGTCTAGTTGTTTCTGATCCAATGACAGATGGTCCAGTTGCCTCCGATCCTTCCACTGATGGTACAGTTGTACCTACTGTTTCACCTAGTGGTCTACTTGTACCTGATCCTGTAGCTGATGGTTCAATTCTTCCTGACACTTCAGCTGATGTTCCAGTTACATCTGTCACTCTAGCTGATGGTTCAGTTGTTCCTGATTCTGCACCTGATTGTCCGGTTGTCCCAGTTCCTCCAACTGATGGTCTTGTGGTACCTGATCTTCTGGCTGATGGTGCAGTTGTTCCTAATCCTGCAGATGTTGGTCCATTTGTCCCTGATCCTACAAGAGATGGTCCTGATTCTATAATAGATTTTCCAGTTGTCCCTGATCCTTGGCCTGATTGTCCAGTTGTTCCTGTCACTAGAACAGATGGTCCAGTTGTTCTGGAGTCTTCAACTGATCGTGTAGTTGTTCCTGTCACTCCAGGTGATGTTTCAGTTGCTCTTGTCACTCCAGCTGATAATCTAGTTGTCCCTGATCTCACAACAGATGGTCCAGTTGTTCCTGACCCATCAGCTGATGGTCCAGTTGTCCCTATTTCTCTAGCAGATGATCTACTTGTACCTAATCCTCCAGTAAAAGACACAGTTGTACCTAGTTCTGTAGCTGATAATCCAGGTGTTCTTGATCCTGTAACCGATTGTCCACTTGTCCCTGAACCTTCAGCTAATGGTCTAGGTGTCACTGATTCTCTTGATGAAGGTCCAGTTGTCCCTGATCCTCCAGCTAATGATACAGTTGTCCTTAATCCTGAAACTAATGGTCTGGTTGTCCCTGATATTTCAGCTAATGGCCCAGTTGTCCCTGATACTCCAAGTGATAGTTCAGATGTCTCTGTGACTCCTGACGATTGTTCAGAAGTCCTTGTCACTGCAACTGATGGTCCAGATGTTATATCTGATGGCCCCAATGTCCCTGAAACATCAGATGATGATTTAGTTGTCCCTGGTATTTCAGATGATTGTCCATAATTCTCTGTTAATTTAGCTGATGGTCTAGTTGTCTCTGTCTCCCCAGTTGATGATCCAGTTGCCCCTGTGACAAACACATAGTAAAAATAGAATGATGTTAATAGCTATCTTGGTCCTTGGTTAACCTTTAAGACTCGTGTGGCTTTGTTTCTCTAGTACAGCTTTTATACCTCTTCATCTCCATAACCACCATATTATTTCATACTTTTCTTTTTGCTACATCGTAACTTCTTTTAACAAAAAGAGTCTCACTTTGTTGCCCAGGCTGATCACAAACTCCTGGGTTCAAGTAATCTTCCTGAGTACCTGGGACCACAGTGATCTTCACTGTGCCAGCTCTAGCATAACTTCTTTTTGTTTGTTTATTTTCATAAAAATAATTTATCCAATATCTATTGTGTGTCAAAGAAGTTGTCAGCAACTTATAAGTATCACCTCACTTTACCATTTGAGTAATTCTATGAGATACATAATATTACTTTTTTATAAAATAGGAACTAAAGCAAGATTAAGTTGCTGTTCTAAGGGGATGCAGATAAATGGTTCTCTGCTCCATGGGGCATTCTAGTGGGAAGAGAGAGGTAGACATAAATAAAATAACTAGCCAACCAATAACCAAATTCACAAACAAGAAAAGCTTCAGAGCATTAATATAAAGTGACTTGATACTAAGCAAATGGAATATTCTATTTTAGACTGTCTTGATAGTAAAGGCTTCTCTGAGAAGATGGTCTTTATTTTGAAGTCTGATAACAAGAAGCAACCTGCTAGTGAAGCTCTAGGAGAATGGCGTTCCAGGCAGAGGTAACAGCCAGTACAAATCTCATAAGTCTAATGGAGCTATCCTTGCTAGAAAAGCAGAGCTAGAAGTTGAGTATAGCTGGATAATGGGAGCTGAGGTGGGGAATATTATAAGTTAAGGTCAGATATGTAGGAGCAAGTGAAATGTTTATGAATCAGGGAGGAAGATTGAAGATTTTTCTAAATGCAAGGGGCTATAATTTTAAACAGGGGAGAAATAGCATAGAATTGATATACATTTAAAATCCCTCTTTACATTTTGTAGAAAATGTATGGCAGGGGTGCATTATAGAATTAAGAAGAACAATTATGAGGTAATTTCAGAAGTTCAGATAATTTATGAGTGGCTTGGGTTAAAATTGTGATAAAAGAGACTGAGAATAGTGGATAGGGTCGGGATATGTATTGGAAGTAGCATTAACAGGCCTTGTTTAGATATGGGAGGTACAAAAAAAAAAAAGAGAACCATCAAGGATGACGATAATATTTTTACCTGAGTGAATTGAGTCAGTGATGGTAACATTTTCTAATATGGGGAAGACTCAGAGAAGAGGTGTGCGCATAAAGGGAAATCCAGTATCACCCAGAAGGCTCTGGTTCTGAAGATCCTAATATATCAAGAATACCACTAAGGAACCAGATAAAGATGGAAACCTTGGATCTGTGGAGACATGGATCTGCACAGCGGTGTGTCTGTGTGTGTATGGGTACATGTTTCCAGCAAAACTCCACTACCTGAGTAGAGCAGAAAAGAGTTCACTACCCCTTGACGGCTCCAATCCTTCCAGAAGGTTCCTTTCCATACAACCTGTTATTTTACCTCATTGATGAGAATAAAACCTCTCTATCCCTTACCAGCCTGGGAATTACTATTCACTTACTGAATTATTTACCAGATATCCACCAGATACTTATCAAGTAGCCAAACAGAAACTGAGCTAGGCACTAGGAACACAACTGTAAACAAAGATAGGCAATGTGACAAGATCTTCCTCCAGTTTTAACCGAAATCTACCATGTTGGTGGTCTGTCTAGTAAACGATAATGACTGGATGAAGAATCAACAATCCACGCCCTGACTTGGCCTAACAACATACTCATCCTGTGACTTTGGGGTAAACACATGGAGTTTTCCTAGATAAAATGTAAATAATTACTAATATATTATTGACTGCATAGGGTGTCTGTAAGATTTAAGTAAGTTAATACATGTGAAAACATTTGTCCATTTTATACTTTATATAGTTGTTTACTGATGATCGTTTTTACCTTTGTTAAAACAGATTAAGATAACTTATACATAATATTATATAATGGTTAATGACTGCTTCATATGTTTACATTACAAATAATATTGTATTAAATATATCCAGTAGAAACTAAGATATAAGTGGCTTTATCTACTAATATTTTATCCTACTAATTACATTTTTCAGGCATTTTTTGGCTTATTTTCTGAGAAGTATTTAAATATAAATAAATAAATTGATTGGTAATGTATCTCTTTAGTCATTTCAAACAAGTTAAGTCTTATGAGGCACAAACATTGTTTAGAAAGGGATCTGCAACACCCACTGTATAGCTTACGTATTTCCTCAACAAGTCAGCTTTGAACAAATGAGTTATAGACATGCCCTACTTGCAAATTCTAGAAAAGAAGACTTTTAAAAACGCATGTGTAGAGGTTTCAGGAAGAAAACTGATTTCTGAATTTTTAAACAATTCAGAAGGCAGTGTTACTTTCTAAATTGTTCTTAGAAATGGGGAAAGCTGTTCATTAAGGTTCTAGATCTCTGTTCAATAAAGAACATATGGGAAAATATGCTAATACTTTAAACCACAATAATTTCTAATACTAAAGACAGTGGGGTTTTGCAAAAGATTGCAAAAAAAGAATTCTAGTTTGAAATTTGAATAATCTGCTGATCTAAGACAATCTTTTAATGCCCAACAGCATATTATATTATTCGTGGCAGAGAATTTATTGAACTCTTAAATATTTGTATTATGGGAAAATCATATAATCAATGATTTGCAAAAATAACTAGCATATTATTTTGTAATTATTTATTACTTTTAGCTTATATTGAATTATGTTAGCTTGTTGCATAAGTTATTTTGTGTGGAAAAATGCAGAACTTAGACAATGAAATTGTAACTAAATGAGCAAATACACCCTAAGAAGCCCTTAACTCAAAAACAACAATTATGGACCAACCGTGAGATAGTGTTAGAGGGTCACTATTGCTTTTTTTTTTTCTAATTTAACTCCATTATGGTTTTATCAAGTAACATTCCAGTGATTTCTAAATTGGCCATGTGACAACATCAGGTTTAAAATGCTGCACTAGTTTAGTTTAATAATGGAAAATATCTAAACTATCAGATCATTTTTATTATCTGTGATTTGAGGTAATGCACTAATTGATACCTCCATAGTGCATAAATACTGAATAACAAAGCATGCAATGGCAACATCTTTAATGGATTCACAGAATATTTAAATAACAGTGCTCTAAGTTTCAAGCAGGAAAGATTTTCAACGGAATTAATGCCCTACTGAATAAGCTTTTATAAACAAGTTTCTACATTGACTCCCATTTTTGTGACCTTTTAGCGCTTTGCTAATCTCACCTGGTGTATTTGAAGAGCCTGTGGTGGTACCACTGCTGGACTGCCCAGATGTAATTTCACCTCCACTAGTCGTACCACCCGGTGTTCCAGGTGTACCTGTGGCAATGGCAGAAATGGAAAGGACACATTCACAGAATTTCTTAAGCTATGAGATAACCAATTCTCACTTAAACTAACTTCCACCTAAAAATTACAGAAATCTTCAGTTTTCTGTATCGATAAAAATAATGATCCTTTCCACATTTAAAAAACGTACTTTGACATACACTATTCATTATTTCCTTGGCTCCTCATCCCAAGCTCACAAAGTAGATCACTTTGACCCACATTTTACAGATAAGAAAACAGAGGTTACAGAGCTTAAGTGATTTACTTGCTTAACAGCATGACATTGATTCTGAGGAACAGTATTACACGAACATCCTATATTGCCCCTTGGCAAGTGCTGGGTCCCCCATTTTACCTACCTGGTTTGCTTCCAGAGATTGTCACTGCTGAGGCTGAGGCTGCATTGGTGTGTTTACTCACAGGGCTACTGGTAGTTGAAGCAGCAGATACTGTCGGGGTCCCTGGTTATCAACAACAATGGTTCAGGCTCACTGCTGCAAATATACTGGTCCCTACTCCATGCTGATAGCACAGAACTGAGATTTCTAAAGTATAGTGGATTAACGGCATCTTCTCTACGCTTTCCCTTTGCTCTGACATTTAATGTCAGTTATAGCCTGACCAATAGTCCACATCACACACTGCTGAGGAAGGTAGGATTGAGAACTGTTAAGGAGTCATGTCCAGACTTGCCTGATTTTCCAAAACTGGTGGCCCCAATGCCTGCTTCCCCAGGGGTGCTGCTACCTGGAGCTCCAGGAGTTGCTCCAGGTGATACCACAGGTGTGCCTGAGACTTTCAGAGAAAACCGTTTAAGAAACTCACTTTTATTCAATCACTGTGACCTGAAACAACTTGGAAATCTCTTCCAGCATATTTATACTCATAATATTTACACAGTTTAGTGATATTAGGACTTCTTGCTTAGGAAGGGTATACATGTTAATCTGATAAGGCACTATTACACCATCACAATCCTTGTTTGCCTTTGACACTGAATGTGCCTCTTTCTAGAATTACCTACAAGTTATAATTTCAGAGTAAATTCTTCTCCAAACTGCACCATTTACCCATTGCTATATTCCTTAACTTTTTGCTTTTTTCATGTGTTTAAATATTACTTTCTTCTTAAAAATTCTAAGCTTTGTAAGTATAAGAGCATCTTCTGGTACCTAACACATTACTAAGCTCTCAATAAATATTGTCTCGTCAAAATACAATGGTTTGTGTTAAGGTAGGCAGATAGCCAGAAACGAGCAGGCAAGGGAACCCCCTGGGAAAACACGTCCTGGAGATGCTGTCACCTCATAGTCAGTGCCACCCATTGACAGGCAGCAAAAAGACAACAGCTACACTGGCTACTTCTGGCCTTGTGGTTGAGCTCCTCTTGCCTTGAAGGGGACTTACCAGGCCCTAGCTGGAGATAATCAGGTGAGGGACTTTCCCTCCTGATGAGCACACACACTCCTCCAAAAAATTGTCCTGGAGTAGACTTTTGCTCATTATAATAGTAAAAAGCGCATCCCTGAGTGGAGATTTTAAATGCTAATGAGACATGCAATGTGTGTACTAGCATGTACAACAACAGAGCATGGTCACCGAAAAAGACATCTTGAAACATGCATGCAAGTAACACCTCCCTCACGCCCCTTCATGAATAATCAGGTAAGATTCTCATAAAAGCAGTCCCCCAGCACTAGCTGCAGCTGGCTCATTCTTTCAAGCAGTCCACTCTGTCTTGTGTTTCAGAGTGTACTACATATTTAAATAAACCCTGCTACTACTATTTTTTCAACCCTACCAGCTCAGAACTGTTTTCCACTCCTCTCTAAGAATGTACTTCATCAGGATTCCCGCACTTTCCGGTAACATTTGCATTTATCTATTTACAAGTACTAAATTCTTCATAATCTCTTGATAAATTAAATTTTGATATCAGAGCTCACACTTCTGCTAATTAAATATAACTTTAGATATAAATAATATTTCAAATGCGACTTCACGGGAGGCTAAAGAGGTTGCGGTATCTGATCTTCCAATTGTATCCAATTTGAAAAATAACGAGGTTCTGCCTATAGATTGCTGCAAATGCTTTTTGACAAAAGTTCATTATTAAACTTATTATTGCTAGAATTTTCCTCATTCTCTTATAATTAACTCGTTTTTTAAAAACTCACTTGGACTTGCACTAATTATATATAAGATCTTTGTGTTTGACCATTGCTCTGACAACAAAATGTGCTTTGTCTTACCTGCTGTGTTTCCAGGACCAGTGGCCCTAGTACCTGATGTTCCAGCTGTGTTTCCACTGCCTGCTCTGGTGGTGGCTTCCACGGACCCTTCTGTTGAACCTGGTCAACATACAAAGGCAGCTAGGATTACATTAATTTCCAAAGTTTCTAGGAAATTAAGGCAACGGTTAAATATTCTTAGACATCCCCATTATTTATCCTTTTGTCTGAGTATTTCAATAGCTTTGTTTCTGATCAATGCAATTGATTTGAATGAATAAGCTTCTGTGATTATTTAGCTATTTACTCAATACGAAATCCCAACTCACTGCCTGGCATCCCAGTCATCCTTCCTGCCAGTGTAGTCAATTCACCCGATATTCTGGTTGTTCCTGTTTTGTTTTGTTTTGTTTTGCTTTGTTTTGTTTTGAAGAAGAGGGAGGATGAGGAGGAAGAGAAGGAGGAGAAAGAGGAGGATAAAAGTAGTATGAAAAAATTGTTAAACTCAACTTCATTATTTATGAATGATGTTTCTATGGCTACTTCCACCACCCAAATTCATGTCTTCCTTCCTCCTACCTAAAATATTGCAGTTGTTTCCACTTTACCCAATTAACAGGTCAATATTCTTCATCACAAATACCTTCTCTGCTTAAGAATATGGAATGTAGTAATTCTTCAACATTAACGTGTGTAAGAATCATCTGGTGAGCCTATTAAAAATGTAAATTCCCTATCTCTCCCAGCAGAAATTCTAATTCTATTTTATAACATTGAAAAGGTTGGTCTTGTATTGCAATTAAACTCTTATATTCATTTTCAGTTTGCAGAGCATCCAGAGGATAAAAGAATAAGTTAATTGACATCATGGATAAGAGCTAAATTTAGAATATCTAGAAAGGGATATAAGAACTTGATTCCTTTCAGGTTCATCATTTTGGGCAGGAATAATTTCTAGGATCACAAAAGGAGACACATAACATCAAGTCCCCACTATCAGTGATGCTATGTTTGATCACTAGGTTTAGGTGGTGGCAGCCAGAACTCTCCAGTATAAAGCATTTTTCGATTCTGCAATTAGCAAGTAATCTGTTGGGTGATACTTTCACATCAGGCAAACATCCAAGTCCTAGTCAACCTTTCACCCAATGTTTTCAGCATTTATTTATGCTCCTTGTCTATTTTATTCAGGGTTTCAAAACAGCGATTTTTCCAATTGTGTCTTTTTTCAACATTTATTAGTTGGAATTTTTCTTTAAATAGATTTCTCTGATCAACTGGAACTATTTGAATATCTTGATCCATAGTTTCTAATAAAAATAGGTGATAATTGATTAATTTTTCTCTTTAATTACCAATCTCCAGAATAAGGACTCGACATGATAGTCACCACCACCATTATCAAATGTTGCTGTGGTGGTTTCTTTTTATTAATTATCACTGGGGGTATGTATGTTTCAATATTATCAACAGGTCTCAATCTATTACAAATAATTATTTTTTCAGTGCTCAAAATTCTCCAAATTTGGTCAACAAGAACTCATGCAGTTTAGCGCCCTTGTCATTTAGGCAGAGCTCCCTTAGTCCTTGAATGCTTCCTCATTTTCTGACTCAAGAAGTCCCAAACTGACCTTGTACTTTTCTTGTCCAAGGCCTGGAATTAACCATTTCTCCAAGCAAGAGTGAACACAGAAATTTATGACTGCAAACTAGCTGACAAAGGGTGCACACTACTGTTAGGGTACCACTGCTTTTAGGCCATTTCAGTGGCCAGAAGTGGAAGATACAAAGATTAATAAATATATAGATAATAAATGTATTATATTGGAAGACATATATTTCCATATGTTAGAAGTATATATATTTATACCTATATTTAGGTATATCACACATATTTGTGATGTTTGTATATATTTCTAGTATATAAAAATATACATTTTCTATATATATCATATATTTAGATTTATATAAATGATATATAGATCGTAAGTTTATATTTCCCACTCAAATGGAACATTACAGAAATTTACTTAATTATTTGATCTCTTTTTTTCTTTTTTTTTTTTTGAGACAGGATCTCACTCCTTCTCCCAAGGTGGAGTGCAGTGGTGCAATCACTGCTCATTACAGCCTCGACTTCTGGGCTCAGGTGATTCTCCACTTCAACCTCCCAAGTAGCTAGGATACAGGCATGTGCCACCATGTGTAGTTAATCTTTTGTATTTTTTATTTTGTAGAGATGGGAGTCTCACTATGTTGCCCAGGCTGCTCTTAAGCTCCAGGGCTCAAGCAGTCTGCTGGCCTCAGCCTCCCAAAGTACTGGGATCACAGGCGTGAGCACTTTGTCCAGCCCTGATTTAATTATTGTATTTCTTTTCTCTTACATTTAAAATCTTGATTTCTAATAACACTTATATAACTACTAATTGTTTTATTCTGTAATATATAGAAAACCATTTCAAAGTGAGAACACTCATGTAACTACTGAGAAGAAAATTACTGAATGAAGTTTAAAATTTCCTAGCAGTCTTTTTGCCATTAAAATACATGACACTAGCATATACTGTCTGATTACTGTGTTTTAAAGTCATGTGAAATAATTATTTTCTCCATGTGATTATAATTTGATATTCAATTAGGTTCACTTGTTTTGGTTGGTTTTCAGTTTTAGGGTTTGCTTTTTTTATTTTGATTTAATTGTGTTTTTAAAAATACATATGACATTTTCCTTTTCAAAAGCCAAAATTCTATCTAAAAGAATACTCTGAGAACTCAAAATTCTGCTGTTTTGGTTTATTCCCTATAAGTAATGACTTTCACTAGTTTTTAGTTTATCTTCTGTGTTTTTTGTATGCATATTTGCATATGTATATATAATTCATATCCTTACAAAACATATATACATATATGTACACACACATACACACACCCCTCTTTTTTCATAAAGGTATAAATGGTATATACAATTCTGATTTCTTTTTTTCCTTTACAATAAATTCTGGAAATAACTAGATCAGTACATAGAGATCTTTCTCACTCTTCTATTAGGATGGCCTAGTGCTGCTTTTTGTCATCTTTTATTCAATGTGTATTTGATGAGTTGTTTCCAGGCTTTCTCTATTAAAAAAATGCCAGTATGAAAAGTTTATGTATGTTATTTTATATTTTGGTTGTCTAGCTTCAGGAGTACTAAAAGTGGGATTTCTGGGTCAAAGGATAAACAAGTCTGTAATTCTGTTAGATTTTGCCAAGTTACCCTCGTTGGAACTGTAACATTTTGTGCTCCCACCAGCAATGCGTAGAGCACCACCTGTTTCTTTCCAGAACTGTCAACAGGGCTGTTGTCACACTTTTGGATTTCTGCCAATCTAAAAAGTGAGGAATGGTATCTCAGTGTAGTTTTGGTTTACATTTTTCTTGTGTGAAGTTGATCATTTTCTCAGAGGTTTAAGAATCACTTATAGTTCTTGTTCTCTGTAATTGAATTCGCATCTTCTATTATTCTAGTTTTTGATTTGCTTTATGCACTTTTTCCCTTTGCTGATTTTGCTTGGCAATAAATCACAGCCATGAGTGTGATTCTATATTGAGTCTTGTGAGTCCTTCTAGCGAGTCTCAAAACTTGAAGGGGTCTTGTGCACACTGATACATATTGCCTTTCCATTTGGTCAAAACTGCTTTTGTGTCTTTAAGTAGAGTTTTAACGTTTTCCTCATGTAAGTTTTATCTTGTTTGGATTATTCCAGGGTAATTTATCTTATTTGTTGTTTATATAAATTGGACTTTGCCCTTCAAATATATATTTTAACTTGTTATTTGTATTTATGTAGACTTAATTTTTATAGATTAATCTTGTGTCTTGGTACCTTATTAAATTATTTTACTGCTTATAGTTTTTCCATTGATTCTCTAGGGTTCTGCAGGTACACTATTATGCCATCTGTAAATAGAAATAGTTTAATATTTTCTGTTTCAAATTCTATGCTTTCAATTCCTACATAATCCAATTTATTAATAACCAGAAAATATTAAATAGTAGTATGATTGTATGTCTCTTTATCTTGTTCCTGAAGATAGTGGAATAAGTTTAGAAATTCCTTATTAAGATGCTACATGTGTGGCTGAGGTATATGTACTTTACATTTATTTATTTATTTATTTATTTATTTATTTATTTATTTATTTTTGTGAGACAGAGTCTCACTCTGTTGCCCAGGCTGGAGTGCAGTGGTGCGATCTTGGCTCACTGCAACCTCCGCCTCCCAGGTTCAAGCAATTCTCCTGCCTGAGCCTCCCGAGTAGCTGGGATTACAGGCGCCTGCCACCACACCTAACTAATTTTCATATTTTTAGTAGAGACGGGGTTTTGCCATGTTGGCCAGGCTGGTTTCAAACTCCTGACCTCGGGTGATCTGCCTGCCTCGGCCTCCCAAAGTGCTTACAGGCATGAGCCACCAAGTCCAGCCCTGTTTTAAGGAAATATCCATTCATTCCTATTATTTTAAGTGGTCTTTTTTTCCCATCAGAAATGATTAGTCAATGTTTATCAAATACCATTTTAGCTTCTGTGGGTTGTTTTTTTTTCCCCCTTAGATCTACTATTAATATTATGAATTACATTAAAAGATGCCTTAATTTTGAAAAAGTCACTAAAAATCAGTATTAATAAAAATAATCGAGCATTAGTTTCTTCCTGATAGCTCATTTTTCCTTTTTTGTAAACTGATGCTTCTTGTACTTAGCTCATGAGATTTAAACAATTCGCTTGACTACTTACTACCTGTTATCTATGAGTAAAGCGAGTCCAGTTGTTTTTCCGAATACTTTACAGAATTGACTCTTCAGGATTAATTCTTCCAGGTATATGGTAGGTTCTTTCACTACATAGATTTAGGGATTTTTGTCTAAATTAAGACTATTTTTCCTTATTTATAATTTTAAATATTAGCTCTGTTTCATTGCTTTTTCTTCTCCAGATATGGCAATAATATATCTTCGATATTTTTGTTTGTTTCCTAAAACTATATCCTTCTCTAGCCCATTATACCTTTTTTGAAAGTATCCGCAATATTTCAGGGGTAGGGTACCTCTTCTCCGTTCTATCCTCTAATAGCCTTGCTGTATTTTCAGTGTTATTTATTCTCAGCGGAGCAATTTGCTATTTGGTCTTTTGAGATAATTTTTCTTTTTCTTCCATTTTCTCCTGGGTTTTCACCAATTCCAATGTAACATTCCTGCTGTTTATCTATTTCCACTCTTAATTTTTAATCTATAATTTTGATGTCTCTTTGTAGCTGCAGTTGTTTCCTTAGTTGTTTTTTGTTTGTTTGTTTGTTTTTTGTTTTTTTTTGAGACGAAGTCTCACTCTGTCGCCCAGGCTGGAGTGCCGTGGCGCGATCTCCGCTCACTGCAAGCCCCGCCACCTCCCGGGTTAACGCCATTCACCTGCCTCAGCCTCCCTAGAAGCTGGGACTACAGGCGCCCGCCACCATGCCCGGCTAATTTTTTTGTATTTTCAGTAGAGACGGGGTTTCACCGTGTTCGCCAAGATGGTCTCGATCTCCTGACCTCGTGATCCGCCCGCCTCGGCCTCCCAAAGTGCTGGGATTACAGGCGTGAGCCACCGCGCCCGGCCAGTTGTTTTATGTTAATGTTATGTTTTTGTATTCTTTAGCTTCATGACTAGATTTTTACAATTTGCTTGCTACTGCTGCAAAGTTTTTGAAAATGTATACAAAAGAATAACTGTGTATCGATATTGGAATTTCTTTTTTTTTCTTTATTATTATTATTTTTTTCAATGCTTTGTGGGCCAGTAATAGTAGGAGATTCTATGCAGGGGGCAGCAGAGAGGCTTCCATACGCTTCCCAGATTCCTCAGATAAAGGGCTCCCCTCTTATGTTCTTACAGTGAGGAAGCTTTGTTTGTAAGTGGCACTTTTTCCTTGTCTGTCTTCTGATGCTTTCATTATTATCCTGTTTTACTGAGACCTTTATTTTTACATACTTATTTTTTTCCTTTGACACCCAGGTTCCAAGGGTTGCTCCCCCTTCCAAAGACTTCCATGCACTCTCCAATACTCTTTCAACTCCATTCATGAGGGCTCTCTGACCTGCCAGGTCCCAGATTTTCTCTCAGCATTTTCCACTCAAATTGGGGATCTTTCCTTTTGAGGCTCAACTCTACTTGACTGAACCACTAGAATTATAGTATTCTACCACTATTAGGACCTCTCTATACTTCTCTATTTTCTATGACGCCCTTACCTATATCTCAGCCCCACGGTGAGCCTCAGAGCCATCATTCCCAGTGTTTGGAGTCTGGCTCTTCTCTGTCTCCACTAAACACCGTAAGTGTGGGCTCTGTTTTGATCTTTATGATTTGAAGAAAGAGGTACCTATAGACTCCAATTTATGCAGCCACCATTTTCCTGTTTTTGTTTTTGTTTTTGTTTTTTTCCATTGGTTTCTTGAGCTTAAATCCTATTCGAGTCTACTAGTGTCAGTGCAAATTAAGGATCAGGTTGATACTCTGACTAATTAAATTACATTCTGCTTGTGATAAAAGGATTTTTGGTGTGTTTGAATATTTAACCAGGTCATCAGATATTTACAACAGAGATACAATATGTAAGAAATTCGGTTAAGGAAGGCTATTCACTGATTCAGCTGTGAACAACTTACTCACTTGCTTCATTTCCAGAGACGAATTTAGGATGAGCTATGTGTAATAAATGGTGCTCTCAAGTCCTGCTACTTGAAGACTATAATCATTTATATTGAGAACATGTGTGTAGTAGGTCATATCTGCTTGGCTATATATTATAAAAGAGTGATATATTGCTTTGATTTTGCAATCTCTTAACAGACTGCCTCTGATGTGCATCACATTCTGTTTTAATGCTTATTCAATAGTTAACCTATATTTTATTCTGTACTACTTTTGTGCAGGGGGTTCTGGATTTGAAGAATATTTTGTTTTTAATCCTCCTTCCCCAAAACCTGAATAACTGCTTTTTATTCCCTTGCAGTTGAATAGATTCTTAAAATTTCACTCAGCTTCCTTGTATTTTGAGTTTTTGTTCAAGTTGGGGCATATAGACATAGCTCGTAGTGCACTGATTATAATATATTATTTTCAAAATAGAATAATTCCGTTGTTTTAAACAAATTAATCAGTCACTTTACTAGAGTTGACTCTCAAGTCTTACCCCAATGCGTGTTATTGAACAATTCCTCCACTTTGATTATCTTTTGCCTTGCACGATTTTGCTTTGTGTGTATTATAAATATTAATTTCTTTTGCTCAGAAATGAAGTTCTATGAGAACAAATGCCTTACTCTACTCCTCTTTTACGTTGTCTGTATCCCCCAGGATGATATTGAACACACAACAAATATTTCTTGATTTATTTCTGATCTTCTGCAGTTTTGACATTACACAAATAATAATTAAATTCCCCAGGCAACCTTGTCTCTGACAAAATTTTAAGTAAAAAAATTACACTTCTACTGTCTGGATTTATTCTAATTATGCTCTTTCCATACCCGATGCTCCAGAAGTGTTTTCACCAGCAGCTCCAGTGGTGGCTACATTTTCCCCTTCAGTTGTTCCTAATTGAAAAGAGCAACAGTGCTCAGTCTGCATCAGAGTTTTCAAAATCACGAAATAAAAATACAGGACACCCAGTTAAAAATGAATCCCAGACAAACAATCAACACCGTGTTTTGATCATTGCATGGGACATACTCATCATAAAAAAAAAATTGTTCCTGATTTGTGTGAAATTCAAATTAACTGGTATCCTATATTTTCTCTGGCAAGCCTAGTCTACATAAATGGTTATAATGAAGTACTCTTCGAACAAATTTCAGGGTTTCTTTAAAGAGGTAGGGGGTCTACTTAAACTATCCATGATCATTTGTTGTAAAATTAGATCCCTTATAAATTCGCTTAAATTTATAAGAATTTGAGGTTCCAACTAGGTTTGTGACTCACCACCACTAAAGTGACCAGGTGAGCCTGGGCTTGGCCTGGTGAGTTTCCCAGGTAAGCTGGAACCAGTGAAAGATGTTCTCGCTGTGATTTCACTGTCAGATCCAGCGGTAGATCCAAGAGGCTGTCCTGTTCCACCTGGCAAACACAGTGTTGGGAGGGCACATACATTATTGTGACAACCCAGTGCCATAGCAGTTTTGAAGGAAATACTTGGAGAAAACCTAAATTAAAACTTTTCTTGAAAATGTTAATAACATATACCTTTCTATCTTCTGTTGGATGGCATTTATACTTAGTGAAATTTGCAGAGGTCTGATGAAAGATTGTCCTTTTCACCAAAAGCCATGGCCTCGGAATGACATCCTCTACTCACCTGACACGCCTTCAGATGATGTCGCTTCACTGCTTGTGACTCTAGTTTTTCCACCTACTGAGGGTCCAGTAGTTCCTTTCAAAATAGACAATAAATATGTATCGTGATCTTTGATTTAGCAGAACAGAGGGTGCTACTCTCTGCTTTCAAAATATCTTTTGTTTACACTTCTTCATTTCCAGGAATGGTTCACTCTTTCCAAAAATTCATTATGAGAATCATATACAATTGTTGGCATCCCTGAGAGTGCTTATTTACTTCTTCCTTGTAAATAAGCTTGTTTATTATTTACTTGTTTAATATTCAGATATTTGAACCTAGTGGTTCTCAACCCAGGTTGCATGTGGGACCCGTGAGGCTTTTTAAAAATACTTAATGCCTGGTCCCTTCTTCCATGGACAGATTCAATTAGTCTGTGACGGATTCTTCAATATGTATTTTCAAACATTTATCTAGTTGATTCTAATTTGTAGTTAGGATTGCAAACTATGACCCTAGCCCCACTCCAGACTCACAGACTCAGAAGTTCCAGAACAGGAACCTCTGTCTGAATCTGTATGGCCGATTACTACCTGCAATACCGGTGGTCAGTAACTGGGCTTCCTAACTCCAGTTCTTTTCGTTCTTTACAGCACTGCTAAATAAAGAAAATGTGGAGATCCACACGCTCCATTTTACTCCTGCATACTCACTGACTTTTCCCTTTTACTTACCTGATTTGCTGCTTTCAGAGGTTGTGACTGAGGCTTCAGGGCTGGCAGTGGTGGAGCCTGCAGAAACTCCTGTGCTTCCTGAAACCAAGAGAGGAGCAGGTATATATGTTATTACTTCTGTTACTATGACTACTTGGAAGGTTCCAGAAAAAGGAAGTGAAAGAAACTATCCCTCCAACTTTCCTCAGCCCTGCATCCTAATACTAGTTCTAGCCTGAATTTACAGAGCATTACTTAGTGTAGAAGGTATGGTTGGGAACTTCTGAGACATTATGTCCAGCCTGGTCAATCTTACAGAAACTGTGGCTCCAGGGCCTGCTTCCCCCAGGGTACTGCCACCTCCGACTACAGGGGTTGCTCCAGATACCCCCAGTGTGCCTAATTTTTTATCATGGAAAAAAACAATGTCTGCTAAGAAAGTTAAATCCTTATAAAAGTGACCTAAAATATACATTTTTTTCTTTAAAAAATGAATCTATCTCATATAAATACACATTTTTTTCTTTAAAAAAATGAATCTATCTCATAAACGTCATGACAAGTTCTTGTTCAAGGTAAATCAAATAAATCAGGAAACTCTGATATTGTACTGATTACAATAAAGGAGTTTTTCTTCGTAAAATAGAGTAATCGTGCAGATAATTCACTGTTCAACACTGAATACTTCAACACTGAATTATCTTGTCTCTTCTTACTAGAATTGCCCTATGCTCCAGCATGCACCTTTTATTTGCTTAATTAACTCCTGCCTTTCTTAGTCTTTATCATCTATGTCTGTAGGAATATTTATTCCTTCCTCTCCAAAGTGAAGTAGAGTGAGAACAAATATATGGCCCTATTCTTTTCCTGTATCCCACAGAGCATCTATCACAGTATTAGGTATACAGCATATGCTTGTTGGTATAGTTCTGATCTTCTGCACACACAGCCTTACGTAATGTTTGGATTCCCCAAGAAACCTTGTTTCTGATTAAATTTTGAGCAGAAAGCTCACGTGTCCACAGGACAGCATCGTAATGTTTTTGCTCTTCCAGTACCTGCTCTCTCAGATGTATTTTCACCAGCAGCTCCAGTGGTGGCTGCATCCACTCCTCCAGTTCTTCCTACTCGGAAGAATAATGGTGCTTAATGTATATGGATAGTTACCAAAAAAATTATTTCAGGATATTCAGTTTCATGTTGTTTTCCTAAAATATTGCCCTTGGTTATATTTACTTAATCTCATTATCGTATTCTGGGGTCTTGGCAAAGCTTATGTTGGACCCTAATTACAGCCCCCAAAAGAGTCTTTGTCTTGCCTGCTGGGTTCCCAGGGCTGGTGGCCCCACTGCCTGATGCTCCCGGTGTGCTTCCCCTGCCTGCTCCTGTGGTTGCGCCCAGGAATCCTCCAGTCGTACCTAACACACACAGTAGCAGTAATTTCAACATATGATACTTCTAAAGGAAAAGACTGGGAGATTCCAGTCGCATTTCAAGCTTCTTGAGCAGCTTATATGTTTTGATTATGCCCATTTATCAGGCGCTAAAGCATGTTTTGACTACGCCCATTTAACAGGAGCTGAAGCACATGTCCTAACTTGCCTGATTGTCCAGGGCTTGCAGCTCCTTTGCTTGGTTCCCTGGGTGTGGGCCGGAGGGCCTCCGGTTACTTTTGATTAAAAAAAAAAAAAAAAAGTATTTAGAAAAATGCCCTGGCCGGGCATGGTGACTCACGCCTGTAATCCCAGCACTTTTGGAGGCAGAGGCGGGTAGATCATCTGAGGTCAGGAGTTCGAGACCAGCCTGGCAAACATGGCAAAACCCTGTCTCTATTAAAAATACAAAAATTAACCAGGCCTGGTGGCAGGTGCCTGTAATCCCAGCTACTCAGAAGTCTGAAGCAGGAAAATCGCTTGAACCCAGGAGGCAGAGGTAGCAGTGAACTGAGATCGCACCACTACACTCCAGTCTGGGCAACAAGAATGAAACTCCATGTCAAAAAAAAAAAAAAAAAAAAAACAAAAAAAAAAATGCCCTACACATAAACCAACTCATTTGCTCTTATTAAATTCCTCTGAAACAAATCATATTATTATTCTTATTTATTAGATGTGATTAAATGACTTGCTCCAGGTCACCAAGTTGGTCGACAGCAGATCCAGGAGCCAAATTCAAGCAGTCTAACTACAGTTAATACTCTAACCTGTGTTTCTCAAACAATCTGTAGCAAAAGATCAACTTTGTAAAATTTCCAATCTGTGCTAGATTAGTACTTTGAAAAAGGCCATAAAATAGAGAAATGAAATTTTTAAAAGTAAAACCTTACAAAACACAAGTCTTTATTTAATAGACATAAAAATCATCCTGTAAAATTGCTATGTTTTTAAATACTTACTCTCTGTTTCAGTTCTTAATACATCAAAAACTGGTAACAGTCTGGCTAGTATCCATCTGTCGACCAAACTTTGAGTAGCCCTGCTCAAAATCCTTATATATACTGCCTCATAACCAAAAGAGATAGCTGATTGGCTTATCATTATTATCCAAGTAATTTCCATGCAGGTTTTAAGAAATGTAAACAAATGGTCATCACTCTAAAATTTAAGTTTACTGACCTGATTGGAACCAACCACTTTCTTAATTTGTGCTATTGTACATTGATTATATCCTTTAAACCATTAATTTTTATGTAAACTATATCTTATTCCATAAAGTGTTTAAGTTATAATGTTTAAATCAGGAAAATTGCTAAGGGATAGTAAATGTAGAAAAAATAAAATTAGGCCATGGATTAGTTAGCAAGTGCATAAAGAGAAATAGTTCCATGTATACACTAAAGAAATGGCTTTTAACCCAGTATATATGTAAAGAAGTTTTGATTTATCTTAAAAGCAATCAGAACAATTGAAGAATTGTAAGTAGTGGAGTGACATGATGATAGTTGAGATTTTCGAAGTCCATTCTGTCATGGTATTGACTGCAGCGTAGATTGGGAGGGAAGTGAGGAAGGAGTGGAAATGTTAGAGCATTTGTTTTCCACTTTGATGAGCATCAGATGCATGGGCTTGCTAGTAAAATGCTGGGCTCCACTCCAATAGCTTCTGATTTTAGGAAGGTAGGCCCAGACATTTACATTTCTAACAAGTTCCCAGAAGATGCTGATGCTGCTGTTCCAGAAACCACACTTTAAACACCATTGTGTTGGAGGAAGGTGAGCAAGGTGGAGGCTAGGTGGAAAATGTTTAACACCTGAACAAAAGCAGAGGCAAATTGATGCAGAGAAGAAACTTAAGAGATACTTGAAATTAGTAGCTGATAGCATGGTGGACAGGGGTGAACTTACGCTTTTTTGTTTTCTATCAAAATGATGTCTCGTTAAGGAAACCAATAATATTTTATTCATGAAACCAACAGTAGTTAAAATTCAGTCAATGATATGTAGGGCAAGCATATTCTCTTTGGCTTTTGTTGGATCTACGTTTTTATACACACACAGAGCTGTGGAGCTAGCTATTCCACACCAGACTTAGGATTATGTGTTCTAATCCTGCCTCTTCCAGCTTGGAGACCTTTTATTATTTTCTCACCTAATGGGAATAACGACAGATAACTACCATGGTGTAATTGTTGATTAAATTACATACTATATAATTGTAGACAATTCAGAAATATTCCTGTGCCATAGAAACATATCATTAGTATTTTATTAAATATTAATCATTGAATTTTTCCCCAAGGTCATTTAGCTGACTTCTATAGCTCTGAAGTCAGCTATTGTACTCAGGGGAAAGTTGTTGCCAAGTTGAAACAGAGGATTCCTAGTAGAAATAGGCTGTGGAAGAGATAGCATTTGACTCATTTCTTTGTCTCACCTGTTCTGAAGTCACTTAAATTTCCATGTTCAGCTCCTGTGGTTATACCTGGTAACACTCCAGTTGTCCCTGACAAAGGTAAAGAAAAAACAAATATCTGGCTAAAAAAATGCATAGGCACCACCAACTGTCAAGGTCATCAGCACATATAATTTTAACATTATACTTTAAGGAAGCAACTTGTGAAAAGACTAAAGATACGATATTTCAATTACATATAAGGAATAATCACCTAGCTCTAATACCTTTATTTTGCAAAATATTGTTCTGAGTCACATCACTGAGAAACTAAAATGAGTTTCTTAGCTGAGACTGGTATACTTTGTTCTGAATTTAATTTACCTGCCACGCCTGCAGCACCAGTGACGGTGGGGCTCACTACTCCTGTCGTGCCTGCATTTCCAGATGTTGAGATGATGGGAACTGAAGTTTCAGTAATGCCTGAGAAAAACATAAAATAAACGTCTCATCTAAAGTCTATTAGGACTTTATCACCATGGAGTGAGTTAACTGTTTAATCAGTTTTACCATAGAAAATATAATCAATAAAGCCAGTGACTTTCTGCCTAGAGTTCCCTAAGAATTTGTTTTAATATCATTGCCTTTTTTTCTTTTTTACAAATACGGCTTTCTGCATCTTGAACTGAGCCACACTAGGTCTTCATATATTTTTCTAAATAAGTGTTTTAAAATAAGCAGAACCTACAGCCACTGTGGAGAAAAGTTTGGAGGTTCCTCAGGAAACTAAAAATTGAGCTACCGTATGATCCAGCAATCCCACTGCTGAGCATATACCCAAAAGAAAGAAAATCAGTGTATCAAAGAGATATCTGCACTCCTACATTTGTGACAGCACTGTTTACAATAGTTAAGATCTGGAAGCAAGCTAAGTGTCCAGCAACAGATAAATGGATAAACGATACATGAAATGGAGTACTATTCAGCCATAAAAAAGAATGGGATCCAGTCATTTGCAAAAACATGGATGGAATGGGAGATCATTATGTTAAGTGAAATAAGCCAGGTACAGAAAGACAAACATCACATGTTCTTATTTTATGGGATCTAAAAAAATCAGATCCATTGAACTCATGAACATAGAATGTAAATGGATGGTTAGCAGAGCTAGGAAGGGTAGTCAGGGGTTAGGGAGAGGTGGGGATGGTTAATGGGTATAAAAACATTTAAAAGAATGAATAATACCTACTATTTGATAGCACAATGGGGTGACTATAGCCAATAATAATTATACATTTTAAAATAACTTAAAGAATATAATTGGATTATTTAGAACACAAAGGGTAAATGCTTAAGGGGATGGATTCCCCATTCTCCATGATGTGCTTATTTCACATTGCATGCCTGTATCAAAACATCTCATGTATGCCATATGTGTATATATCTACTATGTATCCACATTTTAAAAAAAATAATTTTTAAAATTTAAAAATAAAATAAAATAAGCAGATCCTTATGCCTTAATCACTGTGGCCTGGGGCTGATAATAACAATAAAGAAACACTATCATGAAATAGTTAATTGCTACGTTTAGGCTTAGAACAGCTAAGAGAGCTGTTATTAGATGTGCACATGTTTAAACTTTAAACATCTAAGACAGTAACGTATGTTATTAGATGTGCAACCCATAGTCTTTAAAAAAATTTAAAGATATTTACTACTGTTGCAGATATTATGTTAATAGTTAATGATAAAGAAGAAAATAAAACTAGAAACCATGTTTCTATAGCCAGTCAATATAGACTGATCAAAAACAAGTAAAATTCAAGGTTTTTAAAGAAAAATTTAAAGTCAGTGGTAAAAACCTAGTAAACTACTTGTTTGAAATATTTTTTCTAAAGTCAAACTGTCCTATACATTCTTTCTTTAAAACCCAAAGTGACTAATGATTTAAACTATTGAATATTTTTATTTAACATATAAAACCAGGAATTAGTATACTGGCCTGTAGTAAAAGGCTCGGTGAGAGGACCTAGAGTCGTTCCTGAAAAGGAAAACAGAAATGATGTGAATTTTTCCAACCGCAAGGAAAAAATACTAGAGAGATTGTTCAGCTGTTGTGTAGTTTTCAATATAGAGTAATTTGTAATATATTTAGTGTTTAGAGTTAATAAAAAATTTGTATTTCATTTTTAAAATAGTGACATACATGGTGTACTTTCCAATGTATACATACACACACATACACATATGCTGAATTCTACTAAATACAAAGTAAATGGAATGTATATCAACAACGGCAATACATCCTCTGATAAGCAGAGGCTGATTTTGCAGTTTATGGTTTCTTCAACTTTTCTCAGCTTCTGGTTGTCTGCAGCTTGGATATTTTTATATTGAGTAACACTTAGTCTATAAGGACTTGGAGGGAAAAGGATAAATATTTTTTAAGATTTATGTTTATGATTTGACATAGCAGGTTTATAAAAATAAATTTGAATTTACCCTAAACAGCTGTTGTGGATTATCAGTGAACTCCTGAAGGAAAAGGCCATGTTTTACCTTTGTATTCTCAATGTCTGTCCATTGCTAGGGATGTGATAAAAGCTCATCACATGTTTACTGAGGACCTGTGCACTTAAAAATAAGCCTTTATTAATTTGGGGTTTTCATAAATAAAAAAATAGTCAGGTATTTTCTCTATTTCAATGTTAATTTTCATTGAAAATCCATGGAAATCCACTGCTTACTTTATGTAAACAATACTACTTTGCAATTTTATAGTGTTTTGGAACTTCAAAAAAAGAAGGAGAGAAACAAACTTCTCACACAATCTATTTGATCCTCACTCCTCGTCCAGCCACACTTGCCTTTCTATCTTTTCTACCTGCTGTTTGCAGTTCTCTGTACTTGGAACATGGTTCTTTCCTCCTCTTCTCCTACTTGAGCTTTCATTGGTCAGTTCTCAACTCAGTCATCTTTTCTTCAGTCCTTCCTGAGCTCCTTGACTGGATTAAATCCCCAGCCTCTCATCCAAGGCCCTTTTAGATACCCCATAGCTCTTGTGTTGATGTAAGTTTCCATTTGTTTTTGTAATTACTTAATTGATATCCACATTCCTGACTAGGCTATAGGCTTTATAAAGGCAGAAACCATGTCAATTTTAATTCACTTTAGTATCTCCAAGGCCTATAAGAGTGCCTAGCACATAATAAGAGCTTGAGAAATATTTGTCCATAGAATGAATGAATGAATGAATGGAGTAAAAATATTTTACCCATTTTCCTACAAAGAATGGGATTCAGAAAGGTTGAGTGATTTGTTCAAGATCACACTGCTGATTAGTGACAAAACTAGGACTCAAATGTAAGTCCCCCAGTATCTAGGACTGTGACCCATACTGTTTTTTATGTTATTCTGCCTGTATGTATAACACATCACCTCCTGCAGTTTTCAAATTTTCTTAATTACCCATTCACCATGTTAATGGAAATATTAAAAATTAGACTAGAAATTATAGAACACAATATCAAGTAAAGAATAAAATATCCTGTCTCCCCGAATTACTTTACAGAATGTATATTTAAATAAGTATGGTAACTAGTTTGAGAGAAAATTTTTGTGACAGTTATCAAGAGCTGACAAGGTTTAGTTGAGAAGAATTTTCAAAATCGGTATTACACAGACTCCACCAACTGACCAGCTCAGATCTTGATCTTTTCTCACTAATGAGCACAATAGTTGGACATTTGAATCAAAATATCTTGCTGATCTAATTGTAAGAATAGCATGGAAAGACTGTTATGCCATGAACCCCAGAGATGATCAAGATTAGAATGATGTGGAAGAATAGATAGACCCTGATATTCCCAAAGATTTTGGTGCAGATTCCATTTCCTAGTATTGATTTAACCTTTATGGAATTCCAGTGATCCAATTTGAGTACTTTCAAACTGAAGACAATTGCATTTAATTAAAAACAGCATTATCATATGGAATAAAATCAAATCTCCGAAATTTACACATCTAAATAAATATGCTCTAATCAACATGGATTCAAGAACATAGTTGCACACCATAGGTGGTAGTGCTCTGATCATCACTATTTTTGCCATATGCACAAGAGAACATATTTATAGGCCTTTCCTTATAATTGATGTTGCTGAGATGGCAACATGCTCATGTGCATCTCAAGGACCGATCTTTAATCAGGGTCATAGAGTTATTTAAACTAGGCACAGATTGGAGTACAGACCAGTCAGGCTACTATGATATAGCTCCTTTTCCCCATGAATGAACTTCAGAAGATGTAAGTCTGAAATTATTGATACAGCAATAAAAGTAGGGATAAGCCTTTACTAACAGGAATCCGTGAGAACTCACTTTTCTTCTGGGTTTAATTACCAAAACTGATAGAGACTGCATTCTCGTTCTCATTAATTCTGACATCCATAACCATTACAGTTTCAACTGATTTTTCTGTTACTTGCAAATGAACACACATGCTGGAAGTACTTGATACTGTCAATTATTATGCGTCAGCTTCTTTGTGTACGAGACATAAATAGTAATAGGAGGAGCTGCCTTCACCAAAACACTAACTCCACCCTAAAACATTTTTTCAAGTGGCTTTGTCCACTTGGGTTTCACCTCGCTACAAACTTAATATAAAGTCTTTTAATTAATTTTCTAGCTACCACTAAGTTTTTAAATTAATTCTAAGAATCATTTTAATTTTTACAAGGAAAAAATATTTTGACATTTTTTTCAATGAATTTTATTTTACTTAAAATATATGTCTGAAAGATAAACTTCAGGAGTATCCATAACATTTCCCCTCATAAACAACAAATTCAGTACTGCAGAGTCTACAGCTTTTGCAAAATATCTTATTCTGAAAAAATTTAAAAATTCATAAAATTGGCTTTAATTCAAGAAGCAGTATGTTTCTGATTAGTAACCTATAAAGTATTAAACTCCCCAACTAAAATATAAACTCATTCACCTAGTTAATCATTCGTTATAAAATTCACTAATAGTAAAGTTGCCTTTACTGAATACTTCCTATGTATTACACTAAGCTGCACTATCACATTTACTGTCTTCTCAAATCTTTCCATGTAGAGATTACTTTTAGTTCCCACTTCACAGATGAGAACACTAAACCTCAGGCTGCTTGAGGGACTTAAAACAGGGTCAAACTTTAAGGGGAGGGATTCAAATTCTCATTTTTCTAATTCCACATTCCACTATACTCATCTACCTCCCTTTGCCTGATGCGATTTTTTTATGATTGATGCTATTTTATAATAAGCACATTGTATAAACAAAATTTATATATAACTTACAGTTGTAACATTCTAAGTTTTTAAATTTTTGAGTAAATATGCATTTTAACAGATTATATGGTTGTGTAACAGAAACCCACTTTTAAATTATATGTCAGTGTCCCATGTATTCATTCACAGGGGGGATTTTTTGTTGTTGTTTTAATATAAACCTACTAAACAACCTATGATTTTAACATAAGTTCCAATTTGAAATCAGAATCTGTAATTACATGTTGCTTCTTCAATAACTGATGTAAATTAAATTCAACTTCATCCTCTTCTTTAAACATGGAAACACAGGGGCATTAGCACTGGCGTCTAGAAAATATGTTCTGAATTTTAATTATCTCTGCAACTTATTAGCAAGTAACCTTGAATGTATAACTTAACCTCTTTGTGTTTCCATTTACTCATTTGTAAATAGGGGGAAATGATGGCACCATGTCAGGGAATTTTCTGTATCAAATCAGATAATATATGTCATATAGGTAGAGTAGTGCTCAGTGAATATTAGCTCTGTATCAAGATCAGTCAATCTAAAAAGGAAAAGCCCCATAACTGCATAATGTTTCTTCTAAAAATAGCATGCTTATTAGAATGGTTAGCTAGGCATCTCTCAGGGTATTTTAGCCCTCTGAAAGCATTCACTGTACGGAAAAGATGATAGATACAGAAAGCATGTGGAGGAATTAAAGTCTGCACACTGCTTCCCTTTCACTTTAGAGTTTTCTGCAATGTTTTTCTAAACTCCTCAAAAGTACCCTTTACTTCTATGCTATTTACCTCAACAAAAAAGTTATGGTCTATTCAACAATGAAGTCATACCTTGTCTTCTATGCAGTACTTGGTCAAAAGTACTTTATCCAGAGAACAAGTCAGCGGCAAAAGCCTGCAGCCCCTACCCCACTGCCCCGCCGAGACTCTTTTTAAAATAAATGTTATCTTTGTGTTCAATAATTATAGGTTTTTATGTTAAAATGATTTATTTTTAAAACAAAGCAAAAAGTAAAAGTAGGAAAGTTTTAACCAAGTTAATTTATCCCACTTATCATATTGGTTCTGCTCAAAAGCACTAATACATTATCCACAATGAAATAGGTTTCCATGTCCAAGAAACAAATCCTTTCATTTATTATAGATAGTTCATGGAGAGGAAATACATATTTGAAATAAAGTGTCTTCTTAGCTATATTATATCTGAAATATAATCTTTTACTTTTCAATCTCTAAATATCTACATTTTGAAAGAAACAGAAAAAAACACCCTTTGCTAGTGATGATGTCAAAACACTTATTTTAAAATAAAACAAATATGGGATTCATTGTTCTCATAACTGATCAAGTGAGGCTTACCACCAGAAAACTTAAAAACAAAAATCATTTTGTAGTTAGGGATTCATCACAATTTGAAAACGCCACTTTTAAACCACCAATGTCAGTGAAAGAAATAGGATGCATCTTTCAAGCCTACAATTTGTGCAAGACAATTGCTCTACAAAAGACCTTTATTTTTTAAAAAAAAATTCTAAAAGCAAACAATTTAAACTGTTTCGTTTTCACAATGACATAATGTTTATTGGATGAATTTAGAAAGAAAAAGAGTGTGAAAAGAAAAAATAAGTTGGTGTCTCTTAAAGGAAAATGTTTTATTCTTACATGAAAAATGAAAAATAATAGATGTGACTTTTTTTCCTTTGGAGCTCCAAAATAAAAATACCAGTAAACCCTTATCTAGCACTTTCTGGGTTTCTTCTGATTACCATCCTCACTTTATATAAATTATTATGATTCCTCAGCCAGAAGAAAATTGGCATATCATCTCTTAGTTGTTAAAATTCAGAAATACCACATTTTATTTTGAATAGTTTGTACTCAGTACAAGTCCCTAGCACAAGTTGAAGTATACTATTTATGATTTCCACTTAATTGAATGAACACAGATGACCAACTGGCATGTGCCAAGCCCTCAAGTCACAGGTTTTAAGGAAAACTAAGTTAATCATTATTTGAATGATTTCTAAATTCCCATCTGTATAGTGTGATATGGTCATAGCCTCAGAAAAGATAAGGAACTAAGAATTACCTCTAATTCTTACCACTAATCGTTATTTTTTAATTGAAATTTGATACATTTAACTAAAATTTAATTAAAGTTTTGTATGCTTCAGTTTATCTGGAAAATTAGCACTTCCTAATCTGTTCCAGCAACAAGATAAGCTATACATACACTATTAATAAATGCTGGGAATATATTATTAATCTGACAATCAATGTTTTCTGCACATTGGGATTACTTGATTAACTTTATTTGAAACACACACATTTTGTGGCACAATTGGAAAATTTTAATATGAGGGAAAAAAATAAACATTTTTATACTTCTTTGTCTCCTGATTTTATAATGATGTTGACTACAGTTTCTGGCTTTCATGGGTAACAAGAAAAAGAAAACCAATCCTGACTTCTCTCTAGATCATGCCAGAAAGTCCTTTTCTTTCTGATCCTTATAACCCTGAAAATGTTACTTAAGCTCTTTGCATTTCCTCACTTTTAAAATGATGAGGTGAGGAAGACTGTGGAGAATAACAATCAGAGGATTAAGATTTAATGAGATACTGAATGAAAAATATTTAATATAATGACTAGAATAAGGTAAATCCTCAATAAAAGTCACTTTTAGCATATCTTTCAATAAAATAGTAACATAGCATTTGGTTAATTATTAATATTATACTTACAGAGCATGAAATATCTACCAGAATTTCAGGGAAATTAAATAAAACATTAGGATTCAGTAAGGCAAAGCACAAAAGTCATAAATAATACCAAATGAATTCAAGGAAAAAATCACCCAGGTAATCTTTCCTATAATTCAACTCTGCATTTGATTTATAATTTTTAAAATGCTACCATGAAGATGATTGATAAGTTTTTTGTGTTTTATGGTAAATGGGACAAAATATTACATCTAAAACTTAATCAGTTGCTCACAAAAACCTTATCAGGGTAATCTTCTCATGATGTTCTGTTTTCCATGGACAGTTAACTTACTACAGTACAAAGTGTTGACAAAATAAAATTGAATATTACATTCAAAATCAGGTGTTTGAAAAGGAAATTATATATTTTATATATTTATATACATACAATTTATATATTTTATATATATGTATATAAGTTAGAAAAATTAAACCACTTTTAATAGTTCTAGGTAAGTATTGTGATATAGGATATAGATATCATCATCATGATACTGAGGAAATAGAAATAGTTATCTAAGCTGCTTATGATTCATGCGTATCTATGCAGTTCATCAAATCAAGGAAAAAAATATTTCTTTAAATGATCACAAGATACGAAAGTTTTAATAGCTGATGAACGACTTTGACTAAAGGAACGCTTAGTAACTGAACCAAATTAATCATCTTAGAAACAGAGCCAGGCTGAAAATTAGGGATTCAGTCCACTGCTTGCAACTGAGGTAACACGTAGCTAGAAAATTACTCTGCGGTGCATAAGAAATTAATTCAAAAACCTATTGGGATGAAATTGTTATTAGTCCTGGGAAATGAATTTATGATTACAGACTGCAGAAGAACATTTTTGAAATGTGTCAGGCTTTCTGAGATTTACATTGAAAGAGCCAGTAATGCTTTGTGTCACGAATGGTATCCAACATAAGAGAAAGTTTGACAGGAAGTAGCATGTTGTTTTCGGTATTTTTAATAATATTGTGCACTATGATAGCTGATGCTTTCAGATATACATATGTATTTACTCCTTTAATATAAAAATATATTAATTAAAAAATAGACAACACTAAGATTTACAAAATGTTCAAAATTATAGTCACAATTCTATATTATGATATCAATTTATAATCCAATAATAGCCTTGGTTTTACACTGTATCTTTGTATTGAAGATTAGCTCTAATGAGTGAAATGTATGAACTGTTGGATTTATCAGTATAACTAATATTTAACAAATAGTTTAACCTTCACCAGAAATACTGAGCTAAAGTTCTAAACCTGAGTTCTAAATTTTTGACAGGGAAAAAGAAAAGTCATTCATTCACTCTGTAAATACTTACTGAATACAAACTAATCTGTATCTTGACATTAGGTACAATTGGGAATACAAGGATGGCGAAGCATGGCCTGTGACTTGAAGTAATGTATTCATTTAAGACTTGATAGGTTAATAAATAATAAAGAAAGAGAATTAGTGCTAAGTTGGGGGTAAAGACTGTAAGTACAGAAAAGTGAGTATATGAAAGATAGTGCAGAGTTGGAAGGTTGAAATCTATGGATGATTTTCTCAGACACATAGATTCTAGAAAGAAATGACATACACTATGCATGTGAATCTTCAATTAAGTAAAATTGGCATCTTTTTAATTGTATAATTAATTAAAGAAAAGAAGGTGACTATTATATATTACAAACAACAACAACATGTAGAGTCACAATGCTAAACTGTCTGCTAGCCATTTTTTGTGAATTTTTAAATCACATTTTCATATACATTAAAGACACTGAAACATACTGAACACATTTTTAAATTTAGGTGGAAAGATAAAATAGCAAACTAAATTAGGGAAACTGGATGGTCAGAGGGAAAATTCAAACCCAAATATTTTAATGTATAATCAAACTGATGTTGATTCTAATATTTAAGTTGTTCAAGGTTTCAGATACAAACCTTTATTCAAAACTTTATTCGTCACTTATGGATTTTCTGATTTACCTACCTGTTGTTTCACTGCTTGATGTTGTAATCGCTGGAATGGATGCTGCTGAATTTGAGAAAACAATGGAAAAAATAAGTTTTATATGCAGGGGAAATTATACTTCCAAGAACATCTATAGTCACATGCAAAATGGATCAACTTGAAATGACTGTTTCAGACAAAAAAATCATCATATAGGTGAAAAGAAGCCCAGATATTAGTTTTAAAATGTATAGGCCCCAAGTAAAAGGTCAAAAAACCTTATCATTTGGTATAATGCTTTTTTTCCCCCAAAAGCTTTCTCTAAAAAATTATTTTTTAAAAAAGAAACTTTGTCTATTTCTTCTAAAAATGTCATTACAAAGATATAATACTGCAAAGGAAGTTTTGGATGTTTTAAAAAATCCCCCGTGATTAAGTTGTGGCTTAGAGGTTACAGCTTACCTATGCCTGGGCTACTGGTAACCAGTGTAATTGCTATGCAAAGAAGACAAATATTTGGAAATATACATTAAACTGGTATTGAAAGATGAGGTTAACCATACCTATTTAAACATGTTTCAAGATCTCCAGAATGCAAATAAATGATTAAATGTAACAGTTAAGTTCACTTATCAGATGTTTACACATTTCAATATACTTTTGTGCTCCACTAGCTACTGTTTTAATGACAAAGCATCCAATTAAAGTTAAAGATTTCTTGGTGTTAATAAAAGAAATTGTAAATTACTTTCAAGGAATTTAACATAGAATTTTCTGACATAGCCACTTTCTCCAAATCAGTAGTATGTAGAATGTTCTTCTTAGGACAGACAACCTTTGAAAAGGGAAGATGTTCTTTAATAATGTTACAATTACGTACAGACCTGCTATTTGGCATGGGCCTTTAGCAAATACATAAATGGAGAATGAAAACTTTGAAAAAAGTACCATGATTCCCAAACTATCAATTATCTTTGCTGCTCATTTAGGAGCTATAAAAATAGTTAGCATTCTTTAATTTATTTACCTGCTCCGGTGCTTAATATGGCGGTAGCTGTTGTAGTGGAAACTGTTTAGGAAACACAATATTTATGAAAATAAATTAATTGAATAATTTTTGCTGGGAAATATAGCTCAAAAAACCAGTTATCATAAACTAAAAGTAAAATTTCTGAAACATGTGCAGACGTTAAGTGACAAAATAATTTTTTATTTACATCTGCACAAATAACATCATATATTTATATATGTCCACCAAAAATAACTATTTCCTGTTATTATCACTTAACCAAAATCTCATAGGAACTTTATAAAGTCTCTTTATGGGCCAATGACGACTTTAAAGGAATGTGGTTCAGAACCCTGACATGATAACTTCACTTCAGGTAAGTGACCAAAAATAACTAAAATTTAACTAGCATTTTAGAGCAGATTGCATAATTTTAAATAAATTGTCAAAGCCTCGCTGTTGGAAGCTCACTGTTGGAAGCAGTGAGCCCTGATCGTGCCACTGCACTCTAGCCTGGGCAGCAGAACAAGACCATCTCTACAAAATAAAAAATTAGCCAGGCATGGCAGCGCATGCCTTTGGTTCAAGCTACTCAGGAGGCTGAGATGGGAGGATCACATGAGCCAAGGCAATAGAGGCTGCAGTGCACTGTGATTGCACCATTGCACTCCAGCCTGGGTCACAAAGTGAGACCCTGCCTCAAAACAAGAAAGCAAGCAAAACAGGAAGCAAGAAAGCAAGCAAGGAAAGAAGGAGGGAGGGAGGTAAGGAAGGAGAAGGAGGGAGGGAGGGAGGAAGGAAAGAAGGAAGGAAGGAAGGAAGGAAGGAAGGAAGGAAGGAAGGAAGGAAGGAAGGAAGGAAGGAAGGAAGGAAATAATTTTTTATTTCTGTTTTCAAATCATCTTCCAGCATGATGATGGTTTTAAAATATTTACTTCACAGAAGGCAACATTTACTTCTACTTCATTCACTTATTCAATTATTATCTAAAAATATCAAGCTTTGGATGATGATATTTAACTAATGTGCAGAGTTAAAATATTAATGAATTAATAACATAAATATTAACTAATAATATCTATTGTACGTTTAATCATATTCCTAACTTAATTCATAGGAATATAATGAAAGGGTATTCTGACATATTTCTAGTAACTGTCCATTTTAATTCACATTTTTGTATCAGCAGATTTACCATCATACCTTTTACTGGCACAGATTCAAGTGAAACCATAAAGGATTAGCTACACAAAGAAATCAGAGAAACAACATTTAAAGTATAATGATGATTTTACCTGCAAATGTTGAATTGGTAGGAGCAGTTTCTGAAATAATCACACATTACTGTTATTGACAGGATTTTTTATATCTTGAAAAAATTCTACATCTCAATTTGTCTATAAGTCATGTCTCTTTTTATTTTACTTCTTGCAATTTCTAATATAAAAAGGAGTAGCTCACATATTCTTTTGAAGGTTTTTGGAATTTATTTTTTTAAGATGTGTGTTGTGGCTGGGCACGGTGGCTCATGCCTGTAATCCCAACACTTTGGGAGGCCAAAGCAGGTGGATCACCTGAGGTGAGGAGTTCGAGACCAGCCCGGCCAACACGGTGAAACCCCATTTCCACTAAAAATATAAAAATTAGCCAGGTGTGGTGGCTCATGCCTGTAATCCTAGCTGCCCAGGAGGCTGTGTCAGGAGAATCACTTGAACCAGGGAGGTGGAGGTTGCAGTGAGAGATATGTGTTGCTCACGAAAAATCCTTCAGTTTTTTAATTCTTTTTATATTGATTCTCATCTTCTATTCCTCCCTTTCATTATCAGTGGGGAGGAATCATCCTTTCACTGATGCCTCACTCCCTCAATTCCCAGAACCTACAGTTAGGCAGGGGCACGTATGCAGCAGGTGCACCCCCTGAGTATCAGCCATGGCCCCATCTGACAGTCGTTCAGCATATCTTGGCAGCACTGGTTTCCAACAGCAACTCATCATGGACAATCGCTCTGGGATGGAATTGTGCCAGTCCTCTGAGGGACAGCCTAATGCATTCAAGTCCCTGCCCCTCTGGTGATTAGTCTAAAAATGATTCCCAACCCCTCCTCTGATTTTTCCTAAATCAATTAGTGTAAAATTTAATGACTTACCACTGCACTCCAACTGCCCTGCAATACAGTAGCTGAAAGTTAAATGTAAAAAGAAAAAAAGAATGAATTGGAAAATTTGACTCTTAATTGCATACAGCTCACAAATTTAAAACAACAAATTGTCTGATTGAAAACAAGCAGAACCAAATAGAAGTAAATATTTGTTTCCCCAAGAGAAATACTATTCAAATTGCTTGTTTTTCCATGTGCTGCTATACCCAATCATTTCACTGAGGAGCTCCGGGCACCTGAAGAAATGGTGTGCAGGTAACCCTTAGAGGTAGTTCTTACACAGTCAATTTCAAACACGATGTTATTTGATGGCCGTGGTGACCTACTATGAACCCGTCAATTTGCTTCCATGTAACTCTTTGAAAACCTGTGAACATAATCTTACATTTAAAGAATTAAAATTCTTTTCCTCTAGAACTACACAATGACATTTTCTGTCCTGTGTTCTGCGTTATTAAGTATAAAATTCCACAAACCATTTGTTGACATGTGAATTATCTGAAAATAAAAATAACCAACATAACTGATATAAAATGAACCTAAAGCTGGCCTTCTCATTCAGAAATGGCATGATCAAAAATTATAGAGATATATACATGTATACATGACATATATGTTATTAACATAATATATTCATACACATATTTAGTTTTCTTCCTAAATGAAAAGGCAAAAGTCAAAATTGCTTATTGAAAAGTTAGTAGAGAATATACCATGTTCTTCCACAATTATCTTCAATCACTTCCCCTGCTGGTATGATATCATTATAGAAGCAGCTGCACTCAGATAAACTGACACATTTCATGGTGTTCTCATCCAGGTAAGGAGCACTATCTGGGCACTTAGCATAACAACCTGTGTGTAAAAATGACCCACAGTTCATCTCTATCTACTGAAACTCATTATACTGTATATTATATATTTGTAAAGTTACTTAAATGACTCCATGAAGTGAAGTAGACAATAGCAAAACAATATCACACTCATCATGAAAATATATAAATAAAACAAGGTTCAGATCTTCTTGCAGTGAAATGTCAGACTAAGAACTTACAGATTTTGGTTGATTTATTTTTTTCTAAAATGATTCTTGAAGTAATTTTAAATGATTTGCTACTTTCATAATGGGCATGATGCTGTAACATAAAATAGGCTCTGGTAAATACATATCCTGAAATGTGAATGCCAGTTTCAAATATCTGTCTTTGCAACAGTAAGTAAAGATAAAGAAGTCATAGCAAAATAAGCTAAAAATACACCAAAGGATTTAACACAGTTGTGACTTTTGGAAGAGTTTCATGTTATACTGTTTTCTTGCCTGCTTTTTGTTTATCTCTGAAATAAATAATGCTAAGAATAAAATGCTGCTTAAGTGTAAGATATAGTTAATTACTACAGTAATTATACGACTCAAGCAAGATTGTATTACATGTTGCATTCTGAAACTGCATTCACACTAAACAACATTGTCTGATCAAAGATATAAAAGTGACAATAGGATCAGAGTGCTGTCCCCATCCCCCACTAAGCTTATGTTTAGAGAAAGTGTTTCTAATGTAGAAACATTAATGACATAACAAAGATAACTATTCATTAAATTACAAAATGTTAGACACTAAATTGGGAGAAGCAATCCTTTCCAGTTAAGAGGAATAGCATTTGCACTACTTTATGGATATTCTTAAAGTATGTGTTACCTTCTAAAAGTGAAGAAAATTTCTGGCCAATGACCTGATCTTTGCATGTTTTTGCGGTCACTGTGCCACAAGGTTCATAATGCCATCTGCATTCCCCAGGTGCATTGTAATAATCACAGTAGACAGCTATAATTGAATTACATCAAATTACTTTCATTCATTATATGACAATTTTCACCTTTCATTTTCCAAAGCATTTTAATAAGGGATTTGGGATGATATTAATAATAAACATATCTAAACTATATCAGGTCTTATCAAGTTCCTTTGGCTTTATCTAAACTGTCATATAAGCCAAAATAGGTCACAAGCGGGGTAGACATATAAACTCAAAATAGAACTTTGTTTTGCCATCTCACACTCTGGTTAGTTTGAGATTTAACAGGTAAACTTTCATTTTATCATTTGGAGATATTTTAGGTCATAGCCTAGATTCATGGTTTCAATTTCAACTTTAAATTGGAAAACTAAATCCTAGACAATTAAGCTCTTTAGTATGTAAATAGCAGTTCCTAAATGAAGTAACTAAAGATATCAATATAATCTAATCCTGTGTATAAAAAACTGAATAAGATGAGGGTTCTGTTTTAACACTTATCATATTTTCTCTCATAATACTTAGAAGGAAAAGAGCTGACTCATTTCTATTAAGGTTATTACATTCCATATGTATCGAGATTCAGTCTATACTCAATGTACAGTTCATCTTCAATAGGGCTCTATGAAAGTTTTCAAGGAAACATGTGTGAGCACTTTAAGGAAAAGTAATATATTCGGTAAATATTGAAGGATATGTAAATATATCAAGATAGGTAAACAGTTCATCATCGAAGTATGAATGAGAAATATTCTCCATCAGTATTCATTTTTCCCCCTGTGAACACGTGAATTTTTAAACTAAAATTGAACTTGAAGCACTAGGCCAGGTGCTTTATTTTTTATGTTAGGTATTTTTGCACACCATAAACAAAAATATCAACATGTTTCTAGGTACACAAACATGTGTTTTATAGAAAATATGAGAGGAAGACTGAGGGTCTAACAAAATACTTCTATCTAATTACATTTTGAAAGAACAACAACATATGGACTTCACTTACGACACAGATTTGGTTTTCTCCATGAGACACAAACTCCAACTGCACTACACGCCTCTGCGTACATAGCCACGGCAGTGCAGAATCCCAGGTACTTCCCCTCCATGTCACAAGCGCAGGCTTCTTCAATGCATGCGTCATAGTAAGCACTGGGGTCAACCTAGGCAGAGCACAGCACATGAGTCTCTGGGAGGAAACCCTGTGTAAGTCACTGCTTTCAGAACAATGCTACCTTGCTGTGGCAGTCTCTGAAGGTGCTGTCTCTGAGGATCTCACATTTTCGCACAGCCCAGGCTTTACAGTACGGGTTTGAATCACATGGGAAAGTCTGAGTCACTGTATCTGAGCACTCTTGGCTTGTTTTCCAACTATTCCCAAATTCCAGTGCTCCAGAAGCTACTGAAGAGTATCTTGTTGTGAAATCATCCTTGAGATCACCATTGTTATTTCCACAAAGACCACACACCTTGCCCTGTATTGATCAGAAAAGGAAATTTAAAAATTAGTTGTACTAGGGACATTGAGATAGATAAACAGATGATAGATGAACAGATAGATATCATGATTATGTATATTGGAGCATGAATCTATGTAAAATTCCAATTTTCATGGATAATATTCCAGAATTTGTGGATAAGAGTATTCTCCCATTTAAGGTACCCCATGTCACAAAATGATCTAGTACCACACAGAATAAATGTCTAAAGAACCAAAACAGGTATGTCTGCTAGTTTCAAATTACACGAGACTACTTTGGCTTCTTAAAATATTTGCTCCAAGGAACACATTTAGTTCAAAATATATCAAATACCTGAAAATCACATCATGTGATAATCTCAAGTAACCAAATATGGGTAAACTACAATGCCTCAGGTTATTGCATTTACTTTTTTTTTTTTTTTGAGACAGAGTCTCGCTCTGTCGCCCAGGCTGGACTGCAGTGGCCGGATCTCAGCTCACTGCAAGCCCCACCTCCCGGGTTCACGCCATTCTCCTGCCTCAGCCTCCCGAGTAGCTGGGACTACAGGCGCCCGCCACCACACCCAGCTAGTTTTTTGTCTTTTTTAGTAGAGACGGGGTTTCACTGTGTTAGCCAGGATGGTCTGGATCTCCTGACCTCGTGATCCGCCCGTCTCGGCCTCCCAAAGTGCTGGGATTACAGGCTTGAGCCACCACGCCCAGCCTTGCATTTACTTTTTAACCAGATTTTGTTATCTTTGATTACATTTCATATTTCATAAGAAGGTTGAAGAAAGGTGGAGGGCATGTTACTCTAACACAGACCCTGCCATTCCCCTATACTCTGTCTATGAATACCTGTCTTTAATTTTTAGTAACAGAAATGATTTTGCTTCCCCGTTATTCACTTGTTAGCGATATACATACATGCCAGTTTGGATCCAGAATAACAGACAGTCTTGTATTTTTGTCCCAAATCATGATTATTCCATTTTGAAATTTCAGAATTAAGTACAGGCCAACAGTATGTATGGAGTATGCATTTGTATTGAGTTCACATTTCTTACTTTCTGTAGATTTGACTGCTGTTACTTTACCATCTTGCAAGACAACATTCTGATCCTGTAAATTCAGACAGATTTATAATAACAGTTTTATTTGGCTGTCACAATGTGAGAGGAAAAAATAAAGAAAATAGTACTGTACCTGAAAAGAAACTATAATTTTTCTTGAGCATGTTAGTCCATCTTCACAGCATGGAACACTCTCCGTTAAAATACGAAATGTGCCATTTTCATGACCACAATAATCCTTTAAAATAAAAATTATAATAGTTTGTAAATATTAGAGACACAGAAATCAACTACAGTATTTGTGTCAGACAAATATTCTTAGAGAAAATATTTGCCTTAAACTCAATAAATTGCCGTATGTTGTGTTATGGAATTTCCAAAAAACAATAGTTTAACACATTTACAGATAGTTAGCCTTGACCAAGTCCACTCTAGCTAATTTGTTTTGACTCAGTTATTTTCCCATTACTTCTGCACAAGTTCAGAATTATTCCATAAACATGTAAGTATTTAAAGTATATACATTTGTAATCACAGATTTATTTCTAGACTAGCTAGATAAATTTGGCCTTATTTCCTCAAAGACTTATATGAAACTTGATATTCAAACAAAACTAATGCATAAATACAACAAATTTTACCCCTTAAATGTTTGTTAGGAAGCTTGCAGCTTGATAAGATGAACTCTGGAATGTATGTAACAAGCATGAACTCTGTAATCAGACAGGTCTAGGTTTACTATGACATTTTCAATTTGGTAGCTTAAGTTGCTTAACCTCTCTAAACTTCAATTTCTTCATCTGCATCATAGGAATAATAATATCAGTCTTATAGTATTATAATTATTAAATGTAATGAAATATATAAATTTGCTTGGCAAAGAAGCACTCATAAATGTTAGTTGTAATTTTTGCTGCCGGTGCTGTTTTTGGAAGAATCATATCTAGCATTTATTTATTGAGCACTAGTAGGTCCTCCAGTGTGTGCTCTAGTGTGGTTTCAAGTAGGGGCTATTTTCACGCCCATTTTGTAAATACAAAAACTGAGACACTGAGAGGTTAAGGAATGTCCCCAAAGACATGCATGTGATAAAAGATGGAGCCAGTATTGAAATCTAGTCCTAGCCTCCAGAGCCAGCAGTACACAATATAACCTTTTACTGCCTTCTGGAAACATATAAGGGACATATAATATTTTAAAAATATAACATATAATATGTTGCTATATATGTTATATATAATATATATGTTTTATAGATGTTATATATTATATATGTTATATATAATGTTATATATGTTATATATGTAATATATATTATAATGTTATATTATATGTTATATAACATAAGATATATATGTTAAATAACATATATAACATATAATATTTTAAAAATATTTCCCATTTGAAAATAAAAGTATTTGGAACTAATCTACAAATGAACAATTAAGAATTATAGAAAAATTTTAATAAGACATATTCATAATTACCTCAAGAAATGAATACTGGCAGAGACCGTCAAAACTGTAACTTTTCCCATCAAAAGTTCTAACATGACCTTCCCCATAGATGTGGCAGATGGTTTGACATTCATTTTGGGTACAACTCCAAGACCCTTTAATGCAGGTACTAAAAGGAAAAGATGACACAGTGTAGTGATTATATTATGCCGGGATTCATACACTAATATTGCTTTTGTAAAGAAGCACAAAATTATGTTTCATATTGATTTAAATTTTGTAGTTGTCTTCGTTATAATGTAGGATGTTCAATATATACAATGCTACATAAACTTCTGTTTTAAAAATAGCATCTTGGCCAGGCACGGTGGCTCACGCCTCTAATCTCAGCATTTTGGGAGGCCCAGGCAGGCAGATCACGTGATCAGGAGATCAAGACCATCCTGGCTAACATGGTGAAACCCTGTCTCTACCAAAAATACAAAAGATTAGCTGGGTGTGGTGATAAGCACCTATAGTCCCAGCTACTCTGGAGGCTGAGGCAGGAGAATGGCGTGAACCCGGGAGGCCAGCTTGCAGTGAACCGAGACCATGCCACTGCACTCTTGCCTGGGTGACAGTGCAAGACTCTGTCTCAAAATAAATAAATAAATAAATAAATAAATAAATAAATAAATAAATAAAATAGCATCTTTTTCTAACTGTATTTGGTCATTTTTTTTCAAATATTCCAAAGTGTGAATTCTTTCCTATGAAAATAAGAACAGACTGCATTTTCTAATATCTAAAACAAATAAAATAAAAATCCATTGTTAAGCACCATTCATTGCAGCCAACAGAAGTGACACTTCCTTCATCATATTCTCGTCCACCAAAAGAGCACGGACAGTCATCAGGAAGGATGCATATCCCTTTAGAATTTCGAACCATTCCTTCTGGACAAAAGCACCCACGTTTGCAAGGCAAGTTCTCCTACAAGAATAAATATAAAATATATACCATGAGGCACCATTCTAATCATGTCATATTATCAGCATTAATTTAAATGCTTAAATATATCATGTATGTATGTGGAGTCAATCTTTGACAACTGAAAATAACACGCAAAAAGAGTATGACCTTCTAATTGTTTTTCATTAAAATTATAGCTTTCCTAGGACCTGAAACAAAACCTTTCAATGGCTAAACTCTAATACTATGTTACTTACATCAAAAACAGGTATGTTCCGAGTACTGCATGTTCTGTCGGTTCTTCTCTGTGCCTTGGGATCCCTACAGTCTACATACTCAGCCCCTCCAGAACAATTTTCTGCAGAATAAGAAGAATTGTAATTGATCAAGAGCCTGTCGATCTGTTTTCTTTAGCAAAAGTGGATATTTTAAATTTGCACCGTGATTTTAACACTTACGTAGGGTTAAATCAATGGGAATCTGGCAAAGAAGAATTCCATCCCGACAGACACTGGAAATAAAACAAAATTATAAATTTAGACATAAGTTTCAAGGACAATTAGTTAAATGAGTGAGACACCATTCCCAGAAGAGGCATAAAATGTACCAAAGGATAAGATATCACCTTGTAAATATTACAAGAATGTACAAACAAGGTTTTATGGGCATCAGAGAAAACCTTGTGGAAAGGATGGCTGGATCTTGATGAGAAGTGAAATTTAATACTTCTGATAAGATGCCAAACTGTGGTGTAGGAGAGAACAAGATACGTTCCAGTGACTCAAATGATTCATGTTTGGATGGAAAGAAGGGAAAATGGGGGGAAGCAGTATATGTAGATTGGGGCCAGACTTTAGATGGTCTTAAATGACTTGCAAGTTTGTATTTGTTCTCCAGGTAACTGTCAGTCACTAAAGTTTCTGAGCAGGGAGGTGGCCCTATCAGAATACTGCTTTAGGCTACATATTCTTTATTGTTGTTGTTGTTGTTGTTGTTGTTATTATTATTATTATTATTATTATACTTTAAGTTCTGGGATACATGTGCAGAACGTGCAGGTTTGTTACATAGGTATGCGCGTGGCTTTAAGCTACACATTCTTGCAGTAGTGCAGGAAGCAGGAGACAGAGAGACAGAGCAACAATGAGCAACCAAGTTAGCTATCACAGTGGTGCCAGCTGAGGAAAGTCTCAAATATGGTGAAGGGAACATAATTTGGAGGTACTGGCCTGATTCATTGAAAAGTTAATGTATTGATTCCCATGAAAATAAGAGCAGACTGCGTATTTTCTAATGTCCAAAACAGATAAAATAGTAATTCTTTATTAAGCACCATTAAAAAGTTAATCTATTGATTCCCCAAAACTACAGAGAAAAAGAAATTATCATTATCAAACCCCAGCCAAAGGCTCATGGGCTTTGATATAAAGGGGTTACCTAGGCTTTCCTTTTGAATGATCAAGAAAAATTACTTATTGCTAAATGATAGCCTCATGAAACCAAAGAAAAGAGAGGAGGTGTATTCAAAGTATTTTTGAATGACTATTTCATTTTGGCAATTATGTTGTCAAGAATTCCTACATCTCTCTATGGAATTAGAAACATGCTTAAATTACTTTGCTCCAGGCTGAGCACAGTGGCTCATGCCTGTAATCTCAGCACTCTGGGAAGCCAAGGCAGGTGAATTGCTTAAGTCCAAGAGTTTAAGACCAGCCTGGGCAACATGGCAAAATACCGTATCTACTAAAAATACAAAACATTAGCTGGACATGGTGGCATGCACCTGTAGTCCCAGCTACTCAAGAGGCTGAGGTGGGAGAATCACTTGAGCCCAGGGAGGTTGGAGCTGCAGTGAGCCAAACCTGTGCCACTGAACTCCAGCCTGGGCAATTGAAGTGAGACCCCATCTCAAAAAAAAAAAGAAAGAAAGAAAGAAAGAGAAAAATTACTTTGCTCCAAACTGTAGAAATCATAGCCTCCTGGGCCAAAATAGTCAAAATTCTTCAATTCTTCAGAAACTAATTCCAAATTCTCGGTTATGATCTGACCACTCTCAGTGTTTCTAACCCAATCTTGTACAAAACAACCCACATGTGTAGTTTTTTTCTAACATTTCCTACATCTGTGCGTTCTGTTTACAGGAAATCATCCTCTACATTTCATTTTTGTCTGGAAAAAGATTCATTCCCTCGTACAATTTATTTGCCTGTCTTCTCTGAGAAGTTTTCCTTAATCTCCTCAGGTAGTACCTGGCTCTTTCTGCTACCATATTCTAGTATACAAACCTCCTTCTAATAGTTTGTGCCCTGCGTAATACAATTACTCCAAGTAATTGGAGTCCAAGACAATGTTCCTTCAGCTTTGCAACTCCAGCACTCAGCACAAGGCCTGGCACACTGCAGACACTTAATAAGTGTTTGTTGAATGATGACTACGGAGAGACAGCTAGAGAGCATCTTCTGAATATGAAATCATTTCACATTGTCTGTATATAGAATTTACCAGAATATTTTTCTACTGGTGTTTAAAACAAAACCAGAGTGGGATAATCTATATCCATTAGGATGCAATGAGCCTTCCAGAATAAAAGAGATTTTTATTAAGAAATAAGAATCATAAGTATGACCAGTCTAAAAAGACTTCATACTGACAAAAGACCATTTCTCTGAAAAGAACACAGTCTGTTGATTTCAGTGTCATAGCAAGTATACATGTAATTTCCATACCATTTATTGTCATCAATATGGATGAGTTTGCCTGGTTGCATGACCTCGTCATTTATGTAGCAGTCACACTGAGATTTCGGTACACAATTTCCTTCATTATTCTGGTACATTTCATCAGGGCAGGTGCATCCATCAACTGGAACATCTTCTACATCACAGCTCCTATCTCTCTCTGACAATGATCGGCAAGAACTATTACAGGCTTTTACATTGTACTTGAAAACTAGTCCACTTGGACAAGAATGTTCTGTTGGTACAGAGACAAAAGAAACAATGAATATGTACATATTCAGGGAAATAAACAATTTTATTTCAGCTCGATGTTTATAGATATCATTGTGAATTTTCATAAGAGAGATTATGAATTTTTTAACTCCTTGTTCACTGGGTTTTTTAAATTCTTTTTTGTTTTCAGTCAATACTGAATTCCCATTAATGTGTTTAAACACTTTGCTGGGGGTTAAGCCCATAAACAGGAGAAGCAATACATTGCTTTCACGTGGCTTATATTCCCAGTGAAAGGACAGTCATGGTACGTGCTATGAAGCAACAAGAGGGGAAGCACTAACTGTGTACAGATGAGGACCTACACTTAGTGAAGAGTGTGAGTAGATGAAGAGCAAGGAGACAGTCCAGGGAGAGGTGATTCTGTCTGAAGAATCGCCTAAATCAGAGGGACAATGAGTCTTTGAAAGAGTACATAGAAGAATAGAAACTATATGGCCAGAGACAGAATGAATCAGTGGTTAAAATTTACAGGGCCCCCTTAAGGAGTTTGGTATTGAGACTTAGAGCAATGAGACACCATTAACTTATTTTAGCCTGGAGTGTCACATGGTATGCTTAGTTCCATTTGGCTTGGTTTTAAAGATTACCCTGGTTTTTCCGTAGAAAATGGATTAGAGGAAGCCAAGAGTAAATATTGAAGGAGGCTACTGAAATCACCCAGGAGAAAAAACAATGGTAGTTTCTTGAACCTCGTTGGTGGCAATATAGATGGAGAGATGTGAATAAATTTAAGAGAGATTTTGGAGGTGAAACGGACAGATCTTATTGATTAACTAGATACAAGCAATGAGGTATTAAATATGATCTACAAGAGGTTTGTTTCTACAAAGTTTGTTGTTTGTTTTTGTTTTTGTCTTGGTAAATCAAGCGTTTTTGTGAAGTCATAGTCAAACAGTGCAATAAATATTTTAAAACAAAGCAAGGTTTTAAAAATATCATAGTTGAGCCCTTAATTTATTGGTTCATTTTTGTTTTTTCTCAACATAAATTATTCATATTAAAATGTCATTTACAAATGCATTAGCAGTCAGAACATTATTTAAATTTCAGAACACAATAATTGAACAGAAACATATATTTATTTATAAATACATATCTATTCTGGTTTTTCTCTATATGTGAATATATTAAATCAAGATCAATAAATCAAGAAGTAAAATATGTAAGGATTGCACAAGGATATTAAAAATAAAACAAAAAAATCATCTTTGAAAGAACTAGTTAAAAATTTGTAAACACATATGCCTACACACGCACACAACACACACACACACACACACACACACACACACACACTATAGCAAAACTGGGAAGGAAGTAGTTATTGAAAGCTTCTCTGCGGCTTACCACATAAGCCAGTTCTCCATTCTACTATGTATGTTTCCTTCTCAGCACACGCTTTCACATAGTTGCCTAAAATTGTACATAGGCAGTCTTGACTGTTTTCACAAGAGCAAGTATATTTTTTGCATTCCTTGAAAATAAGAAACAAATTTATATTACATTATGAAGTTACGCAGAAGAACAGGTAAACTGAGTATAATTTAGTTCCTAACCACTCTTCTACTCCAAAAAAAGCTTTTTTGAAATGTTCGAAAACATTTTTAAATATTCAAAATAGTAAATGAATTATTAGCCTGCTTGTCAAAACATTTTTAAAAAGGCAGAAAGAGAAACTTATTCAAGATTTTTCTTATTTGGGGTTATTTTCCAGCACCGCTTTTCTTGTGAAGTTGGCATATCTAACACAAGAATGAATTAATAGAATCTAATACATATCGAAGGATATACTTTAATCTACTGACAATGGCTGTTATTCGAAAATATTTAATATCTACATGCTTTTGTCAATATCAGCAAAGTATTTGTCAACAAGAAGTGTTAATGTTAGAGCCTCACATACCTCATGATAGTGTTTAGGGTTCACAATTGGGTGGCAAGAAGCAAAAGGCCCACTTGAATCAAGAAGAATTCCACAGTGCCTTTCAGCAAACTTTTCTGGAAGAAAATCAGTGCACTCAAAACTAGTTTCAATAATGTCATAATCCTTTCCTTTTTATTTTTTTTTTTGAGATGGAGTCTTACTCTTTCGCCCAGGTTGGAGTGCAGTGGCATGATCTCGGCTCACTGCAACCTCTGCCTACTGGGTTCAAGTGATTCTCCTGCCTCAGCCTCCTGTATAGCTGGGATTACAGGTGTGTGTCACCAAGGCTAGCTAATTTTTTGTATTTTTAGTAAAGATAGGGTTTCACCGTGTTGGCCAGGGTGGTCTCGATCTCCTGACCTCGTGATTCAGCCACCTCGGCCTCCCAAAGTGCTAGGATGACAGACGTGAGCCACTGCACCCGGCCATAATTCTTTTTTTTTTTTTTTTTTTTTTTTTTTGGGAGACGGAGTCTGGCTCTGTCGCCCAGGCTGGAGTGCAGTGGCTTTTGAGACGGAGTCTGGCTCTGTCGCCCAGGCTGGAGTGCAGTGGCTGGATCTCGCCTCCCGGGCTTACGCCATTCTCCTGCCTCAGCCTCCGGAGTAGCTGGGACTACAGGCGCCCGCCACATCGCCCGGCTAGTTTTTTGTATTTTTTTTAGTAGAGATGAGGTTTCAACGTATTAGCCAGGATGGTCTCGATCTCCTGACCTCGTGATCCGCCCATCTCAGCCTCCCAAAGTGCTGGGATTACAGGCTTGAGCCACCGCGCCCGGCCCATAATTCTTTAATTGAAAGAAAAGATGTACAATTTTAACTGTTCTCTCTATTAAAACAATTTTTAAAGTGTTCTGCTGTGATACATCTAACTTGTCACTATATGCAAAGATGGCATGCTATAATTAAAAAATCTTACACTAAGAGGCAAAGTCTTTGTCAGCTTTGGAATTTTGGATTAAATCAATTTACCTTTTTCTGAAATGCAGTTTCTATATAAAAATGGAATTAGGGGACCGTATTATATCTTTAGATTCCTTTTAACTTTAAAATATATATTTATAGCTAAATTGTGATGAGTTGGTAAATAAAGCAACCACAACAACGCCCCCCCCCCCACCGCCGCCCAACCACCACATGATCCCAGTCACCTCAGAAGATTATAGAAGATTATATCAGTTTTCCTGAAGGTCATATATTAGCACAACCAGTATCAATAATTCCAACCCACCAATTTTGTTTTGTTTTTTAATCGATATTTCATTGGCCTATAAATAACTAGCATAGTATTAAATTAACAAAAATAAAAATCATAACAATAGCATCTGAGTAATAAGTGCTTGGCCTAAAGATTTTTGGTAATAGAGGAAGCTGTCTCTATTAAAAACAAACTGAGACCAATTATTTCCAAAATTTTAACAAATTGGCAACCCAGTATCACCACTTTTTATCTAAATATTACTAACGGCTTATTAAAATACAGTTTAATTTTCTGTATTTTATGTTAAGTTAAATGTAAAGCACTGAAAATTAAATTTAATTAATTTCTATATCTCTCCAAAGTGGTGGCATATAGTCTGCTTAACATAAATTGACTTGGTATCTTATGAGATATACATTCTCATTATAACTATTTTCATTGCAACACTCCAAAATCAAAATAATATGATAATCGAAACCCTGAAATATGTATTATGATGTTTACATTAATGCTTCTACCAACTCTTTTGAATCAAAATTAGTAGACAAGGCTTTCAAAAGGAATTGCCTTAGTAATGTTAAAATATTATTATAATCTGATAAGACTATTTCAAGTATATATTAATTTAGAAACAACTAATTAACATGTCAATATAATATATTTTAACTTAGCTTCCACTGCACTCTTTTTTTTAATGAAAGAAGCAACACAAAATGAAGCATTTATTAGTATCAGCAATACCAGAGGAGCGACCAAAGCATGACTGGGATTCAAAATACTTGAATTTCTCATCTGTCATCCTTATTCACTAGGGATCTTTATTAACCCTCTCTGTGCTCCATTATCCCCACTATCTATATTAGTGGGGATAATAGTCCCGCCCATGCTGCTCATGAGTTTTGGTAGAAATAAATTGAACCAATATTTTAAAAGCCTTTTGGTAAGCATAAATGTAAGCTGAATCATACCAGTGTAAAGTTTAATTAATGTCTGTATTGGGGCTTGCACAGCAGTAGTTAGGACACCTGGACCTAACCACAGCTCTATCATCAAGTGGCTTCACCAGTTTGGGCGAGTCTTGCTAGTTCAACCAATGACCATTTTTATAACTAAGTTAAAGGAGGGAATAATTGAAGAACTAAATGTGCCCCAAATCTCTTCTAATCTTGTTATTCTATAGTGACGGTGAAAATTGTGTAAGAAGGAAAGGAGTAGGTATAGAAAAGCAAACAACCAAGATGAACTCCCATGAACTATTTGTTTTGTAGGAATAAGATCAGCCAACCAGACTGCTTCTCTGCTGTGTCCTCCAAAATTCAGACTGTACAACAAAAACTAACTAAAGCCAGGATTATCTGACGTGTTCATATTATTACCAAAAATAAGTACATAATTCCTAGCACCAAATATGTAATTACAGATTTCGATAGTCAATTAACATTACCTTTTTCTATACTAATACATGAAGAGGGGTTTCCTTTAGGACAGGACATCATTTCCCAAGAATGAGCAAATGCTTGAGATGTTTTCTCCAATATATTCTGACTTGACATGAAATCATCCTCTGCTTTGTTGTTGTAGGAACCACAGAGTCCTGTATAAGAGCACACAGCAAAGTTTCACATCTCACCTACTCAATTTTTTGGATTCACATCCTCACTGCACATTCAGTTCTTTGCCCAAGAGAAAACCTGTAGAAGCTACCTGAGAATATGCCTTGTTTAGCCTTCATACATTAAGTAAAATGTCATGGCATTTCAGATTTCACCCAAATTCCCTTTCATTCGCATTCCAGGAGCACTGAAACACCATTTGCCATGAATACTGTCTTTTTCCTATTTGTCGCTGTAACTTGTATCTCTTTGGAGGAGCCAACAGAAAGTGTGCTTCTAAGTAGGAACTTAACGACTCACATTTGCATGATTTCAGTGTGGATAGTTGAATCATGTTGAGTGCTATATGCCTTTTTAACCCAGACCCTTCTGACCTACGAGTTACATCTATTCCTTTGTGTAAATAAGTTACCTTCTCAGGTACAGGTGTGTTACAAAAGCTTCTGCTGTTTATTAAGTAATAGTCTTTGTGGCACTTGCCATAATCTTTGTTTGTTTTGCTCAACATTTATGGCTGTAGTTAATAACTGATTTATAAGACAGAAAACATCAGTGAAAGAAATGACCTATGATCTCCCAGAAAGACAAGTCACAGTGTAGCTTTTATATAAACTGTGATTTGCAAAAGATTTATATCTATAATATTTTCATTTATTCAACTACGGTTTAAAGCCTTAGTAGCACACACTAGCAAAGTGATACATTAACACATATATTATCAAATCTCATTTAAATAAAAGCGTTAATTTAAAATGTTTAAAAATTTAAATTGTTAAAATCTTTAGGGAATAGATTTTGTAATAAGTAAAGCCATCTTTACTATGATGGGTAAGTTGGAATTATTTTACTACAAAGTGGAAGGAAAGATTAAGTCAAAATGGTTTATTGGCTTAGTGTTATTAATTAATTATCTAATTAAGAAATTAGAATAAGTGATGGTAATATTTCAGCCTTGGGAATAAAACTTAATCCAGAGGACTTACCCACAGTGTCTGTGAATTGGTTGGGTGGCATAGAAACATATAATTGCATCACAGGAACAATTTGTATTTGTAGTTTTACGTGAAAGTATGTTTCTACTTGAAGGTATGAGGAAGATGCGTTGAAAATCTGTATTTTATCTGTTAAAATAATTAAGAACATTAATTACATGTTCAACAGTTCTTACTTTCTTAAAATACTTTAATATTTTGATATCTGTTAAAAATCAGAAATGTAATAGCTTTAAAAATTGAAAAAATGACTGCATCTTACACTTATTTTAAAATGCTGTTATTAAACTTACCTGAATAGTAATAACCTTGATTTCTAATCTTGTCATTTGTGACCGTTCCATCACTGCTGAATATGTATTTGTCAACTGGAACAGACTAATATTTAAAACACTTTGTTAGTTAATATTAACTTACAGTATTAATTTTAATGTAATATATGAACCCAAATTTTTATGTCATAAGATGTTTAATGCTATGGGATTAATTAATAAATATCTAAAATACATTTTTAAAGCATTTTTAAGGCACAGTTTGCTTCATTGTTTCTCATACCAACTCTGTGTACCAGATTGTAAATAAATCTTCATCCCCAACATGTGAATGCAGAAATGGAAACCCAAGACAGTAACTTGGGTATCCAAAGGTTAAACAGCCTGTGAAGGTCAAAGTCCAAACTACTCGTCCTCCCTTCCCATTTAGGTCTATTTCCACTTATAATGTCAATTCCAAATAAATAAAGCTCTAAACAAATGCCATTGCCTTCCTTCATAAATGGTCTGCAAAGTTTAACATTTCAATGAACACATAAATTTGATCCATAATCAACATATTAATTGTATATCTATGGTAATTTTGATATACTTCAGGACTTTTGCAACTAGCTGGCACTTCCAGAGACTTTATCAATTTTCTATGCAATTTTACTTAAGCTTTGAGTATACATAGTAAAGCTTCTCTTCTTCAACCTCAAAAATCCTGAATTTATAAAATAAGTGATATGATTTGACTCTGAATAAGCCTTAGGAAGCTGATTACTTACAGAATTCAAAAGAAGTGTAACGCTATTTAAGCATGTTCCTGTCTGACCACTTGGGCATGGATGGAGCTCAACACTAATAGACCAATCTTCATTCTGTAAAAAATACATTTCATTAAAATGTTTATTAGAATGTCATTTAATGCTATTTATGGTATGCTATTACTATGTAATTCATTCACAATGAGTGTTTGAATTTTAAATATGTACAATTCCTACTATAATCAGAGTGCTCTAAGAATAGAAACCAAGTTCAGCCCATAGTACAGCCTCAGGACTGGCCAAGAGCTTAGTATCTTGCATAAACTATATCCATGCAGTTTACCATTGATGAATTTTCATAGTCATCATTTTTTAACTTTATTTTTACTTTTTGTCTTCCCAAAGGGAATGTACTGCCACATAAGGACTCTTAGGAATTAGCAGTAACATAGTTTGCTTCTTCTCTGGACAGTTCGCGATGTCTATTTAAATCCAATGTGAGAGTCATTTAATTTGTTAAACTGTAATATAAGTCATATCAAACATAGACTTCCAGATCTCATTTCAATGTCCGGAAATCTGTAATCTATAAGCAGCAAATGTTCCTTATGCTTTGTCATTTTCCCCTCTTACTTTCCCCTTCCCCATCCTGTATCCTAATGGATTTAGAGGAGCATAAAAAGAAGGAATGGCAGGCCTGGCACAGTGGCTCACGCCTGTAATCCTAACACTTTGGGAGGCCAAAGTGGGCAGATCACCTGAGGTCAGGAGTTCGAGACCAACCTGGCCAACACGGTGAAACCCCGTCTCTACTAAAAATACAAAAATTAGCCAGGCGTGGTGGCAGGCGCCTGTAATCCCAGCTACCCAGGAGGCTGAGGCAGGAGAATCACTTGAACCCAGGAGGCAGAGGTTACAGTGAGCTGAGATCAAGCTATTGCACTCCAGCCTGGGCAGCAAGAGTAAAACTCCATCTCAAATAAATTTAAAAAAAAAAAAAAGAAGAAGAAGAAGGAAAGGCAGATTATGTTGGTAGGCAACCAAGAAGCTTTATTTTGGAAGAGTGACTTTTAGTAGCAGCAACTACATTTTGTAGCTTACAGGACATTAATCAACATTTATCACTTCAGGATTCACAAATTCTGTTCATCTTCATTTCTTACCAAAAAGATTATATAAAATCACTAACTCTCAGGTGGACTAGATTGCTAGTTCTTTGTAGCACAAACTACAAAACGGAATCACTCTTTTATTGAAATTCAAATGACTTAAAATTTTAGTACTGAAAAGAATGTAAATGTAAGAATAGCCTCTATCATAGTGATACTGTTGTATTATAAAAACTAAAAATAAATTTAAGGAAATAATAATGAAAGCAGAAGATGCTTCATGGAATGTAAAAGATTATTTTATTTGAAGCAGTAGTGACCACACACAAAGAAAAGTAGAAGAATGAAATAAATTCCCAGTGTATTCATATGATTATGAGTGAATGAAAAGGGTTCTATTTGTTAGGTTGTTTTTTTGCAAGGAATTTCCAAGGAGGACAGGTAATGTTAATTTAATACTGACAGGTAATACCATCAGTGCCAGTATGTGATAGAAAACATACTGAAATACATAACCAGTAATTGAAGGATTGTTCATTTTTTATTTCTTTAAATACTAATTCAAGATGAAGACTGTGTTTTTAATTGGTTGAAGAATAGCTTTGTTTGTATATCAGTTTGCTCAAATATTGCAGGCTATTACATACGTGAATGGCCAGGAAGTGGCAGTTTCCAGGAAAGTTGTACTTAACACCATCAAAGGTGGTAAGGGAACTTCCTTCCACCTTACATCTTCCAGGGCATAATGCTTCAGTGCAAGACCATTTTGCATCTTGGCATGTGCTGTTAAAATGTAATGGTTATATTAAGGGTTATCAATTGTATTTTCTCTATGGTTAAAATAAAATTTCACACTAAAAATTCATCACAAGTTAAGACATTTGGTTAAGCTTTATTCGACCATTTTTATTTTCCACCCAATATCTCAGCTCTAATAAAACGTCTCATTGATGGTGGTATCCTAATATTTTAGAAGCCTTGACTGTAATGATAACTTCTCATGAATTAAGTATATAAAACTTATAATCTGGATTTCAGAGATTTTTTTAAATGGAACACAGTTCATTATCAGTGTTAAAACACCTGCTGCAAAACACATTGTAGAATTGCACCACACAATACATAGAGCGAGCTTTTGGAATGTGTCTCATCTCAGTTGAGACCCACTATAAATGTAAAACACATACAGATTTTGAAGACTTATAGGAAAAAAATATTGTAAAATCCCTCACTAACTTGATTTCATATTAATGTTATGTTTAAATAATAGTATTCTAGATATATTGGGTTATATAAAATACATGACTACAACTAATTTCACCTGTTTCTTCATGTCTTTTAAAAATTTGTCAACTAAAAACTGTTAAATGATATATGTGGATCATTTTTGTAGCCTACATTATATTTCTCTTGAACAGTACTGTTATAGACATTCAATAAATTACAGGTACTATTATTTATAATTCTTCATACAAATTAAAATTAATTATTAATATAAACATAATATAAATTAATATTGATTATTACTACCAAAATAAAACATTTTCCATTCATAGAGAAAATGCATTTTGTATTGAGCCAAATTATGTCCCCACAGAGACACAATACATTTCAGGAAAAGGAAGACAACCAATATTGTGAAAATGGCCATACTGCCCAAGGTAATTTATAGATTCAATGCCATCCCCATTAAGCTACCAATGACTGTCTTCATAGAATTGGAAAAAACTGCTTTAAAGTTCATATGGAACCAAAAAAGAGCCCGCATTGCCAAGACAATCCTAAGCCAAAAGAACAAAGCTGGAGACATCATGCTACCTGACTTCAAACTAAACTACAAGGCTACAGTAACCAAAACAGCATGGTACTGGTACCAAAACAGGGATATAGACCAATGGAACAGAACAGAGCCCTCAGAAATAATACCACACATCTACAGACATCTGATCTTTGACACAAACCTGACAAAAACAAGAAATGGGCAAAGGATTCCCTATTGAATAAATTGTGCTGGAAAAATTGGCTAGCCACAAGTAGAAAGCTGAAACTGCATTCTTTCCTTATGCCTTATACGAAAAGTAATTCAAGATGGATTAGAGACTTAAATGTTAGACCTAATACCATAAAAACCCTGGAAGAAAACCTAGGTAATACCATTCAGGACATAGGCATGGGCAAGGACTTCATGTCTAAAACACCAAAAGCAATGGCAACAAAAGCCAAAATTGACAAATGGGATCTCATTAAACTAATTAAACTAAAGAGCTTCTGCACAGCAAAGAAAATTACCATCAGAGTGAACAGGCAACCTACAGAATGGGAGAAAATTTTTGCAATCTACTCATCTGACAAAGGGCTAATATCTAGAACCTATAAAGAACTCAATCAAATTTACAAGAAAAAATCAAACAACCCCATCAAAAAGTGGGCAAAGGATATGAACAGACACTTCTCAAAAGAAGACATTCATACAGCCAACAGACACATGAAAAAATGCTCATCATCACTGGCCATGAGAGAAATGCAAATCAAAACCACAATGAGATACCATCTCACACCAGTTAGAATGGCAATCATTAAAAAAATCAGGAAACAACAGGTGCTGGAGAGGATGTGGAGAAATAGGAACACTTTTACACTGTTGGTGGGACTGTAAACTAGTTCAACCATTGTGGAAAACAGAGTGGCAATTCCTCAAGGATCTAGAACTAGAAATACCATTTGACCCTGCCATCCCATTACTGGGGATATACCCAAAGGATTATAAGTCATGCTGCTATAAAGACACATGCACACATATGCTTATCGTGGCACTATTCACAATAGCAAAGACTTGGAACCAACCCAAATGTCCATCAGTGACAGACTGGATTAAGAAAATGTGGCACATGTTTTTAATACTATGCAGTCATAAAAAAGGATGAGTTTGTGTCCTCTGTAGGGACATGGATGCAGCTGGAAACCATCATTCTCAGCAAACTATCGCAAGAACAGAAAACCAAATACCGCATGTTCTCACTCCTAGGTGAGAATTGAACAATGAGATTACTTGGACACAGGAAGGGGAACATCACACACCGGGTCCTATTGTGAGGAGGGAGTAGCAGGGAGGGATAGCATTAGGATATATACCTAATGTAAATGACGAGTTAATGGGTGCAGCACACCAACATGGCTCATGTATACATATGTAACAAACCTGCACGTTGTGCACATGTACCCTAGAACTTAAAGTATAATAAAAAAAAAAAAAAGAAGAGAAAAAGTATTTTGTAGTATTGCAGCAATTTAGAGCTTCAGAGAAAAGCCATAATGAAGAATGGGGAAATCTCAATGGTCATTACATTGTTGTAGAACTTAGAAGGAAGACTCAAGCTGAGTATTCAATTAATAGTGAAATAATCTACAATAACTTTTGGTACATTAAAATTTACTGCTGAATAGATATATTATTCATCTTCACCAATCTCGTCACATATAAAAACTATTTGAAAAGTATTTGGCTCTTTCTAACTGTACGTTTTATTAAATATTCTTGGCAGAATTAGCATCACTATTGTTTCATTATTATAACCAAAATCTTTTTTTTTTTTTGAGACGGAGTCTCACTCTGTCGCCCAGGCTGGAGTGCAATGGCCGGATCTCAGCTCACTGCAAGCTCCGCCTCCTGGGTTTACGCCAGGGCGGCCTCCCAAAGTGCTGGGATTACAGGCTTGAGCCACCGCGCCTGGCCCAAAATCTTATACTATACTTTGCTCTATATTTGCAACTACCAAGTGGTTTACTATTGAAAACACTGTTTCTGTTAGTGAGCATTATCTTCTAAAGATACACAGAAAGATCATATATTTTATAATAAAAAACACACTGAGTCTAAAAACAAAACACCAACAACACAGAAAATGCAGTGATATTGCTTTTGATTTCTAAAAAGTTTATTTTAAGGGTGCATTTAGGAATCTTTCCAAATTATGTAAAAATATTGGTATTATTTTACCATCAATAATATGTGAACAAAAAGCACACACGTACCACTGAGAACCACAAGGACCTTCTCGGACTTCTCCTGGCTGATATACGTTTCCACTGGATTCACAGGGACATTCAGCTTTTAATACACATTTTCCTTTCTCTCCAATATCATCCAACAGATAACCTAGAACACATTGTATAAAGTTGACCTCAAAACTCTACAAACATCAGTAAATTGTTCAGCAGTGTATTGTGAAATCACTCTTGAGATAGTTCTTTCAAGCGTAACATGCACCGAAAATGATAATTTCTTGTTAAAGCAATTACTCCTAATTTGAGAACTGGCAAGAGGATAGAAAACAATTTTCTGAGTCTGAGTCACTGCTACACAGTGCACAGTCCCATTGCACTCAATTTGGGACTAAAGCATATTCTGTGTAATACAGAAGCCCTCAGGTATTGTAGAGATGGAAATACACATTAGCTTTAAAATTCTCTCTAACCCTCCTCTGCAGTTTGCTAAGAGAGTATATTAGAAATAGTTAAATTGTTGGAATGTCATGCTATAAATAAGATATCACTCTGACATGACTTGAGTCCCACTTTCTTTTTAGCTTTTGTTTTGTTTTAGTGTAAATACTCTCACTGGTGTACTACCTTCCGGGCACGTGCAGCCGCTCACACAGTCACTGTCTTGAAAAGGAGCCACATTAGAACAAGTTGCAGGGTTGGAGGGTCCACATTCTTTGTAGATATGTTGTTCTTCTGGACATCTATGTGTTTCTGAAGAAATATAAAAATATGTATACACGGATATTAGAGGAAACTAAATATAAGAAATACACACTCTTCTAAGGAGGAGCTTCTCAAATGGAACTCTTTGAGTCTGAGTTACAAGGTAGAAGTCAGTCTTTAAAGATACTCAATACAACTAAATTATGCCAATTTCTTGTGCATTATTTATGACACAATATTTAATTTAGAGGAAATATATTTTTTCTGTAATTTCATTTCATCTTAAGTTGATATTTATATTCTACTTGTATTATGAGGATTGACTTAAGCATATGTGGAAAGTATGTTTGCATATGAAGCTCATATTTACATTTTTTATTAATCTTTTTGAAAAATGATAGTACTAATCAGTATACATTTGATAAACTTTCCAGTTATTTTCTATAGAACTGACTCATGGTTTTCCGTGACTTTAACTGATTGTAACAAGTACAACATTTTAAATTAAGATCTTAACACAAAGCACTGCAACTTGAGGCAAGTCACATCACCTAAACAAATCTGTTTCCTTGTAAGTACATGTGACAAACAAGACTTCATCATCTCTACGATCCCCTTCCAGGGCTTAGAATCATTTGAGATTACATTGCAATACAGCTTAACTTTAAAGTACTGTATACCTATGTATCAAACCTGCACGTTGTGCACATGTACCCTAGAAATTAAAGTATGATTAAAAAAAAGATAACTAAGAAAAAAAATAAAAAATAAAGTGCTGTAGAAACTTACAGAGTTGTAACCTGCAATGAAGGTAAAAACCTACCACAAACCACATCGGAATCATTTCGCCAGGATTCAAAGGTACCAGGACCATCTGAGGCACAGAGGCGGGACAGTTCTGAGTAAGTGTCACATGTAGATGTTTTGTCTCCAGTTTGGCAGTATTCATCAATGCAAATCATTTTGTAGTCATTGGATAGAGTGGCAACCTTTCCACATTTCTCAAAGTAGGTTCCAATAATTTTGTTACAGTACTACAAAATAAAGCATGATATTTTATTAAAATGGGCAACAAAAGTAAGAAAAATGGGCAGTAAGATGAATTTTTAAAGCATAAATACAGAAGTTTTGTTTTTGTTTTTGTTTTGCATCATATCCTGTAGCTTTGACAAGGAAAGTTCTTGGATGCTGTTTGAAATAGAGCTTTTGGAAGTATTATAGTTGGTAAAATGACTCCTAAAATGAATACTGTTGGATTCTCGGCATTTTGGATTGTTGTATAATGACGTTGGTTGAAATTGAGGTTTTTTGAAGTATTACAGCTAGTAAAGTGACTCCCAAGAGAATACTTCTGGATACTTGGCATCTTGAATTGCTATGTAATGACTTCAAAATTTATTGTACTTAAACTTATCCAAACTGTCTTTAAAGGTGACATGAATTTTAGAACAGAGAAAATGGAAGGGGTGAGAAGAGAGTTGATTAATGCCAAAGACTGGGATGGTACCTGATAGAATACCATAACAGACAGAAGGGATATTGTCCCTTTAACTGTTAATCTGCCCGTAGTTCATAATCAAACAGATGACCATAAAATAAAGTGACTCTGTCCTTTCTTAGTCAGAGTCATGTGTATTTGCTCTGGGAAAAACATATTCCATTTCAGTAAAGGAAGTAATAACATGTATTATTGAATGAAAAAAAGCTCAAATTTCAACCACAGTTCGACCACCATATAGCTGTTTTCTATTTTAACAATTTGTTTATTTTTAGAGAAACAAAAAAGCTACTGTAGAACAAATGTACAATTTTTTAAATTATTGTTATTTTTGAGATGGAGTCTCGCACTGTCTCCGGGGCTGGAGTGCAGTGGCGTGATCTCGGCTCACTGCAACCTCCACCTCCTGGTTCAAGCAATTCTCCTGCCTCAGCCTCCCAAGCAGCTGGGATTACAGGCACCCACCACCACGCCCAGCTAATTTTTTGTGTTTTTAGTATAGACAGGGTTTTACCATGTTGGCCAGGCTGGTCTTGAACTCCTGACCTTGTGATTCACCTGCCTTGGCCTCCCAAAGTCCTGGGATTACAGGTGTAAGCCACCGCACCCGGCCCAAGTGTACAATTTGTACCAACTAGGCTGGAGGCAGGCTGATGACATTCTCCAAATGACATATAAAATTAAGTGAAATAAAATCTTCAAATATTACTCTTCATCTATTATTTTTTGTACATTTTTCTCACTATATTACAGATTTCTCTAGAGTAAGAAATACGACTTTTTATGCTCTGGGCTTAACACAGTATCTTGCACATAAGTTGGTCCTTAGTAAATATACATTGGTTTGAATGTAAATTGATGTAATCATTTAACTAACACTTTTGAGCAACAAGGAATAAGTTTTCAACATATTATGCAACTACCACAATGCATAATCCCTATTATCATGGAACATCTAATTTTATAGGGAACATATGAGAAAAACTTGGGCAATTTTTATAGATGGTATCTTATTATAAGTACCAGTGAGAGCCATAAGGTAACAAAAGAAAGAGAAAGCAATTCCAACTGCAACGATCAAGTAAGATTTCACAACGAAGATGGTAGATGATCTTGTATAATGCCATGGTGTAATTTGCTTTGCTGTAAGATGACAGGATGGCTATAATTGCAACACCCTCTTCCAATAAAACAAAAACATATTTTATTAATGCTATCCACACATTTCTTGATCTTGAGAATTCTATTCTAGTTGAAACAGGAATGTGTGAACATTCATTCAGTCACCAAATGGATGCAGTCAATCAAATTCAACATAATAGCTTACATAAGTGCAGAAAATCCACAAAGTAAATGATAACTATCTGCAAATGCTGTTGTCAAAAATATTATCTATAACTTTCTCAAAAAGAAAGTAAAAGATATGAGGGATGACAATTCAGAAAGGATATCTGGGGCAAAAGTAAGGGAGTACATGGGAAAAGTAAGGGACATAGTACATGGATTTCCAAACTGTAAGACAGGAATCAAGACAGTACCCATCAAGAGATGATAGTGGAAAGGTGAAGCATGTCAGTTTCCATACAGACAAACTAAAACACTATGCAAAGGAAATTATAATTGTTACACTAATATACGGTAAATATCATAGTATTTGGGGGGAAATTATTTTGGCATGTGCAGCTAGACCAAAGCTGAAAAACAGAAAATAGGAACATTGGAGAGGAAGTAGCTGCAGAATTCTAAGAAGAAGATATGAGTGCTTAGGAGAATATGGAACCAAGGGCTTAAATTGGAACCAAGGGTTACAAAGCCATGTTAATAAGAACAGCGTAATAATGGCGTAAATACAGACACACAGACCAATGGAACAGAATAGAGAACCCAGAAATAAATCCAAACATACACTGCCAACTATCTTTCACAAAGACACAAAGAAGACACAATGGTGGAAAGGATGGGTTCTTCACTAAATGGTGCTGAAAAAACTGGTTTTCCATACACAAAAGAATAAAATTAAACCCATATATTATACCATACACAAAAATCAATTCAAAATTAATCAAAGACCTAAATTTAAGACCAGAAAATATAAAATCTCAAAAGGAACATAGGAGAAAAGGTCCTGCACATTGGCCTTGGCAGTGATGTTTTGGATATCACACCAAAAGCTCAGGCCACAAAAGCAAAAATAAACAAGTGGGACTGCATCAAAACAGTGCTTCTGCATAGCAATGAAACATTTAACAAAATTAAAGTGTAGCCTAAAAATTAGGAGTGAAATTGTAGACCATATATCTGATTGAAGATTAATATCCAAAATTTATATAGAACATATAAAACTCAAAAGTGGAAAAAGAAATAACCCAACTTAAAAATCGGTGAAAGACTTAAATAGACATTTCTCAAAAGAAGACATACAAATGGCCGACAGGTATATGAAAGGTGCTCAACATCATTAATCGTCAGGGAAATGCAGCTCAAAACCACCAAGAGCTATCACCTCACACCTGTTAGGATGGCTATTATCAAAAAGTTAAAAGATAACAGAACTGGCAAGAGTGTGGAGAAAAGGCAAGACTTACACACTGTTGGTGGAAATGTAGATTGGTACAGCCATCATGAAAAACATCATGGAGGTTTCTAAAGAGATTACAAATAGAACTACCTGCCAGGCGCAGTGGCTCATGCCTGTAATCCCAGCACTTTGGGATGCCAAGACGGGCAGATCACTGGAGGTCAGGAGTTTGAGACCAGCCTGGCCAACATGGTGAAACCCCATCTCTACAAAAAATACAAAAATTAGCCAGGCCTGGTGATATGCAACCCTAACCTTAGCTACTCGGGAGGCTGAAGCAGGAGAATTCCTTGAACCAGGAAGGCGAAGGTTGCAGTCAGCAGAGATCATGCCACTGCACTCCAGCCTGGGCGACAGAGTGAGACGCTGTCTCAAAAAAAAAAAAAAAAAAAAAAGGAACTACTATATGACCCAGCAATCACTCTTTTGGGCATATATCCAAAGGAAATGAAATACCACCTTGTAAAGATATTTGCACTCCTGTGTTCATTGCAGCATTAATCATAATAACTAAGATATGGAAACAACCTAAGTGTTCACAAATAAATGGAAAAAGAAACTGTGGCTCATATATGCACAATGGAATATTATTCAGCCCTAAAAAACAACAAGATCTTGCCATTTATCATAACATGGATAAGCATGGATGACATTATACTAGTGAAATAAGCCAGAAACAGGAAGAAAGATGTTGCATGACCTCACCTATATGTGTAATCTTTTTTAAAAAATTTAAGTCTGTAGAAATAGACAACAAAACAATGGTTACAGGGGCTGGAAGAATCTTGAGATCTAATGTACAATCTGAAGACTATAAGTAATAAGATTGTACTGTATCTGTGATTCATGCTAAATGAGCAGATTTCAGCTGCTCTTACCACAGAAACAAACAAACCAACAAAAAAAAGTTGAAGTATCTTTCAGATGAGATGATGGATATGTTAATTTGCTTCCCTATAGTAAATATTTTACTATCCATGTGTATCACATACCAGACAAACACGTACACATGTTGTGTACCCTAAATATACACGATAACATTTATTTTAAAAAAGAAACCAAGGGAACTATTGCTAGAATTTGCTACACAATGAAATATAAATTTCTTACCTGTATTCCATCTTCACAAACTTCATAGCTTTTACCAACAGCATTGGGACAATCACCAGGAGTTTTACTATTGGCAATGTGCTCATTAATATCTTGCCCTTAAAAAAAAGCATTGTTTAGTTTAAGTTATTCTTTTTATGTGGGCATTATTTTCAAGCTACATATGGACTTGGCAATGTAAAATTTTTTCATTTTAACAAGTTCTCATTCTTTAGACAAAGGCAAAATTGAAAAATGATTTGAGTTTTTAGTTTCATTTTGGAAAGCAGGTTCTTAGGAATGATACATTGGAATGTTACCTGGAGTGCTGTTGAAGTTACCACAAAGACCACAAGTTGGATACTGCTTGTGAAGAGTGAGCTTTAAAAATAAATTACATGTATATGTTCATGAAATGTTAAACACATCTCAAAACAAAATGTACCCAAACCAAAGGGCCATGCCTCCTCAAATTCAATTCTATCTAAGCTGCTTACTTAGAGGTGTTGGAGGGCTTTTTCTTAAGGACCTGGTTCTGGAATTTGAATAGGTCCTAACTCCACCATTTACTATGTGTCTGAAAATATGATTTGGTGCAAAAGTAATTGCGGTATTTGCCATTTCAAAGTAACGGTCAAAACTGCAATTATGTTTGCACCAACCTAATAACTTTTTTTACTTTGCATTTCCTGAGTTTCATCATCTGTAAGATATGATTATTAATAGCATGTATTTTAAGATGTTTTGAATACTAAATGAGATAATGTTTAGTATAATGACTAATACATAGAGATTTCTCAGTAAGCCTTAGCTCTTAACTTCCCTAATAATGTATTGTTTTTGTGACTTAACTAAAGGACAAAAAGCACAGGATTACATGAAAATCATAGATAGACTTACTGAGAGTTTGTTATTGTTGTCCCACATTAAAGTCAGGATTCCTCTACGGCTATTCAGAACATTATATTCTCCATATTTTTTAATGTGAATCAACTTATTGTTATATGGTATCTGTATGCTGAAAAATATAAAATATAAGTATATGTAAAAAGGTAAGAATCATACTATTATAATATGTTTTCTGATAATTCATGTCACCCAACAATTTAGTATCCTATAGATAGAATACTTGCTGGTAAATATTAAAGTTTTTTTAATCAATTCAGAAAAAGAGAAACAGTGGCTTTTTTGAACACTGGAAGAACTTCTAAAAAACGACTAATAGATCCTTGGCGCTTTGGAGAAATTAACAGGATGAAACATTGGTTTGGTGTCAGAAAAAAATAAATTGAAATGTTCCCAAGTAGAATATCATGCCTCATTTTCTTATTCTGGAAAGTATTCAAATATGCCTTCCCTTCCAAATCTGAATTGCTCCTTCTAAAAATCATGGACGAAAAGTTTTAATCTCCTCAATTTCTAACTTATAAAATCTTAAATTTATACTTGGTGTTAAACTTGCAAATGAAAACTGAAATATCCTGAAACATTCAACAAAAATAATCGGATTTGTTGAATACACACATTTCCCATAATCTAGATAGTCAGTATACTCAAACAACAGAATTTTTTTCTGTCTTGTTATGGGAATAAATACAATATCTTACAATCCCAAATATGTCAAAGTCTTACACATTTATCAAACTCTTGGCCAATAATCAATTAAAATATCAATATGAGCATCAAAATGGGAAGAAAGTATCATCTCCCTTTTTGTCTTTTTCTTTTTTTTTTTTTTTTTCTTTTTTTGCTCAGGTCACTTTAAATAATTTTATATCATTTACCCAAAACACTACGGTATTTACCTTTCTCCATTAACTAAAATGGTGTCACCAAAAATAGAGATGTCGTTATTGTCAATTAGAACTGTTATTTTTTCAGTCTCACTATCATTGTTTCGTTTGATTTCAATATTGAAATCCCCTCCAGATTCAACGCAGTGACGGCAGAAAGTGTATGGGCATGAAGATTCGAACACAAAGATGCGGCCATTGAAAGATTTATATGCTCCTTTGCTCCAGGTAGATGCTTCACCTACAAAATATTCAGAGGAACATATACATAATTATTTAGAACAATTAGCATACCTTCTAGGTCTGTTTTAAAGCATTTTTGTCCTAAGGGAAATAAAATCACTGAAAGGTTCAATTCTCACAGCCACCACCTTAAATCAGTGCTTGCTTTCTTTCACTACTGCAAAGACTCACTAAAACTAGTACATGAGTACTTCTTTAGTGTACCCTAAGTTGGCTATTCCAGCTAAAATAAAGCAAGATTGAAAACATCTTGCTTCCCATAGGAAAACAAAAATTGTCTCTAATATGGGATGGAATATATGGAAGGAAGTAGTGGTTTGTTTGCTTTCTTGCTTTGCTTTTTTGGTAGAGATAGTTTTTCTAAGTCTGAATGAAGTCCCATTTATATTGAATGACGATAAAGAATTATATCATTTATCTCTATACATATAAATGTGTGTATATATGACTGTGTATAGGTATATGCATATATATGTGTGTGTGTGTATACATGTTTTCTGGAGAAAAAAATAGTACAAATGTGGTATCATTCAAATATACAATGATTAAACAGACAGATGATGGGGACATTTTCAAAACTAGTTTCAGGTTGGGCACAGTGGCTCATGCCCCTCATTTCAGCATTTTGAAAAGCTGAGGTGGGAGGATCATTCGAGGCCAGAAGTTCAAGACCTGACTGGGCAACATAGCAAGACTCTGCCTCTACCAAGAAAAAGGAATATCCAGGCATGGTGGTGCCCTCCTATAGTCTCAGTTACCCAAGAGGCTAAGGCAGGAGGATTGCTTGAGCCTAGGAGTCAGAGGTTACAGAGAGCTATGATTTTACCACTGCCCTCCAGCCTGGATGACAGAGTGAGACCTTGTAAATAAATAAATAAACAAAACTAGTTTCAAATTTTGTAAATTTGTTTCTGTGAACTCATTAGGTAGTGGCATGGGTGTAAATATATGAATGAATATCATAACCATTTTTACTTACCAATAATTGCATTTGTTTCTGAGTATTTTGGAGTTGCTTCTGGAATGTGGGATCCTTTTTCTATTCAACACAATGCATAGATTATTTCAATGTTAAGACATATATTCATTTTAAATATACAAGATATTGGAACTTCTACATGGGAACTTAAAAATTGGCATTGAAGGCCATCAATGAATTTTTTATACTGTATATTATATAACATATATAATGGATAACTCTGTGAGAGCTGGGACTTGCCAAAGTCACATACATGATTAACTCTGCAGTCCACACTTTTTCAGTATGTTCATGAATCATTAAAAGCTTATGTATTGGGGGTCCTGTACAATTACTAACATATGCTGCACCCCTTACAGAAATATTTTTCAACTTTAGAAATAAAACATTGCATGTTCATTTCTATCAGGAGCTGTGGCACAAATAGGACAGAGGTACATTTTAGTCAATCAGTCTATTATCTAATACTAATAATTTATCTATATATGAGGAAAAGTCAATTCTCCCACTCACAGGGAAAAATCTGTATACTTTAAAACTTTACATTTCCCATGATTGTTTATATCTAATGACCCTGGTATGTAACCAAGTAAATTTATATTCAATCGTAGGGTAAAGCCTAAAAACAAGCAACAACAATAACAAAAGTGGATGTTTTGATAGAATTGTAAACTCTTTTCCAAAATGCTCTTTATCATCTATCTTGAAGTTTCTTCTCTTTACTACAGGTTGTATTTACTCAGACTGAGTGGAAACAGATTGAACTCCTAATTTGTTTATGCAGGCATTTTAAAAATACCATGTCTAAAATAGTAAAGGAGTTGTAATATGTTTTATTCAAATTCCCTTAAAATGTGGTTTAATCTCTCTTATTCATGAAATTGTTTCAAATACTTAGTTGGCCATCTAAACTTTAGTATCCAAAGAGAAGTAGCACTTAAGAGCTCAATATGAGAAAAAATAGTAACAAGTCCTAGTAAATCAATAATCAGCAGAACATTACAACATTGTAAGTGTATGTATGTGTGTGTGTATGTATATCTTTTTAAACACCCAAAGTCATAAATCAGATTACCTGGAGTATTGAGTGGTCCAGACGTACTGTATTCAGACGAGTTTGTGACACCTATTCAATACAAAATGATTAAGCTATTTTGTGTGTATAATTTTACTTGGTAAAGTGATTTTTAAAGAAAATCTGATGGATAGACCATAGATCCTAGTCCAGCAATGCTAATGCTAGCAGACTAAGACCGTGTAAAACTGTACAAGAAAAAAAAAAAATGTCAACTCAAAACTTTGCTGGAGTAAGAAAATTAAATGCCTTGCCTCTAAATTAACTGACACCAAATCAATTTTTTTCTAGATCATTTGTCTTAAAACTTGTCAAGGGTAAGAGGAAAAGGTTCATTAGACAAAGTTCTAGGTCTCCTATCCCACTGTCAACCAAACTATTTCCCATTCTGAATTGTTTTACTTTTAGGAAACCTGGGTACTATTTCAAGAGGTCAATTAAACAAAAGATTCTGCACTCACAGAAACTAGAAATATGAAAAACACTAATCTAAATGAACTGACACCTTCATTAATGTCAACAGATTCAGACTTCCCATTGCAAAGCCACTAGATTTACTGCCATTAGAAACACTACCAAAAATAACACTACTTAATAAAGTCTATCTCACATGGAAAAATCAAAGCAGTTAAAATCTAACATCCAAATAGCAAAAAAAAAATCATCAAATCAGTAACCACTCCACACTAAGAAACATAAAATATAACTATTCTGAATACGTTTCTCAGGAAGAAAACCTAAATTTGAATACCTGAGCTAATGGCAGCCTAGCTGGAGTTCCTAAATTAGGTGTCTTTGAAACCGTTTGTAACAACTGTGATTTTTTAAAAATCCATGTCAATAAATAATAAACGAATTTCTTAGTTCTTTGGAAGTGTTGACTTCAAAATTGACGACCAAAGTTTAAGAACAACCAAAATTAAAATTATTATTTCTGTATGACCAAGCCTTTCTTGGAATAGGTTAATTGATAGTCAATCTCGTGTCACATCAACCGTTACTACACTAAACTGTATCTCTTGCTAATTACATTTCACTTTTTAGGAAAAAGATATTAATCCTGAAGCTGAGTTCTAAAGATGAATCCTGAATATTTTCCAGAACCTCCATTTTACTGTAAGTGATCCACTGTGCCCAGTTCTATTGTCATCTACTCTAATGGTTCCCAGGACGTTCCAGCCCTGGTAACAGCATCAAAACAGTTTCTGCATCAAGAGTACATATTATTTTAAAATTTTTTACTACAAATTCCAAGACCATGCAATTGAATGTTTTCATTAAGTGGAAATATTAAAATGTATAAGGATTTCAAAAGTGGATGCAAGTCTTACTCTTCTCAGCAATGGGCTTGCAAAGAAAACTAAAGCCGCCAAGTCCTGATTCGGGATACAAAGTTTGAGACCAACAGTTCAGCTGCTACTTTATCTCTTCAACTGACTCCAAATCAATTTTACATAAAGGCAACAAAAAGAATTCTACATTGATATACTCACAGCCATGAAACCAGTTCCACATCTTATGGCAACAAATGTTAAACATCATTTGCCTGATTATATCTAAGAATATTTCAACATTCGAGAATGCAGAATTCCTTTTAAATTACTATTAATAATGTTTACAATTTTTATTGTCATTGTAAGATGTTTCTTAGAATTCTGATTTTCTGATAATCGGAAATCTCAATGCCTATGCCATAGGAATAAGATCCAGTAACATTGCTTCCATTATCACAGGTACCTGAACCACTAAGGCCAGTTTCACCAAATTCATTTAGTCCAGAAGCACCAACACCAAGGCCATCTGTACCCTTACTTCCTCCACTACTTCCAGAACCAGAAGACCAAGTGTTTCCTCCTAATGGAAAATCAAAATATGATTAAAAGAAATAAAGAAGAAAGAAATTTATTGGAATTTCTTGGAAACAGAGTCCAGGTTAGGATACCTGAGTCACGGACATCAGATCCAGGACTCAAGTTTCCAGCCTCAGCAGGTTCACTGCTTCTCTTTCTATTCCCACCAGTTCTACTGACTTCAAATCCATGTTGATCAGATGACCCCAATATGACTCCTGAATCTTCAGAGATATCACTAGAATTTTCAAACCCATTTCTTGCACTTGAGTCACCTGTTGAATACAAAATTATGATCACTAGAATTACTTTCAATGCATACCATGATTCAGAATTGTCCGTGCACAGAAATTAACAATCAGTACCTAGCACTATAGCCTCTAGAACTACCTACTCCATTTCCATCGAAATCTTTACTACTATTGCAATTGTCACCAAATTGATTTAAACCAGAATCTCTAAAGTCAAATTCAGCTCCACCCTTCATTTATCCAAGCCCAAATTCAAACAACCATGACTTTCCCACTGGTGAAGAAATAAAATGTTAGTAAAATAATGGATGAAAGGTTGAAATCAATTTAGATTTCACCAGAGCAGAGTCCAGGACTAAACCACCTGTGCCACTGACATGAGATTTACTGCTGCTCTGCTCATTCCAACCAGAGCCACTTCTTCCAAATCCCTTTTGACCAAATTTCTCCAAACCAAAACCCAAATTTTCTCATACATCACACAAAAAAATCCCTTTTTTATTGTTCTGGTACCAATTACATTATATAAAATGATTATCATCAGAATGCATTTCAATAAGTTTATGATTCAAACTTTTATGCAAATAAATTAAATATTGATACCTAACCACTGGAACTAGATTCTCTTGTAACTTTTATTCCATTTTCACTAAGCTCATTATCACCAAATTTCCTTGAATCAGAATACCTAAAGTCAAATCCAGCTCCAAGTTTTTTTCCTCCAAGTCCAAATTCAAGAGACTCAAGCATTCCCACTAACAGAAAATCAAAATAGTTTTAAATAAATGAATATTTGGAATTCAGGTGTTTATCTCAGGAACAGAAACTGGCTAGAATACCTGAGCTACTGGCATCAGATCCAAAACCTTTGAATCCAGCCTCAGCAGATACACTGCCACTCAATCCATTCCCTCCAATTTCATTGATTCCAAATCCCTCTTGACCAGAATCCCATAAATTGGATATCGAATTTCGAGAGCCACCACCAACAAATTGATTCTCACTTCTTAAACTGGTATCACCTGCAGAATATAAAATAATTGTCACGGTGTATTGAAACTATTTTATGATTCAGACATTTTTATGCACAAAAGTCGGATATTAATACCTAGATCAATGGAAACAGATCCTCCAGAACTACTCATTTGATTTCCTTCAACTGTTTTGCTACTAATGCCACTGTCACCAAATGAATTCGAATCAGAAACTTCAAAACCAAATGCAGCGTCACCTTTCCCTGCTCCAAGTTTCAAACCAGAATAACCAGTTCCAACTAATGGAAAAAATCAAAATATGATTAAAGTTAATATTAATTAATTAATCTCTTTGCTATTAAGTGGCATTAAAATAAAAGTATTTTAACCAGTTAATGAACTGAATCAATCTAAAATTTTGAGGAGTGAGTCTTGTTGGAATACCTGAGCTACCTGCATCAGATCCAAAGACTATGGTTTCACCCCCAGCAGATCCGCTGCCTCTAGTTTCACTCCCATCAGCTCTACCGACTTCCAATCCCTTTTCATCAGACGTCCCCCAACCAAATCCCACATTCAGAGAAGCACCACTGCTACTAACGCCAGCACCAGATCTTGTGTTGGTGCTATCTGCTGAAAACAAAAAAAGAAAGAAAAATAGAAAAAAAATCATTGTGGCCAAGGGAGTATTTTAACACATCTTATGATTCTTTATTTTGATGCAAAAACCTGAATAGTAATATCCACATCACTGGAACTTGATTTCCAGTGTTCTGTATTTCATTTTCACCATAGCCTTTTGTTGAAGACCACTGACAACAACTGAGCCAGAATTTCCAAAACCAAATCCCAATTCATTCTTCCTTTCACCACCAACTCCAAAATCAAAAGCCAAAATGTTTCTGCCTAATGAAAAATTAAACTGTTATTGAGAGTAATATACAAAGAATAAGAATTATTTGCATTTTGTATTAATAGTCTCTCAATCAGAATTCCTTAGTCACTGACAGAAGCACCAAGTTCTGTGGATTTACCACCAGTGAACTCCTTGTTTTTCCTGTTTCTACCAATGTCCACGTCTTTTATGGTAAATTGTTCTAAATCAAAAATACCTAGAGTTACTATACTTTCTTGACACTCACTTCCTTCATTGTCTCTAGTTTCCGAATATGAAATGCTATTCATCCATACTTTTGTAAATTTATTTTCTCCAGCCTTCTTTTTCAAGAAAACTAGTTCAAATATGAGTAATGGAATTTTAAAAGTTAATGTGGTAGATGTCATTCAAACCCAAGAGCACAAGATTTATCTGTTCCAGATGACAAAACCTGTGAACAAGAGAGGTTAAATGGTTTCCCCAAAGGTTAGTGTGAAAGACTGGGGATAGAAACTCTTTGTCCCAGGTCTAAGCTCCTGGGAAGCCTCAAACCTACTTGCCTCTTCACTAAATTGTTTAAACTGCTGATTTCTGTTGAAGTTAATATAGATTTTTGATGAACCAGACAAAGAGTTTACAAATATTTTTCATGAATTCCTCTAACATTAAATCTGTATTTGTCAAAGAAAACCACCAATTCTTGCTTTGCTAATTAAATCAGTCAGTTAATTGATTATTCTGACAAAAGCATAAACTAAGAAACAACATAGAATGCCTGTTTCCCTGGCAGCAGAATCAAAGTCAGCTAATCCATTTACTGCACCTACATCTAATCCATTTTGATCGGGGACCCCTACCAATTTTATTTTGATTTGAAGCAGTACCACCAAACAGTACCATCTGCTGAACTGATTTCATCCACCAAAATACAATCATTACCACAGAAAAGTTGTATTCATTCATACAATACAAGAAAGTAATCCCTGCACACTGCTTGAATCAGAGCTGCATTTTAGTTTCTGATATATTCCTTGATGTCCCTTATTCCATATCTTTCCATGTATATTTCTATGTAGTAGAATCAGGAGTAAGAATGGCAACCAATTTATCATGAGATTTGAAAGATTCCATAAGAAAGATGAAGCTTTGGGGCCGTTGATGATAAGCTTTTATTGTGCTCTACGGAACATGAGAAAATGACTAACACCTAATGTAAACAAGAGTAGATGGATCTGTCTTATCTCCTTAGTCCTACTGAGTTTGTCAGTCCCAAAACAGGTGAGTGGAAAATAAAAAACTTGGTATCCTTCATAAAGATACTACATCCAAAGCTGTTTCTGCCTTTTCACCTCAGAGACAAAACTATTAATTTTTAATGTAAAATATAGAACTTATTTTCCTCACTGGGACTGCTTCCTTCCCATTTTGTAGAGGTACAAACTATAGAGATTTCAGGGGCCAGGCAAGTATAGTAAAAATTTGAGTAGAACAGTAGGAAAAATTGTATTGAACCAGCAAGACCCCAACTCACCTAAAGAAATTTAAATTTTTTCCCCCAAAAAACAAAATTGCAGGCCACAAACTGCTTAGGAACTCTTCCTTATCATATCACTCAGCAAACCGGGTATATAAGTTCAGTAGAGAATCTTGATATGGAAAATCAATTGTGGTTAGATACAGAAACATGAGTGGAGAGAACCTACTCTACATTTGGGCCCAGGAATCGTTTTTGATTATTAACTTATACAGTAAAAAATGCCAGAAAAATAAATCATCATTAGAATAATAATACCAAGTATGAAGAGCACATATGAAAATAATTATCAGGAGAACAATTAATTTAATGTATACATCTTTACCAAAATTCTCTAAAGACAGAATTTATCACTCTCATTGGCCCTGAAATCAGTGCTTTTAGAGTAGCTCTGACTATTAAAGCCATGTGCTTCAAACAAAAGAAAGATTCTCGGATTATCCAAAATGACAACCAAAAGCACTTGTTTGCTAGGTACATATTTTTTCTGGAACAGTACCTGCTGGGCTGTCTTCTGACCTTGAATTCCCAGCATCCCGACGTTCTCTGGACTTGTCTTCAGCCTCTCCTGTAGCACCAAATTCAAAGCTAAAGAGTGACTTTTTTCTGTCTGAGTCACCAGAGGATGGACTACCATAAAAAAAGTCACCTACAGTGAAGAAAAAAAATTTACATTGCTAGCACAGACTAAAAAGGTAGTCTAATTATGACACCATAAAGAGCCACATTTTATTTTCAGTAGGTCTCATTATCCTGACAACACTTGGAACAACATACACCACTGGTTGACTTAATCACCTTATCTGTATCTTTTGTCATGTTTCTAAAACTTCAATCGAGGAGAATCGAGCTATGAAGATTCAATAATTGATGTGTACTAGATACGCTTCTCCTGGGCAGAGCAGAAACTCCCCAGTCTGCTTCCTTCCCCATTCCTAAGCCCCAAGTTCCAGCATCCCATTTCCCCCAATCAAAATTTTCTGCCTTGTTGAATCCACATTGTCCTTGGCTACTGTTCCTTATAGCTGATAAAATTGAGATGACATGCCTGATTCTCTTTTCTGTATTTCTGCAAGGAAGAAAGCATGTAAACACTTACTCATGAATTAATTGTACTATCCACCTCCTTAAGTTTCATCTCAATGAGGCACACTCTGACAACTTAAAATTGTAACCTCACTCCATTGTTACACTCCCAGTTACCATTATATTATTCTATTTTATTCCACAGATTTGTCACCTTGTAATATACAAGGTAAAATATATCCCCTTGTGATACACCTTTTATCACTGTCTTTAATACTTATGGAGTATTGACTGTATCCTTCTTGCACATTTTAAGCTCCATAAACTCAAGTTTTCTTTGCCTGTTCTATTGAGAGAGGGATTTCAGGTGTCCAGACCAGTGCCTCAACAATAGAGGGCACTCAGTATTTATTTAATAAATGTAGTCACCAACAAAGACCACTTCTTAAGGTAATAAACACCTTGTTACATGAAGTATATATGCTTTCTATCATGCCATTTGTATATTTTTTGAAATCTCTATATAAAATTTAAATATTTCAGAATTATTAACATCTTAACTGTAATATTCCTGTAGAGTTGTGGAAGACATAAATTTTGGTCACCAAATAGACAAAAAAAATGAAGTGAATGATTTGTAAGTAACACTTGAAGACTATGTAATCACAAATACAAATAAAATAAGTGGCTTAATTCTGCATTAAAATAAGGAAAGAGACTTCTCCCTCCACAAATACCTTTTCTTTGATCATTTCCTGAAGAAAACTTGTGAGTACTTTCTCTAGCTCTCTGAAATGTACATAGACATTTTTAAAGACTAAATAAACACCCCGAGAATGTTTCTTCAAGGGGCGGGGGCCAACACTTTGAAATGTAGTCATGAAGGAAGATGCTTCCCTATATCCTAAATTCCTGGGAGGTAGGAGCCTAACTTCCACTGGTGTTTGGCTACAAATCATAAACCTACTTCCGGTCATAATACACAAGAAACTTCTTTTTTCTTTTAAAAGCAATCAGCAAACACAGGTGGTTACCCAAACCACCATGCAAATGTAGGATGAACCGTATGGCTAATGATGCTATCAAATCCACTCGAGAACTAGTTATTTCTTATATTCATAACTTACATGTAATGGGTTTTATCTGCTTGTTTTATAAAAGTTTTATATTTCTTGTTTTATATTTCTGTGTGTCTGCAATCTTTTTAGTGAGATGCCTGTCAGGACAGGTTTTCAGAGGGGGCAGGAGACCATTTTTAAAGACATTTCCCCAACAACTTCTCTTGGAATTCTTAGCCATTTTTCATGTTTCTATCAAGTGTATCTCTACTTTTCTAAAGCAAATAGTAAAAATAAAATATGTCTGTGATTATGAGAATAGTCAAAATAATAATCTATTATGTAGTATTAGGGAAAGGCATTCAACATTTAAGAGATTTTTAAATTATAAAATGTGCATGTAGGCATTTGTTTTAGGACTAAAACAATGTTTAAATTATGAATAGCCAATATATACTATTGTTTAATTACCTAACCCTTCAACCACTGCTACCTGTACTACTCTTCCTATATACAGTATTTCGCCTCTTTCTCTCCTCTTTCCCTCTATCTACCCTTCTTCACTATACACTCTTCTTCTTTTTCTCTTTTACCATCTTTCTCATTGTCTTTTTCAATGTCATGTAGTTTCAGAGCTGCACCTTAATATATAAATATTTTAGTTTGCTGGCAAAGCAGAAGGAAGCAAAGCAGTATTCAGTCACAGCAAAAGTATAAACTCTTAATGCAAACCCATCTGGTTCCTCCATTTGCAATTGGTAGCCTTGGATAGTAGCTCTCTTGCTCTCAGGCAACAGGGATTCTTGTTCTGTTCTAACCACATCTTCCTCTGGCCTTCCTGAGGTCATGGCACTCATCAGAGAGCACAGAATACAGGCCAAGAGTGAAGGGATCATGCCTACCCAGAGCCTGTGCTATCCCAGTCTCCCTTTCTGGATCACATTTTAGGGCCCCAGGGCTGCAGTCCCTAGTTTACTACATGGGCATGCATAGGCATGTTTCCTAAGACCTTCTTCTCCAGGTGAGACCACATTGCAAATACAATCCCCTAGGTCTGAGGGATGGGGAAGGAGTGGTCAGTGTGCAGAAGGAGATGGACTGAGATAGAAAAGCTGGGATGTCCCTCCCAGTATGCGAATAAGCCAGAGACGGAAGGAGCATGACTGTGGGGACCTCAGCTAGGGCGCAGTCAACATTGATCTTGCATTGAATTCCAATAAACCCGAAAATCCTGCATTGGATCCTGCCTTCCAGGTTTTCACAAGTGTACTTTTGTCAAGGTAGAAAAAGCAACACATTTTATGTCCTATTATGTTTCTTTATTGGTAACTTTTAATTATGTATATACCTGCATTTATACTCTTGACCATGACTGTGCCCTTGGCCTGTCCTTGGCTAACCAAATTAACATTTCTAAAACAAAATTTCTTTAAACAAAGTTTATTTCACCATTAAATGGACACTACATAATATATGCGGATAAAATATTGCCAAACTCACAAAAAGAGTTTTTTATGTCCTGCCTAAAGATATTACAACCACACCCCTACACCCAAAGCTTTTTCTGCCTTTTTATTACATGGACTCAGATATCAACTTTTCATATAAAATATTGAAGTTGTTTATTTCACTGAGCCTCTTTCTTTCCCATGTAGAGGTATAAACTCTAAAGATTTCAGAGACGAGGCAAGTACATTGAAAGTTTAAATAGGCCAGCAGGGAAAGATATGTCAAACGAGATTAAATGTCTCACCTAAAGATACTTAAAATTTTTCTTTAAAAAAATAAATAAATAAAAATAAATTGCAGTCTACACACTGTTTAGAAACTTGGCTTTATGCTACTATTTAGTAAACTAAGTGTGTAAGAGAGAATCCTAGTGTAGAAAATGAATGGTGATTAGATTATAGAAATGTGAATGGAGAGATTCTACAGTACATTTGGGTCCAGGAAGCATTTTAAATAATTAATTTATATACTGAAATTGGTCATAATAACAATAAAGATACTAAATATGAAGATAGAATTAAAAATAAATTTTATCAGGACCATAATTAATTTAATGTAAACTTTTTTACCACAATTCTCTAAAGACAGAATTTATCACTCTCATTGGCCCTGGAAATAGTGTCTTTAGGGTTTCCACTATTTCTATGCAGGCTTTGTCTTCAATAAAATGTAGGGTATCAGATTATCCAAAATGAAAATCAAGAGTACTTGCTTGCTAAGTACGTATGTTTTTCTGGAACAGTACCTGGTGGGGTGTCTTCTGACTTTGAACTTCCGTCATCCTGACGGTCTCTGAACTTGTCTTCAGCCTTTCCTGGAGCACCAAGTCCTAAGCTAAAGAGTGGCTTTTGCCTGTCTGAGTCATCAGAGGATGAACTACTGTAAAAAAAGCCACCTACAGCAAATGACAGAAGATGTTATTTGAAAACAGCATTATCAGCACAGAATATAAAAGTCATTTGATTATGACATTATGAAAAGCCACATTTTATTTTGTATAAATCCCATTTTCCTAGCAGCACTTGAAAACATATACCACTGGGACTTAATCATCTAATCCAAACATTTTGGAAGTTCCTAATCTGATCTATGGAAGTCTCACTCTGGCCTTCCTTGGGTCATGATGCTCCCCAGAGAGCAGAGGCTACAGGCTGAGGGTGAAGAAGACATGCCTACCTAGAGTCTGTGTCATCCCCTACCCCATTTCTGGACCATGTCCTAAGTCCCTAGGGCTACAGACAAACCGATGATCTGGGCCTACATGAGCATCTTTCCCAAGACCTTCTTTTCCAGGTGAGACCACATTACACTGATTGAAACCCTAGGTCTGAAGGATGGACAGGGGATGGCCAGAGTGTGGAAGAAGATGGACTGAAATAGTAAAACTAGGGCATCCCTCTCAGTATGGGAGTAAGCAGGAGATAGAAAGAGAGGGGCTGTAGGGACCTTGCCTAGGGCACAGCCAACCTTATTGAATTCCAATAAACATGAAAATTCTACATTGGAACCTGCCTTCCAGGTTGTCACAAATATATTGTTGTCAAGGAAGGGGAAAAAAGTATTTTATGTACTATTTTGTTCTTTTATTTATAACTTTTAATTTTGTGTATACCTGCATTTATACTCTTGACCCCTGACTGTGCCCTTGGCCTGTTAAACAAAGTAACACTTCTAAAACAAAGTTCCCTTAAACAAAATTTATTTTACTATTAAATGAAGACTACATAATGAATGTGCATAAAATAGTATCAACCTCATGGAAAGATACACAATTTTATGTCCTGCCTAAGATATCATAACCACACCCCCACACCCAAAGCAGTTACTGCCTTTTCATTACATGAACTCAAATATTAAATTTTCATATAAAATATTGAAAGTATTTATTTCACTGGACTTCCTTCTTTCTCTTTTTTGTAGAGGTACAAACCATACAGATTTCAGGACCAGGAAAATAAAGAAAAAGTTTGGACTGGCCAGGGGGAAGAAATGTGTTAAACAAGTGATATGGTTTGGCTCTGTTGCCACTCATATCTCATCTTGAGTTGTAGTTCCCATAATCCCCATATGTGGTGGGAGGGACCAAGTGGGAGGTAACTGAATCATGGGTGCAGTTTCCCCCGTGCTATTCTTGTGATAACAAGTAAGTTCTCAAGATCTGATGGTTTTATAAGGGGCTTGCCCCTTCACTCAGCTCTCATTCTTCTCTCTCCTGTGGCCACATGAAGAAGGATGTGTTTGTTTCCCCTTCTGCCATGCTTGTAACTTTCCTGAGGCCTCCTCAGCCATGCAGAATTGTGAGTCAATTAAACCTCTTTTATTTATAAATTACCCAGTCTTGGATATTTCTTCATAGAAGCATGAGAATAAACTAACACAAAAAGAGATGAAATACCTCACCTAAAGACATTTAAAATTTTATACAACAAGAGATGAAATACCTCACGTAAGGACACTAAAAATTTTTCCTCCCCAAAAAATTGCAGGCCATGAACTTTTTAGAAACTCTGCTTTATAATATTGTTTAGCAAATTAAGGGTGTAATTTAAAAAGAGAATCCTAATGTAGGAAATGAATGGTGGTTAGATTACAGAAATGTGAATAGAGAGATCTTATACTACATTTGGGTCCAGGAAGCACTTTAAATTTTTAATTTATACGCTGAAATATATTATAATAACAATTAAGATACTACATATAAAGATAGCATACAAAATAAATATCACCAGGACAATAATTATTGTAAACCTCTTTGCCAGAATTCTCTAAAGACAGAATTTAGCACTCTCTTTGGAGCTAGCATTAGTGCCTATAGGGTCTTCACATTTCTATTAAGGCTATGTCTTCAATAAAACAAAGGTTATCATATTATCCAAAAAAAAAAAAAATGCTTGCTATGTAAGTGTATTCTCTGTAACAGTACCTGCTGAGCTGTCTTCTGACCTTGAACTCCCAGCATCCTGATGTTGTCTGGACTTGTCTTCAGCTTCTCCTGGAGAACCAAATTCCAAGCTAAAGAGTGGCTTTTTTCTGTCCAAGTCACCAGAGGATGAACTACCATAAGAGAAGCCACCTACAGCAAATAACAGAAGATTTTATTTGAAAACAGCATTGTTAGCACAGACTATAAAAGCGGTCTGATTATGACACTAAGAAAAGCCACTTTTTTATTTTATACAAGTCTTATTATTCTGGCGGCACTTGAACAACCTATACCACCTATCCATGTCTTTTTGTCATGGTTCTAAGACCTTAAGGAAGAGAGGAGAATCGAGCTGTGGAAATTCAATCATTGATGTGTGCTAGAGAGACTCTTCTTCTCCTGGACAGAGCAGAAACTCCCCAATCTGCTTTCTTCCCCATTCATAAGTCCCAAGTTCCAGCATCCCACCTCTTCCCACTGCTATTGTTTAGGAGTTTGTCTCCCCACAACCCGTGTTGAAATTTAATCCCTGTGATGGAGGTAGGGCCTGTTGGGAAGTGTTTGGGTCATGTGGGCAGACCCCTCAGGAATAGCTTGGTGTTGTCCTCCTGGTAATGAATGAGCTATTGCTCTGTTAGCTCCCACAGAACTGTCATTCCTCGTCTCTCTCTCTTTTTCTTGCTCTCTCATGGTGCACAGGCTAGCTGCCCTTGGCCGTTGCCATGAGCGGAAGCACCCAGAGACCCTCACCAGAAGTAAAGGCTGGTGCCATGCTTCTTATACAGCCTTCAAATACAGGAGATGAATAACCCCCATTCTTCATAAATTACCCAGCCTCAGATATTTCCTTATGGATAGCAAGGCAAATAAACTTAGATGCCCAGCAAAATACTCTGCTATGTTGAATCCACTCTGTCTTTGGCTACTGTTCCTTATAACTGACAAAATTAAGTTAACATATCTGACTCTCTTTTCTGTATTCCTGCAAAGACGTAACCATTTACTCATAAATTAATTGTAGAGTTAGCCTCTTTCAAGTCTCAGCTTAAATTTCACCTCAATGAGGCACACTCTGACCAGTTAAAACTGCAACTCCACCCCCACCATTATACTCCCAATTACCACTATATTTAATATTACTCTATTTTATCCCACAGATTTTATCACCTTGTAATATAACATGTTTACTGCTTATAATGTTTTTTGTTTATTGACTGTATCCTTCCAGGTTTTAAGCTGCAAAAACTCAATGTTTCTTTGCCTGTTTAATTCACTCAAGTATCCCAGGTGATGAGAGCAGTGCCTGAACTACAGAGGACACCCAATTCATATTTATTTAGTAAATACATTCACCAACAAGATTACTTTTAAGAGAAGAAATACTGTCTTACATGATGCATATGTGCTTTCCGTCATTCCCTTTATTTTTTTAATCTTTACAATAAAATTGAAATGCTTTAGAATTAATGTCATAATAATGATGATATTCCTGTAAAGTTGTGGAAGACATACATTTTGATCAATGAATAGAGAAGAGAATGAAGCACATCGCTTGTAAGTAAAATTTGAAGAATAAGTAAGAGCAAATATAAGTAAAACTAAGTAGTTTAATTCTCCATATTCAAAATAGGAGATGAGATTTCTCTCCCTACACACTTTTGCTTAGATTATTTACTTTAGAAAACTTGTGTTTTCAGCTGGGCACGGTGGCTTATGCCTGTAATCCCAGCACTTTGGGAGGCTGAGGCAGACAGATCACAAGGTCAGGAATTCAAGACCAGCCTGGCCAACATGGTGAAACCCTGTCTCTACCAAAAATACAAAAATTAGCTGGGTGTGGTGGCGCATGCCTGTAGTCCCAGCTACCAGGGAGGCTGAGGAATGAGAATCGCTTGAGCCCAGAAGGTGGAGTTTGCAGCGAGCCAAGACTGCACCACCCTACTCCAACCTGGCGACAGAGTGAGACTCCCTCTCAAAAAAAAAAAAAAAAGAAAAGAAAGAAAGAAAAGAAAACTTGTGACTTATTTCTCTACCTCTCTGAAATGTATATAAATATTTTTAAAGACTGGATAAGCACCCCAAGAATGTTTCCCCAAGGGCCTGGCACCATCACTTTGACATGTCATCACAGAGGAAGATAACTTCCCATCTCCTAGGTTCCTGGGAGGTAGGAGCCTAACTTCAGCTAGTGCCTGGTTACAAATTGCAAACCTACCTCCAGTCATAAGATACAAGAAATTTATTTTTTTTCTTTTAAAGACAATCAGCAGACACAGGGGGCCACCCCAACTACCCCGTAAATTTAGATTGAACTGTATGGCTAATGCTGCTATGAAATTCACTTGAGAATTACTTGTTAATCTTGAGAACATGTATGTGATAGATTACATCTGCTTGGCTATGTCTTTCTGTTTTGGTAGTCTCCTTAACCTGTATGTGCATCACATTCTGCTTTAATGTTTATTCCATAATAAAACTTTTTATTGTAGGAATACAAGTGCTTAAATCATGTACAGTCGATTTATATTATTACCTATATTAGGTAACCTTCCAATGACTACACAGACAGCGTTGCCTCTCATTGTCTCCTCTTTCCCTCTATCAACCCATGTTTTCCACATACTCTTCTTCCTTTCCTCTTTTACCCTCTCTCTCTCATTGTCTTTCTTCGATGCCATGTAGTTTCAGAACCACACTTTAATATGTAAATATCTTAGTTTGATGACAAAGCAGAAGGAAGAAAGAAGTATTCAGTTGTGTGTAAAGTATGCACTTTTCAGCAAACCCATCTGGGCTCCCCCTCTTGCAATCAGTGTGGTCTTGGCCACTACCTCTCTTAGACCTAGCAACAGAGGTTGCTGCTCTGATCTATGTCAGTTTCATGCGGCCTTCCTGGGTCATGGCCTTCCTCAGAGAACACAGAATACAGGGTGAGGGTGAAGAGCCTTTGTCTACTCAGAGGGTGTGCTTGCCCCTCCCCATTACTGGACAATATTCTAAGTCCCCTGGGCTGCAGCTCCAAGCCTGCTACCTGGACCTGCATGGGCATCTTTCCTGAGACCTTCTGCCCCAGGTGAGACCACATTGCAAAAATTGAAGCCCAAGGTGTGAGGAATGAACAGAGGGTGGTCAGTTTGCAGAAAGAGGTGGACTGAGATAGGAAAGCTGGCCTGTCCCTCCCAGTGTGACCAAGCCAGAGATAGAAGGAGTAGGGCTACTTCTTGGATAGGGCACAGGCAACCCTGTTCTTGCATTGATTTCCAATGAATCTAAAAATTCTGCATAGGAAATGTCATTCCAGCTTGCCATGAATGTATTTTTGTCAAAGTAGAAGAAAGAAACACATTTTATTTGCTACTTTGTTCCTGTTATTTGTAACTTTTTTATTATTTACACACTTGCATTTGTACTTTTGCCCCTGGCTGTGTTTTGTGTTCTTGACTTGTCCTTGGATAGACAATTTAACATTTCTAAAACAAAGTTTTCTTATCTACTAAATGGGGAGTACATCATAAACAAGGCTAAGATTGTGTCTACTTCATAATAGAAGTATTAATTAAATGACAGTGTTAAGTGAGGTGAGTGCACCTAGTCCAGTGTCTTACACACAGCTTCAACTGGAATAAACCCTGTCCTTTAATACATTTGACTTGTCTCAGCAAACTTACTGCATCAAACTCATTTAGATGCATTTTATTTCACTTATTTAATTCATGATGTGTTTGTTCACCATACTCATCATACCTCTACTGAGTTCAACCCCGGAGATATATTAGATTCTTCATTGTATTAGACCAGTATTTCTCCATTCTAATGTTGACATGAGTAGACCTGGCATCCTAGATATTCAATGTGCCACATTTGTCTTCACTAACTTTATTAACTTTATCCCTTTTGTTTTTATTATATAAAACTTGCTCAGAAATACTTGCTGCTGAAGTTATTAGGAGTAATGGTCAGTATGTTTTTCAAATGTACAACATCTGTATAACAGTACTTTATATACCTTATCACTTTAATAGCCTCAATTCTATGGGATAGGTGCCATTAAACTACTTCATTTGTAGATGAGAAAATAGATATTTAGAAGAGACTGAATAATTTGTCCAAGATCACGTGGTTAGAAAAATCTGCCAAGAAATCCTTTGCTCTTAACTGCGATGTACACTGCCTTCATCTTGCTTAAAGACAGATTGCTTATACAATACACAAAGATAAATAAAATGTTTACTTTATAGCTTAAGGATAAATGAAATGTTTATATTTTTCATAATAAAGTCATATTAGATTTTGAATACATTTTGCACAAAATTTTGGAAGGGTTAGCTTATACTTTAAACCATAGAATGGAGTAGAAAATAAAAATAGACATAATTCTGCTTCTTCATCCCTACCTCATGGAGAGAAAGGGCTGGATAAGAGAGGTGAACATGATTCAGCTGTGTGGATAGGAAGATTTTTAAAGTAATGGGAACAAATGAATTATGTTTCTGACATCAGTAAAAATCAGTGGATATCAAAAAACATGAAGTCCTGTATTGACCTATAATCCTTTTTCTCAAATGTAGGAGTCTTGATCTCATTAAAGAATGAAGAGTTTGAGGGATAACAATGCCCTGAAGTTTGTCCAGTTTTTTTGTTTGTTTGTTGTTTGTTTGTTTGTTTGTTTGCTTTTTGAGATGGAGTCTTGCTTTGTTGCCAGGCTGGAGTGCAGTGGCGCAATCTCGGCTCACTGCAAGCTCCACCTCCCGGGTTCAAGCAATTCTCCTGCCTCAGCCTCCTGAGTATCTGGGACTACAGGCCCCCACCACCATGCCCGGCTAATTTTTCTCTTCTTTGGAAGAGACGGGCTTTCACCATGTTGGCCAGGATAGTCTCAGTCTCTTGACCTCGTGATCTGCCTGCCTCAGCCTCCCAAAGTGCTGGGATTACAAGCCTGAACCACCGTGCCTGGTCAGTTTGTCCAGTTTTATGTTGACTGGTTGAGGGGATGATGGGGACTTTCTTGCTTGCCATTTTTATTCACTTAAGACAGCTCTAGCCTTGGAGAACCTCATGTGCCTCCTAAATAATACCCAGACCTGGAAGTTCTCTGAGACACATGGGAATAAATTCAATTCCTCAGAATTTTAAGGAACTTTCATAGAACTATAAAATCCCAAGCATACCCTTACCTCCCTCTCATTTGTGAATGGGGGCTTCTAAAGGAATGCTGAAGACTCGTATACCCCCATTTACAAAAGTAACAACCAGATTTTGTAGAGAAACTCTTACTATATCACTATGATGGAATTTAATGAGTCCCGTCCATAGTTGTGAAAAATAATCTTGCTGTCTTCCTGACTCAACTGAGCGGCTGCTTAATCTCAGTTTATATTTTCCCTCAAAGAAGACTTTTTGAAATTACATTTTATTTATGTTGTAGAATGAGGTAGGGATGTAAAATGCCTATAAGAAAAGCACAGGAAAGTATATTGGGCTATTTTGATTGTATACAATAGATCAGAATAAAATTGAATCTAAGTTGATATTAGCAATAATCTTAATGCTGGATTTCAGAAAAACTTCATTAAGCAGTCTTGTTGATTTGCTATGGCTCATTTTTTCATTTCAGTGGGTAGAGAAACAAAAAACAGTAAAGGGTAATGGTGATATTCAATCACCTGATGGGATCTAGTAAAACTGCTGAAACTAGATTGATTTTAAAGCAGATCACTAAAGAATCAATCTTGGAAGAGAAAAGCAACAGCATGTCCTGCCAATGAAAATATAGGAAAATAAAGTCTTAAATTTGCATACACATTTCTATCACAGGTTTAAGATATTTTAGGTTAAGCAAATAACCAGAGCAATTTTCCATTTTAAATTTCACCACCTGTAAAAGTATTGATCAAAGATTAAAATGTCTGGCCCAGATTATACAAAAACACATTAAAGCATGTCTGTAATAATAAGAGAGATTATATTTTAAGCATCTGAAGGATTTTTCCAGGGGAGATACGCCCTAGGTCCAAAGCAAAGCACTACCATTCTATTGCTTTTGAGTATAAACAGTATAAGAAAAGAGAACAAAGTAATTTACCTGATCTGCTTGCTGCTATTTTACCATCTGAACAAAGAAAGGAAGAACTGCTGTCATTAGTGGTGTCTCTAAATGATAGATTTGCCAGTAGAAAGTGAATATTGATTACAGTCATTTCTTGTCTTTGGGAGGTGCTCCCAAAGAGATATATTCATTGAATTTAATACTCAGGCATAAATATGGTAATTAGCCATTGCCCATGGTACATTTCTGCATCTCCAGAACACTGCCATAAAGGAGAAAGTCTGGGCTAATCTTCCAGTCACTCTCATGCTCAGTCTAAATGCATAAATTAGAATGCAGCAAAACTCAATAATTTTTAGATGCCTGAACAGGTGCTTCAAAAGACTAATTATTCTTTTGGTAAAATGCAGAAGTTTTAGTTAAAAGATATTTTCATGTGACAAAGGTACTGAATAAACTACAATTACTTAATCTGAATCAAATGTCTACAATTTCTAGTTTACAGCTGAATACTAAAATTTATGTATACACGACTTACAAATTATTTAATTGTCATTATTGTAAATCAAGGTAAACTTTCTCCATACTTAAATAAATGGCATGTAAATGTACAACCTTGTCAAGCTATTGTAAGTACAGCTGAGTCAAAAACTCACAATAAGAATGGGTACTTTACAACAAAAGCTATAATTTACATATACACGCACTTAAGATTTACAAATATAAAAATATTTGTATTAAATACATCAAGTCATTAGTTTCCAAAATAATTTTCTCAATAATTCTGTGCCATAACAATGGCAATCGAATTTTGCATAAAGTTGCATGTTGATTGCATATTAAAGAAACTTCAAAGATGTTTTCGGTAACATTTTTATTCGGAGATTTACAGGATTGTGGTTTGTTTTTAATGCTTCTCTATGCTCTATAACCTTTAAATTTTCTAAACCCAAACTGACTGCATTATTCAAATAAAGAGTCAAGGCACATGGTCTGATACTAAGATAAACTTTTAGAAATTTGAACTAAAATCCAATTCAGGATCATCCAGGACTTATGGTTAGTAAACTTATCCCAGAGATGAAGGGGTAAATTAAGACAAACAGTAAATAGCACATTTAAAAGATAAAGTATTTCCCATATGTTCTCATAAATTTGTTGTCAAAACCAAATCTTATGTATTGCACAAACAAATGCACACACACATGTCTAGCCAAAGGCTAAGAAGAAATGGTTTATAGATGTGGCTTGGAGACAATTAATATAAATGCTTCAAAAGAAAACTGCACAGTAATATTCTCTATGTAAGTTAAACACCTGGAAAATTCTAACTATCTGAAATGTAGATTGCAGTTAAGAAGTTGTCCCGAAATCCTCTTGTGGCAAATAGAGATATCATCGAGCCCACATATAAATTCTTGCTTATTCAATGTACCCATCAGGAGAAATCTTTTGAGGCCTCACTCAGAGTGCACATCCTTACCACAGGTACAAGGCTAATGAGCTTGGATCGATGGTGTTCTCAGCCCAGTGGACTGAAAACAATGAATAAGAATTGGAACTGACTGCTAAAAGTAGACATGATGATCCTATGAATATAGAGTTAGTTGTTGAACAGAAAAGAGAGGACAGAAAGGCAAATCAAAAGCAGACACAGAAACTCAGAAACAATCTCTGGAACAGGGACAAACTGTTTACACAAGTCAGTAGATTCCAAGGGCATCTTTGTATAGAATATAATATGATAATGGACATGCATTTTCATGCCCTTAAAAAAGATTAAGCTATTTTCAGAAGTTCCTCATCTTCTTTGGTAAGAAGTTAGGGCATCCTTGGTTTATTTCAGAAAGTTTACCTTGCAAAGCATTTGGTTACTTTCAAGTAGAAAATTCTTATAGGCAAAATAAATCTTATATTGATAATCCCAATTTATTTTATTCATTTAAAACAAAGATGTACTGAGGACCTACTCCATTGCAGCCACTGCTCTTGGCATTATGAATACAGGGTGAACAGCATAGACCAAAATCTGTCCTTAAGGAGTTCAGAGTCACGTGGAGTAAACGGGGTGTCATGGGAGCTCATTCACAAAACCAAGTGTGTAGGACACACATTAATTTTCTGATTCCAAAAGCAACCTCACAATGCAGCATAATGTTTCAAAGCAAAGATTAATTCCTGAAAGATACTGACCTGATTTTTGTCGGTAAAGTCGGGCTTCCACATCTATTTTTAAATGAAAAAAAAAAAAAAAAAACAAGTCATTTTATAATTCTCTATAACATATTTTAAGACAATCAAAAAGATGTTCTTTTTGTTTTCATTCTTCCTTAAAATTCAATATTAGTAATCCACTGTTTTTATCTGGTAAGTGTAATATTTTAATGGTAATTTATTATTTTGCAGCTTTTCTATTTAATAGGAAATGATCTATGTAACACAGACCTACCAGCATACTTGATATCAAAATTTTCAATGCCAACTCAGACTTGAAAATATGTATGACCAAACAGATTAAGTTCACAAATTAATATTAGCCAGTACTTTATATCTTTTTCACACAACTACAGCTGTTTATCTAAAGTATGTTTTCTGATCTAAATTTCACATGCTTTTATTTCCCCTAAACATTTTCTGGGTAATGTGTTCATAAGCAGTGAATTATACAAAAAAGAAACAAGAATAAAAGAACAGAATCAATTATATGGACTTTAATGAGAATATAGGATAGCCTGAGGAAAAAAAAAATAAAAGTAGATTATGCATATTCACGCCTGAACTATGTCTCTTATAACTGTTTTTTTCTACTTAACTAGAAAAATTGTTTTTCAAATTTTTTTCTTTCTATATAGTTATGCTTGATTAAACAATGCAAATGTTTCTTCCAATTGATTATATGGATACTGACTAAATATTTGCCTTCAGCAACTTCCAGGCCCCAAGATTTATCATCCTATAACCTACTGAAAACTATAAGAATCTGTATTTGAAACATAAATCACACTAACAGCAACAAAAATTCATTTCAAATAAGGCACCTAGGATTTCTGCAAAGAGCAGTTTTCCAAGTATGTTTCTCATTTCCCACAATGACATCTTGAATAAATACATAAAATCTTTGAATTTTGTTGATAAGTCGCCTGTCTATGGAAAGCCTGTTGAAATACTCATAATCATTTTCCAGATCTACAATGGATGGATATATAGGAATTTACCTTAGAAACATGAACCAACTCTTCAGGAAATTTAATATACTTACAACAAGTACTTTTAAAATTATATTTATGGTGATATGACATATAATAAATGTTTTGAAAATAATGTACTCGGGCCGGGCACGGTGGCTCACGCCTGTAATCCCAGCACTTTGGGAGGCCGAGGCAGGCAATCACAAGGTCAAGAAATCGAGACCATCCTGGCGAACAAACACGGTGAAACCCCGTCTCTACTAAAAATACAAAAAACTTAGCTGGGCGAGGTGGCGGCACCTGTAGTCCCAGCTTCTCGGGAGGCTGAGGCAGCAGAATGGCGTGAGCCCGGGAGGCGGAGGTTGCAGTGAGCTGAGATCGCGCCACTGCACTCCAGCCTGGGCGACAGAGCGAGACTCCGTCTCAAAAAATAAAGAAAAGAATGTGCTCTGTGCTCCATTACTTAGGAAACAAGAAACATATTTATGCAACAGGAAAAAAAGAATATAACAAAGCACTATGTAAGATTTTGAAAATCACTGTTACACAAAGTAATCATTTTCTAATGGTTCATCAATTTCCCAGAGAGTTGGATTAAACGTAGAAACATTTTATCTTAATTATAACAAATAATTGCAGTTCTCTATATTCTGGCATCTCAGAGAAAAGTAAGATGTATGTTTTGTGTTCTACTTTCAGATTTAGAGAATAGATTTTTAAGTTTAGATATGGAAAAAAATCTCCTGCTCTTTGCAGACTTTTCCCCTTACGTTTGGATAATGTTGTCTTTTCTGCCCTTTTCAGGAACAGAACAACATTTGTTTCTAGGCACTTTTTCATTTTGCTTAATGTTTAATTTTCTCAAAATGAATGACATCTTACCTTTAATTTGTGAAAGTAATTAATGAACTTTCTAAAATATCCAGGAAAGTCGTTAGTTTAAAAGTGTTGCTTTTGATGATGACCCTGTTTTTAATTGGTGATAAATTCTTGATTTGTGAAAAACACGATTACCTGTTTGTGTCTTTAGTCTTAGTAGGGATATGCATTCAAGATAGAAACATCAAAGCATAAACTGTGATGAAAATCAGTAACAAACAACTCTGAATGTATGTTGCGTGATCTGCTTAGTAATAGTTCTAGACAGTTGCTAAACAAATATATCTAAATGTGTATACATATATTTAAAAGCATCCTTCATTTTATTGTGCTTTACTTTACTGATGTTTACATATATTGTGTGCTTTACAAATTGAAGATTTGTGGCAACCCTGTGACTAGCAACTCTGCTGACACCATTTCTCCAACAGCACGTGCTCACTTCAGGTCTTTGTAACGTATTTTCACAATTCTCCCAATATTTCCAATTTATTATTATTGTTATACCTGTTATGGTGATCTATGATCAGTGATTTTTTGATGTTGCTCTTGTAATTGTTTTGGGGCATCACAAGCCATGCTCAATAACATGGCAAGCTTAATAGAGACTTATGTTCTGACCTCTCTACCAATAGGTCATTGCCCCCATCTCTCTCCCTCTCTTTGGGCCTCCCTTTTCCCTGAGACACAACAATATTGAAATTAGGCCAATTAATAACCCTACAATGGCCTCTAAGTGTTCACATGAAAAGAAGAGTGGCAGATCTTGCATTTAATATCAAAAGTTCAAAATGATTAAGCTTAGTGAGGAAGGCACGTGGAAAGCCGAGACAGGCTGAAAGCTGAGTCTCTTGTGCTGAACACTCAGCCAATTTGTGAATGCAAAAGAAAAATTCTTGAAGGAAATTAAAAGTACTACTCCAGCGAACACATGAATGATAAGAAAGCAAAACAGCCTTAGTTCTGATATGGAGGAAGTTTGAGTAGCCTGGAAATATCAAGCCAGCCACAATATTCCCTTAAGCCAAACTGTAATCCAGAAAAAAGGCTTTAACTCTTTTCAGTTCTCTGAAGCCTGAGAGAGGTGAGGGAGCTACAGAAGAGAAGTTTTAAGTTAGCAGAGTTTAGCTCATGAAATTTAAGGAAACAAGCAGTCTCCATAAGATGAAAGTGCAAAGTGAAGTAGCAAGGGCTGATGGAGAAGCTGCAGCAAGTTCAGAACAGAAGATCTAGCTAAGATAATTCATGAAGGTGGCTGCACCAAACAATAGATTTTCATTGTAAACAAAACCGTTTTCGATTGGCAGAAGATACCATCTAGGACTTTCGTAGCTAGAGAGGAGAACTCAATGCCTGGTTTCCAAGCTTCAAAGGACAGACTGATTCTCTTTTTAGGGTCTAATGCAGCTTCTGACTTGAAGTTAAAACCACTGGTCATTGACCATTCTGAAAGTCCTAGGTCCCTTAAGAATTATGCTAAATCTGTTCTGCCCATGCTCTATATATGGAATAACTCAGCCTGGATGATAGTATGTCTGTTTACAACAGGACTTATTGAATATTTTAAGCCCATTGCTGAGATCTAGTGCTCAGTACAAAAGATGCCTTTCAAAATATTACTTCTCATTGATAAGAGTTCAAGAGCTCTGATGGAGATGTACATAGAGATTAATGTTGTTTTCAGGCTGTTAACACAACATCCATTCTGCAGCCGACAAGTAAAGGAGTAATTTTGACTTTCACATCTTCTTACTGAAGAAATAAATACATTTCTTAAGGTTATAGCTTGCCCTAAATAATGATCCCTCTGATGAATATAATCAAAGTAAATTGAAAATCTTCTGGAAAGGATTCACCTTTCTAGATGCACATTCATGATTCATGAGAGGAAGCCAAAATATCAACTTTAAAATAATTTGGAAGAAGCTGACTTTTAGGGGTTCAAGACTTCAGTAGAAGCAACTGTGGATGTGGCAGAAAGAGCAAGAGAACTAGAATTCAAAGTGGAGCCTGAAGATGTGACCAAATTGCTGCAATCTCATGAGAAAACTTGAACAGATGATGAGTTGCCCCTTGTGAATGAGCAAGGAAAGTGATTTCTTTAATTGAGAGCTACTTCTGGTGAAGATGCTGTGAACATAGTTGAAATGACAACAAAGGATTTAGAATATTAGACAAAGTTAGATGCTAAAGCAGTAGCAGGATTTAAGAAATCTGACTGCAACTTTGAAAGAAGTTCTACTGTGGGTAAAATGTTGTCAAGCAGCATTGCATGCTACAGAGAAATCTTTCATGAATCGAAGAGTCTATCAATGTGGCAAATGTCATAGCTTTCTTATTTTGAGAAATTGCCACAGCTCCCCCCTCTCCACCTTCAGTAGCCACCACATTGGGTACTCAGCAGCAGTCAACATCAAGGCAAGACCCTTCACCAGCCAAAAGACTACAACTCAGTGAAAACTCAAATGATCATAGCATTGCTTAGCAATAAAGAATTTTTAACTGAGGTATATATACATTGCTTTCTGTACATAATGCTATTGTACACTTAGTCTACAGTATAGGGTAAACATAACTTTTATACATGTTGAGAAGCAAAAAAACTGTGTGTGACCTGCATTATCACAATATTCACTTTATTGCAGTAATCTAGAAGCAAACCTGAGATATCTCCAAGGTGTGCTTGTATCCACACCCTTAAGACAGGATTGTTAAAGCTGAGGTAATACACAGTAAGATGAAAAATCCAGTTTTCTTATCCTACTCTAAAGCGTAGTGTAAGAAAGATTGCTAGGAAGAAAAATGTTTAATGTACAGAACACTAAACATTTAAACAAATATATACTTGGGATCATCACATTTGAAAGAATTCTTTAAATTAGTTTCTTACCTTTGCAGAAGCACCAAAGAGCCACAACCAAGTACCATAATATCAACTTCATGGTTGTGATTTGAGACCTAGAAATGGAGCATAGTCATTCTGGAGAGACAAGTCTACAAGGGCCCCTGTAACTTTGGTTTTTTATACCCACTCATCCCACTGTCTGCCATCATGGGCTAGGTGTGGTAAACTTGGTGACGAGAGAGCAAAGGTAAATGTCATAGCCTGCCAAAGATGAAATCCATTTTCAGCCAGTTTAGTTCCTTACTCCTATGACATCTTCTGTCTTGGACCAAATCCAGCTCATACCAAACCCAGAATATGCCTTCTTGCCGCCCTGTGCAAACAGCAAAGCCAGGAACTAAAAGCCCCAGGATTAAAAACTAAATAAGCTGAGGATACACACATTTATCTGTCCTCCATTAATCACTGCAGAAGTCTTAATACCTCAAGAAACTCAAATATTGTGATTAAATATTGTAATTGTCTTTCCCTTAACAACAAAATGTGTTTTAAACATTAACCTACTTTGAAACAAAGAACTCTTTACTTACCAATATGTTAGAGAAATGCATTGCGTAAGTATAGGTATAGATGCACTAAGATGTATAAATATACAGTAAGAGCTTTATAATTCAAAAGGATATGTAAAACTCTAATGATATGTTTTTATTTTACAATAAGATATATAAATAAGTAGAAAATATATTAAAATTAAAACAACATAAAAAGAATGTTTTAGGACAAAAACAAATTTAAATAGAAAATGTCATTCATCAATACATATCTAGATATCCTGGCTAAAGAGATAAGTTCAAGTTAGAATCTCAGAGAAGTTCTGATCTGGTCTATGATGAACAGGGTAGAGAGGATTGACAAGGGAGGAATCTCTTGGGCCAGTCAGGTGGACCTGGAAAATGGAAAGGCCAACTCCACAGCTTCAATGATGCAGCTAAAGTGAAAGCAGTCCTTAGTTTATTCTCCCCAGAAAAGCAGAAGAATCCAGGAAAGGGGGAAAAGGTATGGCCCAACATCCTTTTTCTTCCCCTTTATTCACTCATGACTCAACTAACTAAGAACAAATAAATAATTCCTACCTTTTCAGAGGGCCTCACCAATGCATATTGAATGCTTTTACACATGCTCCTTGGCTGGCCAAATCTGTTTAGTCTATTTGTTGAGTCTTAAATTATTTCCAAAGGGGACAGAATTTAACAGATTTAAACATTTTAATTGCATTTGCCTGATCAAGGTGGCACATTTACTGAAGGCCGTGCAATATTAAATCTGACACCAGTATAAGTATCAGAGCTTTTTCTGAGTCAGGCTTTTGGAGATGGTAAACAATAGATATTTTAGTGCTGGAGAAGAGGACTCACTCCAAGAACAGAGAAAGAGGTAACAAATGGAGGTTAAAGAGACTAACAACTGACTCACTGACTTGTCATTTTTCCAAAACCCAGCCTTGTTTCTTTCAATGATTCACAAATGTATTAAGATGGTACATAAAGGACTTTTCTCCAATATAGAAAAAAATATAGTTCAGAGGGAACTATATTATACATTGAGACATGTGACTCACAGTAACACTGCCACTGATGATGTTCTTTTCTTTATCATACATGACTTCATTGTGAAGAAGATTTAATCCCAGGAAAGCCATTTTTTTAGATTATCATTATGACATAATTATTCTGCTATATGCTTCACAGTAGGCTTAGACATGTAAGAGACTAGAATGATACAAAGTTATCAGGGGCTGTTAAGCAACTAAGAATATATGCAAGATAGAACATTTCAATAAGCAAGATTGAATGGAAATGGTATGGAAGCTCCAAGGAAGGTGAGATTACTTTTAGCTTAGAAGAATCAGGGAACATTTCATTACACTTGCTTGGCACAACCCTAACCATGGCTTAAATTAAACTCTTTCCTGTTCCCAACTGCACTATGCAGATGAACACAACTTGTTCATCTACGAACCACATGCTAACTTGTCTCTCTTAAATTCATTACCCCAAATTGACCCTTAAGACAACTAGGCAATTATATTTTCTAGTCCATTTGCTGTCACACTCTTCCATTTCATATCTTCTCTCCTCTCAACATCCAACACCTCCTTCCCATCATCCCTTTCTGTTAATAGCATTATTTCCAGTTTTACTGAGAAAACAAAAGCTATCAAAAGAAAACTCTACCAGATTTCTACTCCATTACCTACCTTCTTATTTATCCAGATGAACTCTCTGTGCCACTATCAAAGGCCAACTCTTTCATTTGTATACTGGATTCTATCCAAGAATATTATGCCAGCAATTCATTCATCTCTAGTTTTTCCCCCCTTTTGGATTATTCTCAACAGTATAAATGCATGAGCTTATTTCTCCTAACTCAAAATAAATAAATACATACATGAGACAGTGCTATGAAATGTGAATTATATCTCAATAAAGCTGTTTAAAAAAAAACTGTGGAACTCACTTCCTTTCTGGCTCTCTTCCCATTTCTCTGTTCCCTTTAATGATTAAATATCACAAAAGAGGTATTTGTGCTCATGGATTCACTCATGAACTTTGTTCCTTCAAGTTTTCACTCCATCACTCCACAAGATGTGCCCTTGGCAAGGACACTGGTGATTGATCCCCTTTTGTGAATATAATGCCTTTTATTAACCTCTCAACAGCAGCATTGAACACAGTTGATCAATTCCTGCTTTTCAGTACACCTTATGCCACTTCTGCAAATTCCAAGCTTTTTTCTATTTCCTTTGTTGCTCCTTTTTATCCTCTGTTGATTCCTTCTCATATCCCAAGGCCTGTTAACATGAGGACCCTGAGGTTCAAATTTGCATCTCTCTTTTTGTTATTCACTCCTTGGGAAAGATTCTATTCAAATTCTATGAATTTAAATACCATGCATATGCTCCTTACTTTCAAGTTTATATATCTAGCCTGGCCTTTTTCTCTGAGCTCCAGGCTCATATTAATCATCTTCACTTGAATGTCTGCTAAGCAGCTGAAACTCAGTGTGTCCAACATGAAACTCCAGTGCTATGTTCCATCCCTTCCACAGATGTGCTTCTCCTAATGTCTTTTCATCTCAGTTAATGGAGCCTCTGTTCTTCCAGTTACCTCTACCCACAATTTGGAGCCATCCTTGACTCCTCTTTTTCTTTCACCCATCCCCTACTCATTCCATTGGAAGATCCTCTTAATTTTCACTTTCATCTTGAGTTCAACCTCTTCTCAGCACTCCCACTACCACTACCCTGATACCCCTCATTTGTGCTGCCATCACCTCTGGCCTAGATTACCATAATGGACTTTCAACTAGTCTCTCTACTTATCTACTTATTCACTGTGGCTAATCTCAAGACATCACCCAGCATGGTCCTGTGCAAACTGGCTCTTATGCTGTGTTTCTCCACTCAAAACTCTCATGGCCTTATTTCATTCAAAATAAAATCAACACCATTAACATGGCTTACAAGGTCCTGCTCCATCAGCCCCAACTCTCTCATCTCACCTTCTACCTACCTACTCTTACTGTCTCCACTCCAGTCCCAGAGGCCTCCCTTCTATTGGTAGAGCTTACCAGGTACAATCATACCTCAGAATCACACTCAGAATCTGATGTGGTTTGGCTGTGTCCCCACCCAAATCTCATCTTGAATTGTAGTTCCCATAATCCCCCTGTGTTGTAGAAGGGATCCAGGGGGAGGTAATTTAATCATGGGGGTGGTTACCTCCATGCTGTTCTTGTGATAGTGAATGAATTATCATGATATCTGATGGTTTTATAAGGGCCTTTACCCCTTTGCTAGGCACTTCTCCTTCCTGCCACCATGTGGAGAAGGATATGCTTGTGTCTCCTTTTGTTACCAGTGGGTCTTTGCTCCTAGGGCTCTCAAGGTGGTGGCAGGCTGCTCCCAAGATGGGGTGGGCGGTTCCCAAGATGGCAGCAAGCCTTTTGTTCTCTGACTTGGGGTTCTTGGCCTCACAGATTCCAAGGAATGGAACTTTGGGCCATGCGGTGAGTGTTATAGCTCTACTAGAAGCTGTGGGTCACAGAAGAGAACCGTGGAACCCAGTGACTAGTGTTCAGCTTGATTAGGATGAATCTGTGCACTTAGCTGCACAGGAACAATGGTGAACCTCTAGTGTGATAGGGAGTGGCAATGATGCCTTGCTAAATCAGAAGCACAGAGGACACCCTGCCGGATCTGGAGGGGTGGGAGTCAATGGCGGGTCTGCGACAGCGGCATTCAACAATGGTTGACAGTGAGCGAAAGCTTAGCTTGAGCTGGAACAAACATGGACCAGAAGAGTGTGCAGTTGCTAGATTTAATGGAGTCAAAACAGAGCTCCCATTCAATGGGAGGGAACCCAAAGGGGGTTGCCACTACTGGCTTAAATGCCCTGGGTTTGTATTCCTATCATTGTCCCTCCCCTTGTGCTCTCACGCAATAGATGATTTGACTATTTCTTTATCTCCTGCTCTTAGCCTAATTTGTATTTTAGTGACCACTCTTTACTATCTGATTGGTTGGATGTGAGCTGAGTTACCATCCTTGTGTTTAAAGGTGGGTGCCATCACCTTCCCCAGCTAGGCTTAGGAATTCTTATAGGAAATTGAGCTAGTCCTGTCTCTCAGTACTCCCTTTCAACAGGAAAACCCAAGTGCTGTTGGAGAGGTCGGCTGACGACCACTCTAGCTGCTTCCTGCTGAATTAGAGCATAGCAGGGGTCATGCAGTTGACATTTCCTTGAGAGGGGTACCTTCAATGTTATCAACATTGGAGCATGGGCTATCAGGCTGGCCCAGGGTTCCACAGTAGATCTTAGTCATAGACTGCATCTGGAGCTCCATTTGAAGAGCCATTTGTACTTTTACAGCTTTGATTCTGGAAGACACAAACTTAACAAGGAGGTTAAAGATACAGGGATGCAGAAAAAGGCATCCATAAGGTCCAGGACTGTAAACCACTCTCTTTCTCTGGTATTTGGGAAAGCAGGGTATAAGGGTTAGGTACAGTTAGGTATAGAGGGACATTGGCCTTACTGATAATCCTGAGACCTTGCACTAAACTCCACTGTTGGTTGGGTTTCTGTACTC